CCCCTGGAGGCCGTTATTACCGGGTACACCTGGAATCCCAGGCAGGCCAGCTGGTCCCGCGGGACCCTGGAAGCAAGCGCTGCAACACGATCCTTTAGGAGGACATGCCGCTGACATCTCGGAATCGCTGGGTTGTGCAACTGCAAGGCAGGGACGATAGACGGCCCACAATAGCAGAGACGTGGGCAAGAGTAGGGCGGCAAATCTCATATTCACCTGTGCGTTGCATAAAATGAATACATGCACAGAATTGAACCTGAATAGTTCAAATGTAAACTGGGAACGTTAGGGTTAGTCTACATTTATAAACGATGTAACAAATAATAAATCTTAAAATTAATGTGGCCTGACGTTGCGAACTTAGCAAGTTCTTCTTCAGAGGCTAAAACAAATAATAAATGAATAAAGGAGAAACTGTTAAAAAAAAACCTCCAAAAATGAAAGATGTCGATCATGTGTTCGGGTGTCGATTTAAGAAGTCAACCAAAACAACACTTTTACAACTTCAGGGATAATCACGTCTGGCGATTTCCGAGTATGTATTGGTATAATTTTTGTTTACTTATGTGACCTTCAAATACCTTTAAGACTGCATTACATTCATATGATGAATTCAGTTTGGATATCATTTGCAAGTTTCTGTTAAGGGTTCATGCACACTAAGTAGCCTAGAAACAACCGTTCGTTTCATTATTCACTGTGTCTGTAAGTTTTCTACAATATCGGTGTCCACTTTTTTCACAAGCTGCTTACCTGTAATTCCATTTCGACGTTCCACTAAAACTGCGCTCAGAAATCTCGAGCTTTGGACCAAAACTGCAGTTTTCAAAACGGTGCACGTTAAGCTGATCGTGATCAGAGACAGTTAACTCAACAAACGATTGGACTTAGGAATTGTAACGAATGATTTCCACGGAACCAACTGAATAGCACGAAGAGGTACACGGCTTAAAAACCCCAAGAACCTGGTCACCGAAAATGAGGCCCAAAATACAACTGACCAATGACAATATCAAAAAATGACATCATCCAACATAATTAGCGTAGCTATTTAAACTACCGACCAATAAATCCCAACTAAATGACGTCACTGACTACGCCTCTTTCTAAGCCCATACTAAATACACGGACCGTTAAAAGTTCATCCCCTTGCGGTTTCAACCAATCACAGGGTTTCACATCACGTGATAATGCAAACTGGTGTTCTGCTTTCTTTCAGGCACCGTTTAATATGTAGTTTCTTGAAGTCATCAGTTAAAAGTTGTAAAATATCTTTGCTGAGCTTTGTAACATTGTCTTCAGCAACCCAACACATGGACGTGTTGCGTTTACCGCCTTATACGTTTTATCCCCTCTCTCTCTTGTTATTTATTGACATCTCAGAAATGAAAAAAAAAATCTACAAACTGACAGGACAACTTACTGATGTCTTGCTTACTGACAAAACAAATTACTTACAAATGAATGACGGCCTGCCGTGTCGAATCAAACGGGGTAAAAAGTGACGAAGTTGTTACTCATTTTCGAAAGTTCTGAGGTATTGCACGTATGCTTGTACTATTCAACAGTGGTATAGCCCGGTAAAATACAAGACTACAGAAAATAACCGTTTCAGGAAAAAATAAAAGATAACGCAAATACAGTAATACCATTGCTTTAAACTAAACCGTGTATATACAAATGAGTATGCCTTCAACTGTGGATTCGAGTAGTTCCAAGGATGGACTGATTGACATTATGATTGTTTTTTTTCCCATTAACCCAAGACTGCGTAAGAAGTATGGAAATTGAGATATTTAAATCAAGGGAATTTCATGTAATCTCTTTACGTAAGACGTTAATGTGTTTAGCATCCCCACGTCTCTATAAAGTAGTTTGCACCTGACCAAGAGCCTGATAGAACCTGGTCGATAAGTGCTTTTTTATTATCAATAAAGTAAGGAAATCAGTATCATCAGTATATTTGCAATTGTTTATTAGCTGGGAGGCTTCGGTACAACCCTTAACAACTCCCAGACTCAATTCACCCAAACGAGCGAATTGAGGTCTGCCACACAGTTGACCCTATTATCACTTTAAAAAGCAAACGATTCAAGAAGTTTGGCCAAACGAAGGGACTCTGGAATTTCTCAAGTAACTGCAATGACAGACGCACTGGTTCGCTTCCAGGATACCACGTCGGCAACCTTTATTATAGACAGCAAATATTATACATTACTACTTGATCACACGTTTGAGTCTTTGCCAAGAAAACAGACACAATGAACATAAAAGACTGAATATAAAAAGCTAACAATCTTGCCATGGACCGAACTAAACAGGTGCACAATTGTTCAAAACAACTGGTAAACTTTAATACGATGAAGAGCAGTTACATTCCGATAAACATTGCTGAACTGGAGCACTTTTTCTCACATGGTTTATGCATCATGGTGACAAACTCAAGGTAAAATGTCTTAGGCCTAGAGAGAAGCGTGGGAATGAGCGAAGACTTCAGTTGCTCCAACAAGTTCAAGGCTGACACTACTCATACTTTCTTAGCGTGAGAAAGGTATACTAACACTGTGAATGTTAAAGATTCGAACCGATTTGTCTCCCGTGTGAAATAAGAAAGGTAGAAAAGAAGTGATAATTAGGCTCCTAAAACCTTATCCAAAGTCAACAAGATTATTCACAATTATATTTAACATCTGACATCGTAATAATACTTTGCAGTAAAATCACCTGACGATAGATGACGATAGATTTTACACTTCAGCTGTGGTTTTGGTGATGGTTGTGATTTTGAATTAATGCATGCTCGTAATAACATCCGCTTTACCTTTACTTCTATGCATCCATGCATTATTGCAAAATTCATATCCTGGCTTTTCAGAGTGAAGAATTACAACCCGAACACTCATGCTCGGCAGGTTGGTTTTGTCGATAAGACCTGTGGCGAAGTCCTGTTTTCTGGGAATCATTTTATGAAAGTATTAGCATTGCCATGAGCTTTTATTTGTAAGTATTTTTTTTTATCTTAAAGATAATGACTGTCTTAAAGTAATAACACGGATGCGCGTATAGTTGCCATTCCCGTAGTGTACCTTTATGTGTATAGACAAACAAACGGTATAGAACAAAGCGAACACATTTTACGTGAAAACCTGCCTTCTCGTCTGTTTCGATCATAAAAAAAATGTTAGCCATAATGATCATGCAGTAACACTAAACACAGCCGCTGCACTTCGTTTAGGAAGCTGTTACTTTTTTAAATTTAAAGCTAGTCATCATGATTAAACTTTCTTTTACATTGCTTTTTTTTGGGGGGGGGATTTAACACATTATACCACTTGTCTCGAAGCATTTCATTGCTATGCTATGTTACACAAAATAAAGTACAAAAGCTATTCTGCTTTGCATTTAGAGTAACATTACGCAAAGTGACACACTTCCCCGTTTGGGTTTAATGGTATTTTAGTTTAGTATATAGCTACTTAAAATGTAAGATTAATGTATAAAAAACTTGGACAGTTTGTTTCAAACTAAAGTTATTTAAATAATAAACACAAATAACACGCATCAATGAAATTTGGAAGAAGCGCACAAAAGTGTCTTAAGTTTCATTTAACATAATTATCTTATTGAGTGCTTTTTCAAATTTGCTTTACAGATACAATTTATAACAATAACAATTTCGCAAGTTGTTTGTACGAATTTTTCCGTAGTACTTTTTGAATATATTATCCAAACATTGTTAAACAGATCTTTCGGCAAAATATGGACAAGGTTGTATGACTCTCGTGTCACCTTCGATAGTATGTTGGACACGTTGGTCCTGATACACGACCCTTCCCATCACGTTTATTGATGTGGGGATGAATCTGGACTTGCTATGGGTTTAATGCGTCGCTTGGATCAAAAACCCAGAAAAGGAGGAATAGTAACTACCAAAAATTCTTTGTCCGCTATTATTGTTAAGCTCTAAGTGAACCGTATCCCCGCTGGCCATAACGAGGACCACTGAATTACTGGACTGGTGGTGGTAGCCTGGATGATTGTCATAAACATAAAAGATTACTTGATCGTTCATTTCCAGCCTTGCAGTTGGCCTCGGTCCTGAGGTATGGCCCATGATGGTCACGCTGAAGAAATAAACACCTGCCACTGTGCAGGTGAAGACTCCGGTTTCCGAATCGTACGCGTCTCCGATGTTCGTTTTGATACAGTAATACCATTGCTTTAAACTAAACCGTATAAATACAAATGAGTGTACCTTCAACTGTGATTCGAGTAGTTCTAAGGATGGACTGATTGACATTATGATTGTTTTTTTTCCATTAACCCAAGACTGCGTAATAAGTATGGAAATTGAGATATTTAAATCAAGGGCATATCATGTAATCTCTTTACGTAAGACGTAAATGTGTTTAGCATCCCCACGTCTCCATAAAGTAGTTTGCACCTGACCGTGAGCCTGATAGAACCTGGTCGATTAGTGCTTCTCGTCTGTTTTGATCATTAAAAAAAAAACGTTAGCCATAATGATCATGCAGTAACACTATACGCAGCCGCTGCACTTCGTTGAGGAAGCTGTTACTTTTTTTAGTTTAAAGCATGTCATCATAATTAAACTTTCTATTACATTGCTTTTTTTTGGGGGGGGGGTTAATTTAACACATTATACCACTCGTCTCGAAGCATTTCATTGCTATGCCATGTTACACAAAATAAAGTACAATAGCAGAATAGCTATTCTACTTTGCGTTTAGAGTAACATTACGCAAAGTGACGCACTTCCCCGCTTGGGTTTAGTGGTATTTTAGTTTAGTATATAGCTACTTAAAATGTAAGGTTAATGTATAAAAAGAACTTAGACAGTTTGTTTCAAACTGAAGTTTTTATAAATGATAAACACATATAACATGCATCAATGAAATTTGCAAGAAGCGCGCAAAAGTGTCTTAAGTTTCATTGAACATAATTATCTTATTGAGTGTTTTTTTTTTTTAATTCGCTTTACAGATACAATTTCTAACAATACAAATTTCGCAAGTTGTTTGTACGAATTTTTCCGTAGTACTTTTTTAATATATTATCCAAACATTGTTAAACAGATCTTTCAGCTAAATGTGGGCAAGGTTGTATGACTCCCGTGTTCCCTTCGATAGTATGTTGGACACGTTGGTCCTGGTACACGACGCTTTCCATCACGTTTATTGGTATTGGGATGAATGCTAGACTTGCTATGGGTTTATTGCGTCGCTTGGATCAGAAACCCAGAAAAGGAGGAATAGTAACTACCATAAATTCCTTGTCCGCTGTTACTGTAAAGCTCTAAGTGAACCGTATCCCCGTTAGCCAGAACGAGGACCGCTGAATTACTGGACTGGTGGTGGTAGCCTGGATGATTGTCAAGAACATTAAAGATGCGTTGTCCGTTCATTTCCAGCCTTGCCGTTGGCCTCGGTCCTGAGGTAAGGCCCATGATGGTCACGCTGAAGAAATAAACACCTGCCACTGTGCAGGTGAAGACTCCAGTTTGCGAATCGTACGCGTCTCCGATGTTCGTTTTGGTGTTGTCAAAAATAACCACATCGCCAGAATTTCCTGTGAAATGACTGCTCATGCGAGTGCTGAAAGCGACGACAGAGGGCGGTGCTGGGGTCACGTAGGTCGAGTCTCCAGGCTGACCCTTTCCTCCCTTCTCCCCCTTCTCTCCGCTAGGACCGGCCGGCCCAAGCTTCCCTGGCTGACCAACGAGTCCCTGAACCCCCGGCTCTCCTTGCTCCCCCTTCTGACCGTGATCGCCCATGTCTCCCTTGGGTCCAGGTAGTCCCGAGCCAGGCTCACCTTTTTGACCTATTGACCCCTGGAGGCCGTTATTACCGGGCACACCTGGAATCCCAGGCAGGCCAGCTGGTCCCGCGGGACCCTGGAAGCAAGCGCTGCAACACGATCCTTTAGGAGGACATGCCGCTGACATCTCGGAATCACTGGATTGTGCAACTGCAAGGCAGGGACGACAGACTGCCCACAATAGCAGAAACGCGGGCAAGAGTAGGGCGGCCAATCTCACTCTCACCTGAACATAAACAGAAGGATACATACATTAAAGGGAATATACAACATTTGCAAACATCGAAAAATAAAACTACCAAGTTTTTACAAAATACCTTACTAGGATGTTGGTAAATGACAGTCTAAAGCATCCTGTAAAATTATGGCACCAGGTGTGAAGTCATTTTCAAGAAAATTGTATTTTTGTATATATTTCCAACGGTGGTCGGCCGACCACCGTTGGAAAAACCTAACTATTTTTCAACTACTGCTCCAAATTTACCCTTTTTTCAGTCTAAATTGTGTTTGCTATTTGTTACATGTTCATTAACGGGTGCAGAGCAGCTAGACGGGTTCCCTTACCTTACAATTTTCTGGCATCTATAAATTGATCCATTTTATCTTTAGTGGAGTCAGGGAACCAGACTACTTGAACATTTTTGTTTTTCTTGGTTTTCCAGCATTTTCGAACACAAAATTTCAAACATATCAGTGTAACAATATTTGATCTATTCTACTAACCCCTCAAATAGTTCATTTCTAAAAATTACAGCAAAAGCCAATGATGTACATTCCCTTTAAATCAAAAGTTCACATATAAACATGCACCCAATGGCCTATATTTTCCTTGTCATTGTCAGTGGTTATTAAAATTGATTCATGTCCACTGCATTACGTGATAAAAAAAAGAGAATATGTAGCGATTTTGGAGTTTAAGGATTGTTCGGTTTCACACTCATTAAACAAAATGATACTCAGTTCTTGTTTATTTATTTATTTAAACCCAATATATATATTTACTTATTTATTCATTTCATTTATTCGCTAAAGATCGGTAAAAAAGCGACAGGATTTGTAAAAGAGCAACCGTTCATTTTGTAGTAATTTTTACATTTTGCTGTTGGTATTTGTTGCATATAAGTTACAATCTTTCATAATCATTTCTTTCCATGGGGTTATTTTCATATTGTAGTGTTATATTGATATGACTTATGAAGATGCTTACCTGCAGTGCCATTTCTAGGTTCCAATCAGTGCTGTGCTCACAATTTCCAGAGCTCCAACTCAGAACTGCAGGGTTCAACACTGTGAACGTTTAGCTGAACGTGATCGCAGTCAGTTATCATTAATTAACGCAACAAACGATTGGAACTAGGACTCTAAAGCTATAGGTTTCAACATTAGCAACTACGTTCTGCGTCCAAATCCCCGGGCTTAAAACGCCAAGAAGCTGGTCACCGAAAAAGATGCCCGAAATTCAACGGACCAATGCCAATATCAGAAAATGATATCATCCAACAAAATTAACATACCAATCCAAACTACGGACCAATGACATCCCAACTTGAAAACATATTAATAAGCCTTATTGCTGTCTGAGAGTAAAAGCTCATTTCGTATTCAACTTTCTAAAGAGACACGTCCCTTTGTTCAGGTATTCAACCAATCACAGGGTTTCATTCAGCATCACGAGATAGTGCACTCACTTAACTATTTTTTTTCGCGCACCAGGAAAACATTGCCGAAGTTTGCAACTTGTTTTCAAGATCCAAGTTAAGGGGCGGGTCAGAAAGTTTAGGGACAGTCAAACAAAAGAGACTGCCTTTGAATAGCTGTTAAAGAAAAGTAGAATTTGGAAATGTAATCATCTGATCTATAATCTGCTACGTAATGACTGGGGGAAACCCGAAAACAACTTTCATTAAACTCTCCTTTGACAGAGAGGGTCGAAGATTCGGGATTGTATTTTTGCACTGTCTTACCGCAAGCCTCGTCAAAATTTGACGATTTTTGCCACGCAAAAAAAGGAAGAGAAATGAAGATAGTTGTTGCGTTGGTCTTTGGTTGTAAGGCGTTCATGTGTACCATCGATTCATTTTCATGTTGCTGTTTTCAGAAGGCCAGCGCGCATTCTTCTTTGAACTATCTCACTCACTCGGTCGTTGACTCACTGTCACTTGTAAATTAGACTTGTTCAAGCCTCGCCTCGGCCCAAAAATGAACTCAGATGACAACATAGGCCCCTTAGATAGACCGGACGTGGCTGTGACCAGCTTTACTGGCCTTGTCTACTCTTGTCGTATTCAGTAAACGAAACACAAAATATGTATGGTAACACTCCTGTCTTCCCATTGGCTATCTGGAATAAGTTTCACATCTGATTGGTTAGGTCTTTGTGAATATTTTGTATAATTATAGGTAAGGCATGAAAGTAGGAATGAAGTTGTTGAAGTTATGTACTGTTAATTCTCACTGCATTCCTTACTACATTGTTACAGAGGACTTCTAAACTGTGTTTGACCCCCCCCCCCACGCAATACACACAACCAATGAGCTGTGGGTATATAGACCATTATCATGTTGCGGCTGTCTTGATTTTTTTCCCATTCAAAATCAACGTAACCAAAACGATGCTGGAAGGAAAAATAGCCTGGTTCCTTTTTGCACAAAAAACATTATCATTCAGTACTGTTATTTGGATACAGGGAGCATGACTGAAATGGTGGCATCACGATAAAGGTCTATTGTCAGGGTTGGCCCCCAAAATGAAAAGAAGTTAAAATACTGTTTTATTCCCCGGTTTTCGCAAATGAATGCAACAGGAGAAGATAATTGCTGCAGTGCTGGCTATTGGAAACCAAGCTCGTACCATTGTCAAGACAGGATATAGAACTAGGGGTACACGGGTACCAGGATACCCGTTAAAGAAACCCAGCATACCAGGATACCCGTTAAAGAAACCCAATTCTAAAACTCAAATCTAGGTAGTTGCTGTTCAGATTGTTCATAAAGGTCCAGAATACATCGGTGCGTCAATACAGCAAAATACAAGTGTACACATGTAAGTGAACTGTATAGCTTTTCTCTGTAACTGCAATTACTTTTGCGAGCGTCATAAACGTAACTATGTTTTGTTTTTCCATGTAGTCTTGTTTTCATTTTGAAAAATCTTCACAAACGACATTCAAAACCTTTGTTTTGAATTGACTGAGAAGTTACTTTGTAATTTCTAAAGTTGGTTATGGATACCCGATCATATAATGGAGCCTGTTCTTGACATCAGCAGTCGGGTACTCGAGTACCCGGTTCTGATGCACAGCCCTAAATAGAACACATTACTTTAAATCCCACCCGGGTCTGCAATATCAATGCATGAGCCTTTGCCACGTAAACCATCATCTCCAAAAAAGAAACTGGATTAAAAAGAAAAAATGCCCGTCTTGACCAAATTAAACAGGTGCACAATCGTTCAAAACAGTTGATGATTTATGTCAGAGAGAGAGAGAGAGAGAAAGATTTCGATTCAGACTAAGGACCAAACATCGCTGAGTTGATGTCAATGACAGGTGTCTTCAATATTATGTCTGAACCCTTACCAAATACCAATCGATCCATCACCATCAGGGAAGAGACTTGGAAAGAATGTCATCCTTCCCGAATGTAATAGGTACACAACCGTTGAAAACATCTGGTGAGTTTGTGTTGAAGATCAACAACATTCCAAGTCAAGACTACATCAGACTAAACATCGCTAAACTGATATCAATGACACGTGCATTAGATCGCCTGCTGACAAATGGCACAGGGTTCAAATGCCGACGATGGTATCGTGGGAATCAGAGAAATTCATTTCTCACAGGATGTTTTGGCTCGTGAAAACTTTTTATGAACACAAGGGGCCTCATAAACAATGTTGAACCTACGGGTTTGATTTCCTTTATAAATTATGAAGTACTTGAAGAAGAGGACGTGACAAATGTAAATTATTTTGAAACCATCTCGCCTTTCAACATTTCGTTATCGGAACGGATTTTATTATTTTATCGTCAACTGTGACTATATAGAATGTACTTTCAGATTTAGGGATTTGTTTTATTCAAAAAGATATCATGCGCTAGTTGACTTCAGACCTGAATATCTAAAGTCCATTTTTTTTATCAGAACGTCCCGTTGTGAATTCATGTAGTCCGGGAACCAGAGAAGTAAAAAAGATATTTCAGAATCGTCTTTTGTAAAAGTTTCTGTTTTAGAAATGTTGGTCCAACTTTCCTTTCGAATACACGATACACAGTGAGTTTGTAAGGAAGAACTCATGTGAGGTTGTCTATACAACCAAAATGAAGTTTTAGCATCAATTACTTTACATCTCTGTTCATTGTCGGGAGAAAGGTTCCATTAATCTTGTGTGTCTTGTGTGGAAATTTGAACGTGTAGTAAAGAAATTGAAAGTGTACAGGCATGTACTGTACGCATCATATTGCAGGACACCATCGCCACACTCAGCGTTTGAGAAAGCAAACTTAGCTTTATGGTATTAAAACGCATTGAGTGCGAAAGAAAATTATGCCCCCTAAGTACAATATAATAAAGATAATAATCAAAGCAATGGAACCGTAAAACGTTAGCCTAAAAAGAAGAAGAAACGAAAAACAAATGAACCAAAAACAAACCCCACGTATACAAAACAGTTAACACCACTACCTTGAGGGATTTTTTTCCTCCAAGGTCCCGTAAAACCTTTTCCGAAAAAGGAATTGTTTAATCTCGAGAAGAAAAAAATGTGGGCCAACAACCGCTAGAAGAATGATAATTCGGGAACAAGCTGCGAAACTAGATCGTGATTGGTGCGCATGCGTTGAAACCTAGAGCCTACCGGCACTGTTCTCTTGGGGTGCGTTCGAGCGTGCTACTCGTGTTGACAAGAGTATACTCCTGAGTGCCCGAACGGCAGGAGTGCGACCCGTGGGTTAGCAAGAGTATGCTATCCGTCATACTGGGAGTATACTCCTGCACCGAGAGTAATGTGCACGCAACATTTTCCTGTACTAGGGAGTAGCAAGAGTAACACACTCGAACGCACCCTTGTTGATGCCAGAGTCCAGACCCGCAATGAGTCTACCTTCTTGCTCCTTTCACCTCCTTGACCCAGAAATTTCCCTCTAGGCTAGATCAGATGTTTTATGAATCCCCCAGTTGGTCTACTTGTGAGTTTTACTTTCGCTTCCCGCCGTGGGAAAATGAAATACGTGCCAAATAGTAATTGGAGAAATGAAATACATTAATAAAGACTTTTCGCCTTTTTCCACATGTTGTTTTTGCCTTGCATACTGATGTCATGTTTAAAGGGTCCTTTTTTTTGTTACACTGGAGCATATTTGTAGCGAGTATCCAATGAATACAAGCTATGAGTCATCCCTTTTTGGTAAAAACTACATGTAATTGCAAAGTGCACTTTTCTTAACCTTTAAAATGTTTCATGATTTTCTTGACATCTGAGGGCGCTGTTGCTATGATGTCACTTTAGGAACACACTCTTCAGATGAGGGTTTTTCTCTTCAAATTGAAAACCCAAAATTCTGCTTATTGAAAACATATGTGAATCAAGTTGTCTTACTGTCGTATACTGAAACGACAACGAGCCACTTAAAGCAGAAAAAATAATCTAAGCAAACCCCTCAAAATTCTGGTGACTTATGATGCTAAGAAAACACTGAGAAGTGAAACCGAAGATTCTACCTTGAATGGCATCACATTTTTGCTCATGAATATTGAAATTTCAATTAGCATATAACAAAAAAGGCAGCAAAACGTCCTTCAAATTGCAACATGAAGATCACAAAATAATAAAGTTAAATGCAACACAAAGGTACATTTCAAGGACTGCGTTAAAAAAAAACTCCGTTTATACATAATCCCTTTAAGCATTTGTGCATAGTGCATTTGGATGTGCCATAAAATCAGTGCCATAAACTCAGTTCCATAAAATGTAGAAACTCACTTCTAAGCGGGGGGAGGGGGGCAAGTTGGAGTGTTGAAATCCAAGAGTTTTATCGGGGCGACGAGGCGTTCAAACAATAATCAAGGCTCGCAATATTATTAGTATAGTGACCCCATGCAGGAAATTGTAAACACACTGAACTATATATCTTCACTCTGAGCACTACTTAGTACTTTAGGGAATGTTGCTTATTATAACTATACAACCTGGTATCACGTACGTCTAAATATCTGTTTTTGATTGTCTTTTTTTGGCTGTGTAGGTACGGCGGTGCGACTATGCGGAGCCGACAATGCGTGGGGACCAGTTGACTACACTGGTTGCTCTCTCCAGTCCCTCGTGGATCTCTATGCCAAGGTAAGCCACCTAATGTTCACTACAGGGTGCGTTCGAGTAGCTTACATGTGCAAGTAAAACTTAAACGCAGCGTTCGATTAGCAATCGCGTGATAATCGGTCTGTCCTGCTGGCATCAACCGCCACTGCCCCAGCTCGTAAGCGGGTCTCTGGTAGCTGCCCGGTTGTAATGACGTAACCGGACGATTTCGTTGCTAGATTGAAGAGAGCAGGAACTTGAATACGGATTAAAACGGAGAGATTTATGACACAAAATATTCCCAATCATTAACGGTATTGAATTGGATAGATATGTTCAGAGTATATTATTCCGATTCCACCAGTTATTGACACGGTTGCAATGATAAATCTAATTCTACCCGTGGAGCAAAGCAGACAGTAGTATACCTGATGGTTTTACATTTTTAAGCCCCGCCAGCCCACAACATTTGACCTTACGTTTTCCAGAATGCCAGGCGAATACACCGCCGCGTTCGATTAGCCTAATTTCGTGGCTTCCTTGAGTGAATACATCTGGAGGCTACTCGAATAAATCCAAAGACAGCTGGATTCCCGCGGCTGTATTTACGTGACTGTCAGTTGATTATGAACAGATTTTGGACGGCAAACGACGGGAATTTGCAAATACACTTCAAATGATGCAAAACAATGGAAAGGTGGAATATATACGTTATATCTTGAAGTGGATTGTTCAGGTGAAATCTGGGGTCCACTCTGGGATTTCTGCACGGCTCGAGTAGAGGCATTTGTTACTAAGTTCGTTTTCCTGAGCTTTTTTTTTTTTACATGATTCTTCTAATCTCTGTGACGTAAGTTTCATGTAAAGAGTGTCGGAAAGTAGGAATTTGAGACATAATATTAACTACATTTCAATTCTTCCATTTCAATAAACTGTGTCCGATATCTGAAATCTGAGAAAGTAAGTAAAACAATTAATCCGCGAAGGGAATTGAATTCGACCTCGGTACGATGCTCTAGAGGTGACATGTTCAAGTCCCGCTCAACAACTGATTAATTAAGGGGGAAAATATAACCAATCAATTAGGCCCCGCCCACTACTCGCGTGTGCAAAAGCACATGCACTTGTTCACTGCCTAACTTCATCATAGTCCAGCCGCATGTCGGCTATTGATCTTAGCTTTTATTGGTCATCAGTGGGCGGTGCTTGATGGATCGGTCATTTAGAGTAAAGCCGTGTCCGAAAGTTGTGGCTGCGGCTGGAATCAACACTTGCGCCTATGGAAGCCACTGGCTAGTGGCTACAGCCACTTCCCATAGACGTGTGTGTTATTCCCGGCCGCAGCCAGTTGTTTCGGATGCTAACCCTAGCCCTTAGTTTCTTCGCATGCATAATTATGACACAAATGACAACTTCAAGTACGTGCAAAGTCACTCTGTGAGCTTTTTTCTCTCTCTTTTTTGTTATACCAGAATCAACATCATATCACTTTCCATCCTTACAAAACACAGTACAGTGACATCTTGATAATTCAAGCTTCAATGGAACAGGTTCAAAATTTGACATAAGCAGAGTTTTGAGTTGAGCATGGTTGTATATCTTTGTTAAACTACTAAAGGCAATGGATTCTGGCGTACAAAGAATCTGTTTCGTTGCCTTCAGATGACGGATGTACGTAAATCGGGGAGTATTTTTTTTCGGCGAACCCGTTTTAACGCAGTACCGCCGTTTTGTGATTTGCCGCGCGACCTTTAGGCGCGCTGCGGGGATACCACCGTTGCCACCCATCGAGGTGGGTTGCCGCGCGACAGTCAACGTTTTAGGCAAACATCCCGGCCCATTAGCTCAGTCGTTAACAGCGGGCGCGTCGGGGGAAGTGCCCCAAATAAATTTATCTCACTTGAAAGTTTGAATTGAACGACGATAATAGCACAGGGCATTTTTCTATACGGTCAGTTACAAAGTCATTTGGGTGAGTTTCAGCAGTAACAGGGACGGACGATGCAATATTAGTCACGGACGTTTACGAATAGAATAGAATAGAATATTAACATAATTTTGTGATGATTATATTCTTAGTAGTGTCATTTTAAAGCTTATTCGGATCCTTTTGCAAATTTGCATATTCATAAGGAACACGGTGATGACATCTTGGGCAGAAGCCTTAGTGTTTAAGCCTCCAATCATGGAGGTAGAATTAGATTCTAATTCTACCTCCATGCTCTAATTCAGCTTCAAAAGTTGTACGAGTTTTGTCGTTGTTGATAGAGTACACGGCGTCTAGTAAGTCAGTAAGCAAACTTATGAACATTTTTATTTTTCAGTGAGCTAAATTGTAGGTTTTTAATATTCTTAAATTGCCTACACTTTTGAGTGTGTTCCTAAAGAGACAACACAGCAATAGCGCCCTCAATTGTCATCAAACAGCACGGGTATTGAAACTTATCACAGAAATGCACTTAAAACACCTAAACATGCGGCGGTCTCTCATTTTTTTTCCTTCTATTCTTCATATGAAAATATATATTTGTACATAATATGTTTCCATATACAAATATTTTCATGGAGACTTTAAAGGCATATGCTTTTCTTAGCATTTAGTTCGTTTCTAATAATAACCACTTAAAATCCTTCATGTTGAAGTTTCAACTCAGTGGATATTACACTTTTCGAGAAAAAAAGAGTTAAAAACAACGCACAACCTTACGATCACGAAACACGAGTTTGTTGCCAGCACTCTTTATTTCTAAAAATCAGTCAATCGACTGATCGTCGGAAATTTTTGTACTTCTTTGAAAAGACAGCAAGCCAGACGGATTAATTTCACGGTACTTCGGTAGGTATACTCTTGGGACACGTGCCAAAGATCCAAGCAAATTTCTTTAAACCTCGCCTAAATGTCAGGACGCGTGACGGTATGTTCCTTCCAAAATCATTTGTAGAGACACAAAGATGCATTAGCCGAAATGGATGGGGGACTTTAACGGGTCGACTGGCGTGTCACAGCGAGGACTCCGTGACGGTATGTTCCTTCCAAAATAATTTGTAGAGACACAAAGATGCATTAGCCGAAATGGATGGGGGACTTTAACGGGTCGACTGGCGTGTCACATCGGCGAGGACTCCGTTGCGACACAGGGCCCCATAAGCTATTAACCCCGTGTCAATGCCATCAGTTTGTTACATTACTATATTTGACATGATGAATGTTGGCCAAGACGTGCCTGGGGCTATGGATTTGGCAAGACGCCGATAGTGCATAATGTGTATTAGTTCTATTCGTTTTGCTCCTCTTTGGAATGTAGTTCATGGCCACTGAACCTATAGGGACTCTGTATATGATCGTGACAAGCGGTAATGATTCGTGTACATTGAACACGTGAATTAAAATAGAATTATGATCTGGATTTTCAAGAGGAATATTTCAATTTGCAGTGATTTTTTTGTGATTTTCTTTTCTATTAATGTTTTTCTGTGAAATAAATTTTAATTCTGAAAGTATGATTTGCGTCGTAGTTCGGCCTGTAAGCCCCAACAGTTCGGCAATAATTGACATCAAAAGTGTGTGATCGCTTGATTACAGGAGTAATTTCACAGGCAGTTTAGTGCCATTACTATCTTTAAAAAAGTAAGCTTTTTCACAATGTTTTCGATGGGATTTTTTTGGGTACCTGCAAATGATCTACTCTACCTGTAAAGAGAGTTGCACATTATAAATGCAACACAAATGCAAAATCTTCGCAGCGAGTTTGAGCAAAAATCTAAAAACGAATGTCGACTCTTTCCCATGATGCACTACGGGTACAGCAGGATTTGCGCCACCAACGACGGTTCCTCTTTATCGTGAACCGCTCGTGTGTTTTTTTGAGCGGCACTTTAGTTGCAGAGTCTCTTCTTATATGAAGATAAATGCACTCGAACAATCCTGCAATTAAAAGTCTATAAGCAAAGTACATTCCCCGCGTACAGTTTCCCATTAGGCCGGTCTGGTAATGGACCCCATTTGTTACACTTCGGTGTAACACACTTCGCTGTCAATGAAAAGGTTATCTTCATTAATGACAAAGTCAAAAGTACATGCTTCTTTTCACTGTCCTTTATAAACGAGTTACCTGTATTCGTCGAGGGAGGCGGTAGTGCCCGTAAATCATTTACAGAAATGCCGACTGCAGTCGTCAATTGGATGTTACTGCATTTATCTGCCATACATTCGGTTTGCAACTTTATTTTTTTTCTTGAGGTCATCATTTTCTGAGGTCATCATTTTCTGAGGTCATCATTTTCTGAGGTCACCATTTTGTAATGTCATTTTGTGAGGTCATCATTTTGTGTGGCCATCGTTTTCCGAGGTCATCATTTTGTGAGGTCATCATTTTGTGAGTCACCATTTTGTGAGGTCACCATTTTATGAGGTCGTCAATTTGTGTAGAGGTCGTTTATTATAGACCCTTTGCAAAGCGCGCCCTCATCGAAGACAGGTTTTCGTCATTCAAATCAAGTGAGGATGGCAGTACATTGCGACTATTCATGCGCGTCTAGAGGAACAAAGATACTCGATTTCGTTTATTTTATAAAACAAAAATTACGAGTCGCCCAATACATTTAAAAAAAAAAAATTTTAAGTCTTTTTTTCTTATGCCGTCATAAGACGCTAGTATTTGACACATTGTGTCGAGGTAACTATAATCTCTGGGGTTTTTTTCTCTTAGTTACGAGAGTCAGAAAGGTTTCAGCGGTAATTTTGGCGTGTGCGTGCGCAACAGGACTGCGTCGAACTAAGAGAAGTGACACTGCAACTGGGGTCATGCCCCCAACGAATTTATTTATCTATTTTGGAGGAGTGAAGACACCTTTTCGTCTCTATTATATACGTTTTCAGGAAATAAATTAAAACGTTGCGTATTTCCCTCGCAAGTCATCAGCTACAAATACATTTTAGTTTGAATGTTACAATGTGGAAATAGCACACAGTACACTTAATCCCCTTCCTCGTTTTAAAACAGAAATACACGAGCCGTCTTGACTCCCCCCCCCCCAAAAAAAAATGTTGTTCTGGATCCGCCCTTGCGTGCCTTTAACATTAAAGTAGGGAGAGAGCACGTTGCTTGCTTACCGTGCTTTGCTGGTCTAGTGGCCCGGGTTTGCGTTCCTCATGGACTGCGTCACGGTTCCAGTTCCTCACATGGGCCGCCGTGTGGGTTCTAGTTCCTCACATGGGCCGCCGTGTGGGTTCTAGTTCCTCACATGGGCCGCCGTATGGGTTCTAGTTCCTCACATGGGCCGCGGTGTGGGTTCTCAGGTCCTACCTGTTATAGGGTTCCTCCTAAATCGTTGTCCACGGTTTCCTTCCAGCATACAAAAAAAATGCTTCATCGTCTCCTCGGGATACTTTGCGTTTGAGAACTGCAGTGTCCATGGGGCGCTTTACAGATCCTTGGTTCCGCTGCAAGCAAGAAGTGAAAAACAAAATAAAAAGGGAACGTGTGACACTTGTTATCAGTGGATTTTGGGCATTCTGTATATTCATGGTCCATAGTGTGGCATTTTCCTGTTCCTGTTCCTTCAGAACTATGTAATTTGCCATTAAAAAGTCGTTAATAATTACCTCAAGCTATTTGTTGTTTTTGTTGGGTAGCTTTAGGTAGTTTTGCTCATAATCACTCTTGGAGGAACACTGCATAAAGGAGTGCATCAGAATTATAAAAACCATAGATGTCTGATGTAACAGGGACACGAAAATAAAAGTGCACCCCAAATGTATAGAATAACCCATATACATTACCATTTTAAGGTTGCTTCTGGGCCTTTTGGATTTAAAGCTAATATTAGCTATTTAGAATCTCTAATATTATATGAATACAACGGCGGTGTTTGCCTCGATGTTTCAGCCGCTTCAGTGCCAAAAGAAAATCCTTAATTTTGGGTTCATGCAATTCCCTCCCGTTATGGTGTTTCCTTATTAATTTTAATTTGTAAACTACAGCCGGTCAAAAAGAGAACTTTGTGGCATAAATGCTTTAAACGAGGTTCACTACGGTATCAAAATTATTTTGTACAAAAAATCCCTGAACTGCTCAGTGTGTACCTAAAGTGACGTCACAGAAACAGCATGCTTAATCCTAGAGGAGCCGGTAATTACTTTGACCATCTCACAGCCGGGGGGGGGCGGATTCCATGCAGATCTCAGCCATTGAGCGACGAAATATTATGCAACTCAGTACATGCATCGACCAACGTAATATAAAGATACCCAAGAAATGTCATGACTAGAGTTTTGGAATTATGGCTAATAAATTATTCACATGCACCAAGGGTAATATCGATTGGTGTACACTACCTATGGGGAAATTTTCGCTGCGCGGTAACCCATGGTCGGAATTGTATGTTTTTGGTATCAAAAGATGCGCAAGACGCGAGGCTAAAAAGTCAGAAAAGCTCGGATCGGGAAACAAATTTGCAAGGGTATCGCGGAAAAAGTTGAGGAACCCTTTTAGGAATAAGTTTCAGAAGAGAAAAAAAATCTGGACGTGTCACTATTTTCACACAGTTCAGATTGAGTGGATTTCTTTTGCTCAAAACAGGTGTCATTATAAGTATTAACTACAATAACTGTTGTATAACCGTACAGGTAGAAATTGTACCGTCTTCATTGAAGCAGTATTTTTGTATGGTTTTGTCGTTGGTAGGTTTCAAATGCCAGTAGCACCGTCACCGGGGATCTAGCGACATCGGTCAGCGAGTTAGCCACGGGCACCATGCCGGCAAGCATCGCGTACTCCGGGCAGCTAGCGCTGGCCACAAACATCATACTGGAGGTTTTTACCAAGAAGGACCTTACTGGGCTTACAGTAGATGCAGCGGATACCTACATACAGGTATGGACACTGATAGGCATATCCGAGAACACTATAGCTGTCACTGCGCAGATTCACGAAGGCCCCTTTAATGGCGGGAGCATTGTTCCACGCTCCGAAAACTCTGTTTAGCAATTAAACACAATCTTGCCATCGCTTTGCTAACATGTTTAGAAGCTTAACAATATCTGTCCTATTCTAAACAGCAATGTTCAACTGCTCAACACTATCCATCAATACTGTAAGTATTGACATACTATTATAAACATGCTTACAAACATGATAGGAAGAATGTGTTTAGAGAAGTGATTAACTGCTAAACACAGTTATTGGAGTGCACCTATTTGTATCGGGGAACTGTGGCCTGTAGTGGTTATGGTTTGTGACTCATGATCAGAGGGTTGGGGGTTCGAATCCAGCTTCTGTCCATATGTTGTGCCCTTGGGCAAGCCACTTCCCCTCTACTTGCATCTCTTCATCACCCATGAGTAAAAAATGGGTACCGGCATTTTTTTAGCTGGGGAGTAACCTGCGATAGACTAGCGTCCCATCCTGGGGCAATATAAATATTCTCAGTTGTTTCAAGCCACTGGCACCGGAGACAACACAATGTTTGGCACATTGCACAGTTCTTTTGCCATTGATGGGTGCCTTCATGAGTGAACAGAAACAGCGCGCTCGGACGGGTCTACAGACCGATCCGAATTGCAAACCTTTTGTGATGTAATACCGAGGTGGCTTTCTAGTTTCTACCATTAATTCCTGTAACTTTTGAGGTAAATTTGGAGAAAGATTTGTCCAAAATTACGGCGGGATAACTAGACGTCTGGTTGTAGGAAATTTGAATATCCTGCTTCTTAACCAAATATTAAGAGCTTTCACAATGATATCAAGTTGGAAAACATGCAGTGCAGATTTCAAAGGAGGAAGTCCAGTAACTGTACACTCTAAAAAGCCCCTGGTTAGATTTGACCAGGAATCCGGTTCATATTTCACCGGACTCTTGACCGGGTCAAAATGACACTTTACCGGGTCAAGATGACTCTTTGCCGGGTCGAAATGACACTTTACTGGGTGAAATAAAATTTTTGGTCGGGTCAAAAAGGAACCAGAATATTTTTAATTTGACCCGGAAGAGTGTCAATTTGACCCGGAAAAGTGTCAGCTCAAATAAGACCTGGAATCCGGGTCAAATACGACCTGGAATCCGGGGCAAATCTGATCCGGAACTGTTTAGTGTACATTTTACAGTTTAACATTTGTTTTTGATCTCATTTGTAGAATATGTTGGCCTCAGTTGACAATCTACTGGATTCTGGGAGCTTTGTAACCTCGTGGGCAAACATTCACCAGGTATGTGCTCTGTGGTTTTACTTGCTTTACAGAATGGCTATTACAAATCGGGGCATTTATCGGGGAATTGTTGCCAAAAGAATTGAAGAAAAGGAGTAAGCAAAATGTAACCAACCGAACGTATAACGTCAACTTTCTTACCAATGACTGATACCGCGATGAATTTTGCTTACCACATAACTTTGATGACCATGGTTTTTGTACTTTAATGCTCAATGGCGTTGGGCCCTCTTCAACTACTCGTTCTTAAACTGCATCATACTGAAGATTGACCTAATTGTATAGTGGCGCGTACAGTATGCCCTGCGTTAATATCAACACAATCGGAAATGCCATCCCCCAACAGAATTGTTAACCAAAAAAAGGTGTTTCCACGTGTGTCGGTAGAGAGGGTGTGTGGGAGTGGGTGTTTTGAGAAGTTTCAAAACCGTGTCGGCAAATACATGAATGCCGTAACGTAGAGCGCCACACCTTGCCCATATTGCCCATGATCCTCAGCTATGAACAGCGCCCCCATATACTGACCCTGATGTGTCCAGGTCCAGCTCCCACCCCACTTTTGACTGAAACCAATCCTGGCTACCTTCCAGCACAAAGACAATGGTCCCCCCCCCCCCCCTTAGCCGCTAGCAAAATCCTGCATGCGCCATTGAAATGGACACAGATGTATATTTAAGGGATTTTGATCAGAAAGAAATTGAGCCGTATTCGTCAATGAGGGCGCACTTCACATATGCATCGTCAGAAAGTGTGATGTTTATTTACCCTCGGAACCTGTTCAAAATGAGCTTATATCTCTTGGGATCACAATGTTTGCGGACTTCCAACACTGCATCGGCAACCGTAATTATGATATAATGCATTCTAACAAGTCGGGCGCATTAATGACGTGCAATCAGAATGCGCGTGCTGCATTAATGACGTCCACTGAAATGAGTTATGGGGGAATTTCGCACTACTGCTGACGCGCCGCGGACTTCGCATTACTTAATGCCAAGGCCTTTCCCGTGAGAGACGACTCGAGTCATACATAAAGATAGCGTGTAACTACTTTGATGTAGTGCTCGAAAATGTAAAAGCGACTTCTGCTCTCGTACATCTGGTAGAGTGATTGGTTCAATAAATTGTTAAAGCACATTGAATTTTCAATCTAGCCTGGGTTGTCGGGCCTTTCATTGACGTATTTTGTATCAACACTAATACTCAGTGAAACAGCGTGTACTGAGTATAGTCTGTACTTTTTATCAATGAATAGTCGTAAGAAGCACGTAGACCATTCGATTCCAATGAAGTGAATTAGCTAGAATCGACTGTGAATTATCCAAGAAAGGAATATATTAAAAGAGTATAGACAACATAGGCAACACGAAAACATTTTCGAAACTTATTACCTCAGTGTTTTATAAAACACTGACGTAATAAGTTTCGAAAATGTTCTCATCAAAATGTCCCCTTTTTTCTTTTTCCAACAAGTTTCGAATTTTCCCCCGGAATTGTTTTTTTTTAAGCCAGATACTAATTTTGCAGCAGAAAAGTTCTTTTTCTTTTCTGAATCGCAGCTCCAGAGGATATTTTTTAACTAGTGAAGTAAAGTCCGAAATTTCATTAAGGCCTACGTGCACAAGATAATACAATTCGCTCTTTTCACGCTTCCGCCATGGGCATGCAGAGCCTCTATCTGGCAAGTTTACACAATGAAAATAGCCGGTTCAGTGATTCCCGTGTCGGGGTTCAGATCACTGAACCGGCTATTTTCATTGTGCAAAGTTGCCAGATCAAGGCTCTACATACTTATGGCGGAGCGTGAAAAGAGCAAATTAGTTTCCACTCAAGCACGGCGATAAAACCATGTCCCCATAGGAAAGTACACAAAAGTGCGTGGTGTATCCCCAGATCGTTGTTTAAAAAAACATTCGCCCCCGCTGGCTACGCCTATGTGTTATGATAAGAACAAAACCAACACTGCTGGCGTATTTGCAAAGGGTCATTTTGTTCTGACTGCAAAAAAATGAACTTGGAATGATTATCCAAATCGTCTGCCAAACAAACAAACTGCACAGTTTCTACCATGTACTAAACATAAACTGATTTATTCAAACCGGACAAACAAGACTGATTTTTGAAAGAAGGGGAGATTTTTTCCAAGCACTCTCAAGAGCTCCAAAAAAACAAAAACAAAAAAACAAAGGACGGAGGGTAAAGTGTGTGAGAAAGTATCTCAAGTTACATGATGAGTACGACAGTCGAGTGTTACATCGCAGTTCCGCATTATCATGATGACCCTACGCCGGCGCCAACCGACCACCGGGGAAAAAGGCACTGCTACTCCCCATGGGCTTTCCTGCGTCGACCTGCTTGCCAGGGGTTGGCTTACGTGCTCCGTGGTGCGTATCGCACACATGCAAATAGCGTCCAAGTCTACAAACTTGATTGAATTATTTAAAGGGCCCATGCGATGCAAAAATGCATTAGTGTGTATCGGGACCAAATACATGTTTATGCTAATTCAATTTACATAATAGTCATGAGCAAAACCTCGATGTCATATTAAACTTCAGTGAAAAAAGCTCACACAAGCAAAACAGTTTTAGCCTTTCCTTATCAATTGATTTTGTTGGTGATCTTGGCCCAGTTTTCCAGGTTTGCCTAGACTTGTGTTGTTTTAAGATATTTAGAAAAAAAAAGTATCTCCTTTCGTTTCGTTTTTTCCCAAGTAACCCTTAGAGTATGCCCACAAATTTCGTCATGATGAATCCTCAAAAAAGTCAGTGATGACGTAAAAAGCAACACGAGATGATGGTAACAGCATGTTAAGCAACAGTCACATCGTAATGCATGAGTAGAGAAAATCCATCAATTTGAGGGAGATGAAACAGACTTACGCACACAACACAATATGGATGTTCACATAAAAGGCTTTTAAAGGATGGGAAATTGGATAGATTTTTCCCCTGTGAGAAACGAACTGTTTATATTGTGAAGCATTATTGGGGCCGTGTCTGGCATTATGAGATTGCCCATACACGAACGTACGCTTCGTCCTTCAAAACAAATGTTGCTTTCCTATAACTGAATTGATTTTGAGATTCGAACCAGACCTATGTGCGCATTAATACTTCACGTCATGAGAAAGGGTTTCATCCTAATGTTAAAAAAATTATAAATTCAGGATTTTGTATGTGATGGTTTAGTTCACGTGTACGGCCATTTGTTTCATGCGTTTGAAAATTAATGTTTTAGTTTTTGGATGATCGACTAAAGAAATATTTATGCGAGAAAATCTGAAACCCTAGCAGTTTATATTTGTGTTGTAGTTCTCGTACTTGTACTCGTACAGTACTCGAGTACTTTTTTCCGTACTCGTACTCATGGAAATGTACTCGTACTCGCAAGAAAACAAATTCCTGTACTCGTACTCGTACACGTACTCGTACTTGTGGCAAAGTAGTCTTACTCGTACTCGTACTCGTAGCCAAGTACTCGTACTCGTGCTTGTGAAAAAGTACTCGACTGCAACACTGTATGATATTCGTTTATACCATTACTGTTCACACTCGGAGCATATCGTTAATGACATTGTGTCTGTTGATACAACCCTATACAGCCGCGGCGATGCTTCATCGCGTTCGGCAGGTAGTGTTGTGGTAGACGGTAATGCTATCCCCTGGTAAAATTGTCCGAGAGGACAAATTACCCAGGTAAAAGTTTCCTTCGGACCGTTTATTCTGTCCTCCTTCATGTTATTTTGTCGTCCCCCCCCCCCCCCGTGTTGCCATGTATATGGCCCGTTCTACCAGTATGTTGTTTTGATGAATTCACTCCAACGAGTTTGCATTTTGGGCTTTTCTGCCCTCCGTGAAACTATCACAATGAACATATGGCCTTTCACAGAAATGGCAGTAATCGTATTCTGCAGACTTATTGCACACGTTGAATGCCATATTAAAAATAAAAAACAAAAACGTCTGGGTGCTACACATCACGCGTTACAAATAGAGACACATTCACCAGACGGACCCATTTTCTGTTTGGCTAGGGGACAGAATATTAGGCCGTGTACGAATTACTTATGGCTACGGCTTGAAATCACACACAAGTATACGGAAAGTGGCTGCAGCCGCCGCCACAGACTCGTATACAGGGTGAGTAAAAAAAAACCGAAACCCAAATGTCGGGACTACTGTTTTATTGAAGTTCTGCATGTAGCACTTTCAAAATCTAGGATATGAAAGCCCATCTCATTAGCTTGCTTTTAGTACAAAAATCATTCAAATCACTTATGTACTTTTCAAGTTGCGGAATTTTAAACATAACCACCGTTGTAAGGTTTTGTCCACGGATCACACAAAAAAGGTGTGCGTTCTTTCAGCAAAACGAAAACAATTCACCCACATCACTATGTGATTTCTTTCGTTTGTTGAAAGAACACTGATCTTTTTTGTGATCCGTGGACAGAACCTTAAAACAGTGGTTGTGTTTAAAATTGAAACTTGAAAAGTACATGAGTGATTTGAGTGATTCTTGTACTAAAAGAAAGCTTAAGAATTGGGCTTTCATATCCTACATTTTGAAAATGCTACATGCAGAACTTCCTAAACAATGGTCCCAACATTTGGGTTTCGTTTTTTTGACTCACCCTGTATAATTTCAAGCCGTAGCCAAGTAATTCGGACACGGTCTAACCTGCAAAGGGACAGCATCTCCCAGGTAAATTTGCCCATCCCCGGACAGATTTATTTGGGGGGACTCAGGGGCGGCGGAACGCTTTTCAAACTGGGGGGCAACACCAAAAAGGGGCACTTGCTCAGAAAAAGGGGCACCTTCCATCAGTGTGAAAATGGAAGAAAAGAATACGGTCCCTTTCATTTCGCTATAAACCTATATGAAGAGGAGCAAATTATGAATACGTTTTCCATCTTGCTCGGTGTGTTTCTTTTACCCATAGTTATGTAGCAAGACCATTTTTTTTTTATCGCGAGTGGGGCACTGTTGCTTTTGATGGCCAATTCAGTGACAATTTCATTCGCGTGAAGAGCACTATTATTTTTAGGAGCCAATTTTCCATCTCCAGAGGGGCACAATCTTATTATTGCGAGAGGGGTATTTGTGCTTTTGATGGTTAGTTTTCCATTTTGAAAACTTGTGCACAATTCTCTTCTTAATGCGAGAGGGGTACTTGTGTTTTTGAGGGGAAGTTTTTCATAACAAGAGAGGAAACAATTTTATTTGTAGCGCGATCATATGCTTTCATGTGTGTACGTTTGAAGGACAGTTTTGTTTTCATCTCGAGGGGGCACATTGACAGCGAGAGGGGCACTTTTGTTAGCCTGGGAAAATCTGGGGGGCAAGTCCCCCCCCCCCCTCCCCCCTCCTGGTTTCGCCGCCCCTGGGGGACAGAATTACATTACACCGGCTGCATAAAGGACAACCAAATGCAAATCCATGTCTTGAACCAAGGCATTCGTTGCACGCTTCTCACGCGTGCCAAACTATACGCCTGATTTCTCATTGGTTCATTCTTATTTCAGTACAAAGATGCCGACTTGTTCTTGAGGTTCATGGAGGGTTTTGAAAACTACGGGGACGTGATAACCTCCTACCTGGACGACAGGGGACACGCCTCTCTGACCTTGAAATCCACCACTAACTACCGTAAGTTCCAGTATTGCTGACGTTTAACCCTATACTTAGCCGAGGTATAGAAGTGGGACCCCTACATTTTCTCCAAGTCTCACTGCAACGAGTCTTGAAGATTTAACCGTTGATGACCTACCCAAACCGTAGAAACTCCTTCGTTATCATAAAGAGCGAGTTCGAGAGAGAAACATAGTAGTCAACTTTGGCTAATTGGTGACGTGTTATGCGCCTGCGCACCAGTAGTAAAACCGGTCCAATATAAGTCTTACGTTGAGTTTAAGACACCATTTTCACCGTGTAGTTCATACCGAACGTTCATCTTTTCCACAGAGTCAATCTATGAGGTGGTGACAGGCGGTCAGCAGCTAGTTCACGAATTTAGCGATTACTCCACTAAAGTTACTATTCCAGGGACGGTACTCGCAAAACAAGGTAATAAACATCGTCCCCAGTACAAAGGGGAGAACAACTGCTTGAATCCTTAATTGCTCGTCCCCACCACCCTATCCAAAGGTGCCAGTGCCCTCTAATTTTCTTTGAGCTCTGATTGGACGGATTCTTGTACATCACGTGAGCCAGAATACTTTCGTGTGCGGACGTGTGACTCGTGCGCACGGCATATGCGTTTACTTGGTAATGACAAGTGACTTACCAACAATGCTTTGCAGTATCAGCGTTTCCTTCACAAGAGTTTGCGAAACGAATTGGCAGTCAGGGGTGCCCTACATAGAATTTGGATGGGGCGGTGATGACGAGTGAAAATGGCAATGATACGCCCTCAGTGGCGAGATTTTGACAAACGTACACATTTTTCGGTTGGTGTTTGAATTTTATGGTCAGTTATGCTTGTAGCTCATTCATGGGAATAATTGCGGTCGGACAAATACCAACGTTTACTAGTGTGGCATATGGTCACAAGTTCACTAATATCGTCACCGACACCACGAAGTAACACTCTACCGTGTTAAAGCATATTTTTTTCGATTTTCAGTTTTTTGGATTTTTAAACATTATTCATCAAGGCCTACCATTGCACGAAGTTTCAAAGCTTCAAGAGCTTTACTTTAATAATTACGCTAAGTATCCATGGCAACTTTTGCGCAAAAGCGACAATTTTCGTTTTCACGAAGTAACACTCAAGTTCCATTTTCCATTGCAATGCATGGCGCGCACTCTGCTCATAAGTGAGCAAAAACGTTTTCACGAAGTAACACTCTTCTTGTAACAAGTTGTATGAGCGCGCGCGCGCTGACCTGAAGTTGCACTTTCCTCGTGTTAAATACATTGAAGAGTGTTACTTCGTGAAAACGAAAATTTACAGTTTCGCAGCCTTTTCGGTTTCACGAACTAACACTCATCTTTTTTCTCTTATTTCTTGTTTATTTAATACACAAACGAGTGAAAAACAGTAGATTTAATAAATTCAATTCATCAAGTGTCCACAACGAGAAACCCAACTGAAAATACTCTGTCGTTTTGACGCAAAGTGTTGTTTTAAAAGGCGTTCAAGTTTAGTTGCCGTTTTCTCCGATTGCTAGTTTTTACTGGTATGTAGATGGGTGTTACTTCGTGGTGTCGGTGACGATATGTTGATTGACAACCCTGCAATGCAAAGTTGCCGACTGAACACACAAACAATCCACTTAGATTGCACTCTGCAGAGTGTCAGGTTTTAAAATTTTAACAACCACGTATCAAAATGGATGTTAAATACCAACTGGACACGGCCCGTAACACGGGCCCTGCAGTTTGGCACAGTTAATTACCAGATGGTTGTGTTTCCTGTGTAATTACAATATATACTTGTCAACCAAATTGCAACCTGACTAATTTGTGTTATTATTACAGTAGGTTCCACGAGGAATACCAGCGTTGCAACTTTGGTCTTCGCCTCAACAATTCTAGGCCTGTTTCCTTCACAGTCGCAAAACTCCAAGTAAGTGATCCCACAACTGTTGAATTTAGTAGAAAATACATTAGTTTGCACTCGAAATAACGAGTCCGAGTGCACAATAAGCTCTGGAAGTCGTTCAAGATGATCCCTGCCAGAGCTGAAAATGCGACGCCGAAAAATGCGACGCCGATGGCACATATGGAACACCATACACCAAAAGGTCAATTTTCGGGACAGACAGATCGACAGACCGACCACCAAGTGACATGTAGAAGCTCCTGCCAGAGGTTGATGACATCATTGGAGCTGTGGCAGATGTTTTTATTTTCACCTTGCATGCCAGACCATACAAACCTCCTGAATGAGATTCTCTGGGAATAACAAATTTCTGGAGTCTGGATGCTGATAATTACCCGAGCCGAGGGCCTTTTTAGTAAAAAAAAAAAAAATCTAAATTTTTCGGTCCAAAAGTCAAAACAAGTCAAAAATTATAAATTTCCAACGATTTTGTTCAACAATTTTACTTCAAGTTTTTCCCTTTCCTTAATTTATACGGAGATTGGCTTTAGGATCATAAAATACTGACTCGCTGCTAGTATTGCGCGTGCCTACGTGAGGATTGTAAACGTACAACCATTGAAACGGCAAAAAGCACCGGATTTCATAGGAATCCAAATTTCATGTGACACAGGAAATGATTGTGTTTAAGACCAGCCAGCCGGTTTGAGGTATTTATCAAGACTTCCTAATTGGCGTATCAATGTCCGTACAAGGACCGGTGTGTGTGCTGCCACCAAGCGTTTCAGAAGTCAACCATTGACTTATGTGTTCTTCTTTTTATCTATGCATTACGGCAGGATCCGCATTGACACCCAGAACATCAGTTCGGTTCTGGTTTCCTGCAGTGTATTCCCCACCCCGACCACCGACACCTTCGCCGACAGCGTGTCGATACAGATGAAGAACGACCCCGTGCTGCCCAATTCCACCTGTTCATTCTTGACATACAGCAATCCCAAGCGGTAGGCTGAGGAATTTTTTATGTCTCAAAATATAAACATGCACCTTTACTGTGCAGCTCACCTGGTAAAGGTGTAAAGGTAACGAACCTATGTTCACAGGAACGGAGTGCCCATCTCTCTTTCGTTAGCGATTGGGCCAGACTCATATGCTGCTGTTGGAGGATCGCCACATCTCCTCCACAGCGACCTTCCCAACATTGAATAATGCCGGTATCCATTTAACACCTGGGTTGAGAGGAGTAATTGAGGTAAAGCGCCCTACTCAAGGGCACAACGCGCATGACCGAGGCGGGGCTTGAACCCACAACCTCACGATCATGAATACTGTGCTCTACCGCTAGACCAACCGTCCCCAGCTTACCTAGAAAAGACTAAAAGAAATGCGTAGTGATAAATAGGTGTTTGTGTATACTTGCCGGATTGACTAATGCATATTTACCAGTGTGCATGGTAGTCTTTATGCTGATACAAATGTTTGTATAATTAGTCGTTTGTTAGAGTAAAGCAATTGTATCTTGGCAAGAAACGTCCAGTTACAGTTGGTAGAGTCCCTATGTAATTTTGTTTTGTCAGGGGTTTTGGGGGGTTTTGTTTTTAAAAGTAAACATATCTATTATATGACTAGCTGTCAGTCAATGCGTCATTAGATTAACAAAAAAGAGAGCGACATTTTAGGATCGTGATATTACAGAAAAAAATGTCTAGTTAAAAGTGAGCGGACCTACAACCCGCAGTTTCCCCTAAAAAGGAAGTAGATCATCGCTCTTTTTATTTTTCCACCCGATGTCCTTTTCTATTGTAACAACTTGCAGGTAAACAAAAAAATGACTTCAAAGTATATTTTGATGAATTCCAGACCAAACATTAAGAACAAAACAATTCATATCATTTTCATATTTCAGAGTTCGCTAAAAGGACGCATTGGGATGTACATGCATTATGAACCTTAAAATGAAGTTATTTAAACCAAGTTCTGCATGTTGTTTTCTGTGGGGTTCCAGATACTTTGCGCGTATCCCTTTTCTTTATTAACACCAGGGCCCTCTTTGCTATAGGATCTATCCTAAATCCTTCAAACATCAACTGCGACTATGTAAAATTTGGATTCTGCCTCCAAGCGCCAAAATCATCCGTTATTTATTGAATTTGTTCGGCGGAGGGGTGACGCCTGCCTCAATCCTTCACAATCCTCCAACAATCGCTGTGATACATTGAGGAAGTATGGATAATAATGCCAGCAGTGCAGATGGTTTCCAGTATAATGCGAGCCTGAGTTATACATGGCTGAACATAAACAACGCTGGGTACAGCTTAGAAGATCTTGACGCAATGCATCCTCCAAAACCGTCTGGTTGATTTTGGAGGATTGAGAAGGGTTTAGCGCTGCTTGCAGCTAATACTTGAAACGCAACTGTAACTTGGATAATGTGCAACACTGTCCCGGACGTAGCTTGTCACTAACGCATCTATTTGAATTTGTCGCCGTCAGTGTCTGGAAAGAGGACCTACAAGGATGCCAGAAGCCGGTCTTCAACGACGATGGCACGGTGACATGTCATTGTACCCATCTGACGACATTTGCCGTTATAGGCAAGGTGAGTGGGCCTACCATGATAAAGCAAGAGCGCGAGTAAAATCTCGTTGTTGGGCTATATAGCGCCCTCTAGTGTTCACGTGAGCAGGTCCCAATGGGTGCGTTCGAGTAGCTTCTCCATGTATACACGCGGTTAACACTCGATAAAGCCAGGCAATGAGGCTTATCGAAAGGTGCGGTGTATTCGCCTGCATTCTTCTTGTATCATTGCAACCAGATCAATACTTGCTGGATTAATTAGGAAGATATGCTCTGCCCTGCTCTGTTCAATTTATCACGTGAACGTAAATTGCATTACGTTTGAGTCATAAATCCGTACATTTGTATTCACTAAGTATTCAATTAAATTTCCCGCCATCTTCAATCGAGCCACGAAATCGTCCCGCTACGTCATTGCAACCGGGCAGCCACGAGAGACCCGCTCGCGAGCTTCTGGGGCATAACACCGGGGCAGACACGAGTATCACGTGGTGGTTAATCGAACGCGCTCGTGCAAATGTTTACTCTCACGTGTAAGTTATTCCAAACACTTCAAATTCATTCATTTTTAGCGATGTATGACAACTGCGCATGCGTATTTACCATGGTACTGTCTACGAAGCCATGCAAACTCCTTTTCTTTAGTGAGCCCGGATCTCTATTGTGTTGAGATTAGCGTAGTGAGCAACTGAGCAAGCTGGCCGCCAGGTGCTTTCTATTGTAGCTTTCGAGCGCGGCGACCATCATTTTACTTTTGAAGTCTTGGAGTACGAACTCTTTGGGTCCTTGCTCTATGGTTATTCGAACACATCAAAAACTATTTCGCTCCGTCCTCGATTGTGAAGGAAATCCAGCATTGCGAAAGTCAGGGTGACCGTTTTAGCCGAATTTCGGCTAAATTTGAAAGAGTTTTTTTTATCGAAAAAAAAAAACTAGTTTGACAGAAACTTTTAAGCAGAATGATTTTTTGAGCAGATTTCTAGCAGAATCCTGTATTAAATTGGTGATCTGACTCGAAAATATGGCTGATTTTCGTGATTAGTTTTGAAAAAGGTTAATTTCAGGTTCCCTGACGTGTATTAGTACACAGTAAATTCCTTTAAACCATTGCAAGCCAGGCTAGACGTGCAAATTAAAAATTAAAAATATTAATTTTTTTAAAGTAAATTTTGAGATTTTTTTAAAAAGGAAATTGTGTTACATCTGCATCATGTGAGTACATTGTTTATAATGTATTTTGTGTAATACATGTAAAAGGTGATTAAGCAGATTTTTGTCAAATCTAGCAGATTTTTGAAGTGCATCTAGCAGAATTTTGCCATTACCTTACGGTCACCCTGGCGAAGGTATAGGACGCCTGCTATAAACAATGTGAATGCGTATCTTGCATGAACTGGCAGTGAACAGTGGATCACTTCCTATATGTATCCAATGAGATCTCAAAGAAATTAGAGTTTACCAGCTCACTCGGCCAGGGTGGTGGGAACGAGGATATGTTGTCTTGCCACCTGGCCCTTTAAAAGTGAATGACTACATGTACTCACAATTTTTCACAGCCGTGTCTTGTCCATCCATGCATGCAGCCCACACGCTGTCCATATTGACAGCAAGCCGAGGTGTCCGTTCCTATCATTAGCATTCACTTCACATCGAATCTCCCTCCAGTGTTTTGAATATTAAATTGAAGCCAATGCATACGTAATGATCCTTCTCGTCAAACAGTGTTCCCAATGGCGGCGGGTTTCACTGTCCTATTCCAACTCTCCAGATAGGTAGAAAATTAGAATTAATTTCACGCCTCGAAACAGACGAATGGTGTTACGTACGTAAGGGCCTACGCCTCAGAGACGTGTACGTGCATAAAACATATACGGGTGACGTACGTCAGGGAACCGGAATTATCATCCTGCCTGCACCAGGCTGCAGCATTTTCCTGCGCTTTTCGGCGCCCTCATTGGCTCTCATTGCGCCCATTTAGGAAAATTTGGTATGGAATAGAACCATTGATATCCATATGAAAACTGAACAGCCCATTGGCTGTATGAAGTGAAGTCACCGTCCGCCATATTACGACTCCAAGAATAATAGATTTGTAAAGAAAGATTTTTAATGAATGAAAGTAACATCATACACTTTTTACTCAACAATTTTTTTGGCCAAAAAATTATAAAAAAAGTTTACTATACATTAAGATGACTCTGTTAAATTAAAAAGTGATCCTAGGTAGATCGTTCAGGGTGGATACTACTAGTAGCCATAGTATAAAGTTGCCATTGACTCCAATGATAAATAACCTGGACTTCAAATAATTCGGAAAACTCTCACAACTTTCCAAGATGGTCATATCACGGCACACATAACACCAAACGCATATTCCGTGGCTTACAACCTTCATTGCGCCCTTATTTCAGACATTACACCAAACGGATCATGATTTGATGCAGAAATTAATATACGTTCTGGCCCCAACTAATAATCATACAGTAGGCATATCCACAACCTAACTGGTATAGATCGATAAAGCTACCGAATGGCGCATTCCAAAAAAAAACATTCTGCCCAAAAGCTATTCAAGTTCACTCTTATGTTCTTTTGAATACGTTACTAAAAAGTTAAGAAATAAAGAAAATGCTTCAACAATAATAGGAATGTTTTCGCGGCATTTTGATTGGACTTTCAAATTGGGTTCGCAAGCACTTGGAAGCAATGCAGGCACTTAAATTATGTAAACCTTCACTTTACTTTGGAGGAAACATCTTTATCGTGTTCGTGTATAAATTTCAAATGACCGTAACAAAAATTGGTGCTTTCTTGTACACGTAGTTAGGCCTAACTATAAATCAACTTAAGGCCCACTTTCCTTGTTCTGCTTACAATAAGCAATTAACGTATACGGTCAGCTCATTTTACGGACAAGCAAAAGCAGTTTGGCAGGTGTGCATGCGTACGCGTTCGTCCCAACGGAGCATTTTGTAAGCATAAGTTGCTGGCGCATGTGCAAGCACTGTAAGCACAGAATAGCGACCGTATTAAGCACGAAATTCGGTGGTTAGAAGAGCAGTGAAATTTAGCCAATTTCTTCTTTTCTCTTTTACAGTACAACACGAGAGGGAAGCTACCAAATGTCCTTCTGGCTTCGATGGTTTTATACTTGGTTCTGATAGCAGCGACCTTTTGCCTTCTACTTTATGCAAATAGGTAAAGCAGGAAACCTTTGTGGTGGTCATTTTTAAGGCAGAGTACAACTAATGCTGTTTGGAAACTTTGGATAGACTTTATAAGGCAATTGGATCATTTGCAAAGAAAAATAAACAACGCAATCGCCAAAATATTATGAAATGTCGGACTTGATTGCAAGTAAATAGTAGGATCAAACGTCATGTGAAATCCTTGCGCCTGGCAGGCTTTCATTTTCAAGATAAGAGGAATTACCATTATTTCCTAGCAAACCTATATGCTTTGGTACCATCTTCCAACATAGAAGGCGCTCTTCAAAACCAATGATTATATGCTAAATATGCATTATGTGCCCATTTTCAGGCCGTATTGTATGGGTTTTGGGACTTGGTTTTCATATTCCTCGTTTATATCAAAAATATCTATACCATTATTGGAAAATGGTTACTTCTTAGAAATAGTAAGATAATTTAAGGGCATTTTTGATTTATCTCGAGGGGACACTTTAATGCTCGAGGGGGCACATTTATGGCTTCAAAAGGGGCACTTGGGAAAATCTTGGGGGGGGGGGGGCAAACGCCCCCCCCCCCCCGGTTCCGCCACCCCTGTTCGTTGCTAAAACGTATTTTGACAGATAAGAAAATCAGAGGTGATGTTTTTTTCTCCAAAATGTCTTTTTTTCACCTCCAGAACATTTGAATCAGATCGTGCCTCAATAGTGCTGTGTTTCCTAGCAACCCTTTTAACCGGTCATATAACGCTTGTTGCAGGAGTCTACGCAATAGATAACATGGTAAGAATTGTGACGTATGATGGCAGGTTGGGATAGGTTGGGTTGAGGTGCATGGTGTGGAATGTGTTGGGTTGGGTTGGGTTTAGTTGGGGTCATGGGTTGGGTTTGGCTTGGGTGGGTGGGTTGGGTTGGGTTGGGTTGGGTTGGCTTCGGTTGAGTTGGGGTCGTGGGTTGGGTATGGTTGGGTTGGGTATACGAGTTTGGTTTTTGCATTCAATAGGGGACGTTGAACAATAGAGGACAATAGGGTCCCCGATTCCCGAGAGGTCCCCAATTTGGATTCCACGGTGTACAAAACATAATGGGAGGTCTTCCTAAAAAGTTATAGTACAAAAAAAGGGACAATAGGGGGTCCCCGATTGCAGGCAATCGGGGACCCCCTATGGGTTGGGTTGGGTTGGGTTGGGTTGGGTTGGATTGGGTTGAGTTTGGGTCATGGGTTGGGTATGGTTGGGTTGGGGTCATGGGTTGGGTTGGGGATGGTTGGTTTTTTTTTTTGGAGGGGGGAGTTAAAATTAGGTTGGGTTTGGGCTGGGCTGGGCTGGACTGGGCTGAACTGGGATTTGTTGGGACTGGTGAGGTTCGATTGGGCTGGTTTGAATATGATTTGGCTGGTTTTGATAGGTTGGACTGCGTGAGTACAGGTTGATTTTAGTTGGTTTTGTAGTCCTTTATTTTAACAATGCACATTATTGGCGCTGACGGGTTTACACATTTTCCTTTGAATATGTTGATTTCTAATTTGCCGTTTTGTTCTAATTTCTTTGTTTCCAAATTCACTTTGCCAGGATGCCTGCCGCGCAGTAGCCTTACTCCTCCATTACTTTCAGCTGTCTTACTCCTTCTGGATGCTGGCCCAAGCTGTGCAAATAGTGCTCAAGGTGAGACAGGGAGTAGGCGCAAACTTGCGCTCATTTTAGCCGAATGAAGACATCAATCGTGATCTTATACAAATTACAATGGGTCGTTTATATCACCAAAAAGATTTTACTGGTCATCAATCCACTGACATTTGTATCCCTTTCACGGATATCTGATTTTTTTGGAGGGGGGGGGGGGGATTTGGAAGTTATCCCAAACATGTACTTGCATGTGACACTGAAAAGTTTTGCGCTCATAGGTATACCGACCATTTAGTTTTCCAAGGTTACCAGTTATCTCTTTCAAGAAATAATATGAAAGAAAAGGCAAAGCATTGTCGTAGCTCATCGCCATGATTCAAGTTCTTACATTCCATGCTCATGGCTTCAGGCGAGTAAAATAGGCCCGAAAATGACCTTTACGCCGGCCAAATCACGATGTGCATGCCCTCAATTTTGTTTGGCTATATTTGCAGCATTTTGTGGACCATGAACTTGAGGGTTTGTAAAAAAGAAAAAAAGGGGGGGGGGGAGCTGTGCACAGGAGTGCAAGCTCGTATTTCTGTGAAAATCGGTTGAAATTGGGCCCCACAATAACGCTCCATTTTGCAATGGAGCGCAGGCATCAGTTTTTTTCAAAATGGCGATGGGCTTCCAGGAGTACTGACAATCCTTCGATGGAATTTTCTGCCAAATGTCATGGTTAACCCCCCAAAAACTTGATGAAATAAACTTTAATTTGATGTGTGTCTCAATTGGAGAGTTATGAGTATTTTACCTGAATTTCGGAACTGGGCGTATTTATCACTATAATGGCCAGTCAAAAAATTAGCAGCTCACAGTAATTAGCCGGCACCAGTGCCTTTGAATAGGGCAGTACATTTAAAACGAAGAACGACCTTGACTTTTTTAGTATATTTTTTTTAAAGTTTCACGTTTTTGTCCTTTTTTTTTAGATGACGTACAAGACGACAGAATCCGGCACAGTTGCTCAGTTTTTAGCCCTGGGGTGGATCACACCGTTGTTTGTCGTTGCCGGCACAGCAGGGATTTATGTTGAAAGCTACGGCCGAGGCAACTAGTAAGTTTTCGATCAGCCACTTTAAAATCACTTCAATTATCATTTAGTAGATTTAGTGCCAAAACGATTTAGGACAAATCAAGGGTGCCAACTAATAAACATGTCAAATCAAGAGTGTCTAAAAGATTCATTTTCAATCAAGAGTGTCTTAAAGTCAAATCAAGGGTGTCACTGAACAATTTAGGTCAAATCAAGGATGCTAAATTAATTCAGGTCGAATCAAAGGTGCCAACTAATAAACATGTCAAATCAAGAGTGCCCAAATGATTCATGCTCAGTCAAGGGTACCAAACTGATAAACGTCAATTCAAGGGTGCCAACTTAATTGATGTCACATCAAGATTAATGCCAAATCAAGGGTGCTAATCTGATTTCAACGTCAAATCAAAACCTCGAAGGTACCACATTTTTATTAAGTCGTAAGTCTGGGAAACTGATTACTGTCTTATTGATTGATTCCTTTGCAGCTGTGCACTTCCCCTTGGTTCGGGAATTTCGTATGCAATCATTACCCCCGTGGCACTAATTGGATTCGTAAGTAAATCCACATGGCATGTGTTCATATACATGTATAAACACGAGTTAGCAATAGGCTGGTGGAAACTTCATTACTTGCCTTTTTATTTTTTGCCGTTTCATATGCGTCAGCCATTCCTGCGGTGGCACCATGGGCCGATGTCATGGTGCTGCTAAATAAGCACACGATTTTCTGCTAACAGAACCTCTGTCTATTTCAGAGAGACCGTAAGCAGTAAGCACAGCAAAAGGCACGCCTACCTCAGAGGACAAAATTCTTAAAGAGGTTGTGGAATCCTCGAAGACATTTCCGTCATGTTTTGGGTATATGTAGCCTAAGGTGTGATGAAATAAAAACGACTATTGTTTCTGTCATGAAATGAGTACAAAGGGTACTTTTGAGAGCTATTTTTCAGGTCCTGTTTCGACCCGAACGTGCAATTTGTGTAAAAGTCGCCGTTGCGGGCAGCAAACAAAACACAGTAAATCGTGACGTACTAAACAGGACTCGTTTATGCTACTCTGCATCGGGAGTCCTGTTTATTACGTCACGATTTACTGTGTTTTGTTTGCTGCCCGCAACGACGACTTTTACACAAATTGCACGTTCGGGTCGAAACAGGCATGACAGGACTTGAAAAACCGCTCTAAAAAGTACCTTTTGTACTCATTTTATGACAGAAACAATAGTGTCGTTTTTATTTCATCACACCTTAGGCTACATATACCCGAAAAATGACGGAAATGTCTTCGAGCATTCCACAACCTCTTTAACTTAGTGACGTAACAATAGAAATCTCCATGCGCCCGCGACTGTTACCACACCCACACCATGAAATAGTGCTTAAGGTTAGCACATCTTTCTGCTATGCTAAGCACAACTTTTCTGCTAACCGCTAATAAGCAGTGTCACGAAATTGGGCCCTGGCTCGCACTCGTCGCGCTCGGGTAGTTTGCACGCACTCCGGGCTCCTTCGACCAATAGGGTTGCCGGGATGCACGCGCGCCCAGTCTTAAATAACGCGCGCGGTATGCGGGTGAGCGTGGTACCACCGCAAAAATGGCTCCAATGCTTTCTGACGAATTCAGCATACTCTTTTTTAGTTCATCATTTGTAATTTGTGCATTTTTACAGTGCATTACTTTTCGGATAGCTGCAAATGATGGACTTTAGCTTTAAGATGGATCAATTTTGTCCATTGTTGCTTTATACCAGGTAACTGCATTTGCTCCATTTTTTTTTCAATAAATGGAAGGCAGTACATTTCCTGTGAGAGGCAACATTCTTAGATATACATATGTTGCAAACTATTTTGAAACGAAAACAGTTCAGGAAAAAAATGTTATGCTTGTCATCAAAACAATGTCTTGTAATTTCCAAATAATCAGAGGTAGACTTTGGCTAAATATGAAGTCTAAACAAAATGAACCGATACAGTTTTGGGGGTCGTAAAGTGTTGTGTTTGAGTAATCAATAAAATATAATTAAATTCACTGTTTTGATTATAACTCAAGGATTTTGTTCCTTTTTTCCCCCAGACAAATTTTGTATGCTTATTCTACGCATTTTACTGCTACTACGGTTTAAAGAAAACAGACAAAAAGTGCCTTGGCTACATGAGCAGAATCTTGTAAGTACCGACAGTATTCTTTAGTTTCCAGGCAATTTTCGCCTGCTACAATTATTCGTTTTGGACAATCTGCAGAATGAACCAACTGCAAATGCTTGCAGAGTTATTAACAGTTCCTGTGAAGACAACTTCTTTATATTATTGAAACAGATATGGACCCAGTCAACACAATCACTACATGTGACTGTGTACATGTATTACATACACCCTGAGCACAGACAGACAAAGAGAGAACAACAGATTCTTTGTTGTCCGCGAGCGTTCATCTTTTGCAGGAAACGGTCCTCGATCATGAGTGTGTGTGTTTAGGGTGGATAAAAAAACACCGAAACTGAGATATTATTGCTAATTGGAACAGAAGTACGGCACATGTGAATCAAAGGGAGATGTCCTCTGTTAGGGTTGAATCTCCCCTTTAAAATTACACCCTGATCATGTCCTTACATTCATGGATGACTGAGCAGTAACTAATTTTATGAAAGGGTCTATTTAGAGACCTGCGCCACTTTTCATGGTGAAATCTCTTTTTTCCCCACCTGCCTTGATTGGCAACCCTAGCCTTTCACTCTGTGACAACACAACAAAAACCACAATTGAAAAGTGGCGCAAGTCTCTAAATAGACCCTTTCATAAAATTGGTCACTGCTCAGTCAACCGTGAATGTAATGACATGACCAGGGTGTTATTTTAAAGAGGAGTTTCAACCCTACAGAGGATATCTCCCTTTGATTCACATGTGCCCTACTTAGAGTCAGACTTGGTGACCGTGGGTCACCATGTTGACCGTGGGTCACCATGTCTGACTCATGGTAGGCCTTCATGGGTTTACACCTTGATATGGACCATGGTGCTTGTGTTCTTGGGCAAGACACTGAACTGCAATTGTCTCCCTCCACAAAAGAGAATACATGGGTACCTGTATAGGTAGAGACCAGACTGTGCAGAGCTGGTGCAGAATGCTGGTCTCATGGGTAATTATTGTAAAGCGCTATAAGAAAAATACAAAGCATTGAATAAGCACTGCATTATCATTATTATTATTCTGCGTATTTTCTTTTCTCCAGACCCAACATCCGTGCATGCTTGATAGTTCTCCCACTCGAGATCTGCGAGTGGGTATTTTCCGCCTTGTCCATTGAGTACGAGGATGTCATCTTTGATGTCTTCTGGATACTCTCTGCTCTAGCAATGGTACGTACACACGCAGTTACCCTTCACATTAACCAAAATACATTGTACATTTGGAAAGCATGGTTAGCTCATAGATTGGATAGTATGCTCATACCCACTACCTAACCAAATCAACGTGCTGATAGTGGATAATTCTTAAGAGCTGTCAAGACTGCTCTCTACATACGGAATGTTTACGCATAGATCATGGTAGTAAATTACTCACAATGCTTTACTTTTTTCCCCACAATGTTTTATGAAACTAGAGACAAGAGTACAAGTAAATTAGATTAACCAAATGTTGGACCTTGAGTGTAGCTATGCATAAACTCCATCTTATGGTAACAGCATACAAAATAATATTCTGTAGTTCAACCTCAGCAAATGATTATCACGGTGAGAGTGCCCCAATGTGAACATTTGATTTAAAATAGTGAACACCAGATTGTATATAATATTTAATTCCACTGTGCAGCATTTTAAGGTTATATGTTAAGGTGTATGTGATAATATTAAAATTTCTTCTCTTTTCCACTTTGACAAAAATTCAGAGTATACTCATTCTGCTCTTCTACGGGATTAGCAGTTCGGAGGTGAGTGGCACTCTTCTGTGCTTGATCTGGTGAAATTGTTAAATTGAATCCCTCTATAAAGGCCTTGATCTTTTATACGGCACCACGATTATTAATCTTATTTGACACGATACTTTAACAAGAACCACGGCACCGTTTCATAGCCACAAAGTGTCTCGAGGTTCTATAGTAGGTCAACCCCATCACTAGTCCTCACAAAACCATCGCAAGTCAATCACAACTCATCCAGTTCAAGTCATGTCACAAGTCATTCAAATGAACTGTGACAAAAGACATTCCTTTGTTACTTTTCATCCCCTGCTCCCTGTGACTTAACTTGTGCTGATCTAGACTACAGCACTGTGATATCGGTATATATTATACTTTTTCCCCTCCATGGAGCAAGGTTGTGGAGGAATATGAGAAGCATTTTGGACCCTGCTGCTGGCAGCACAAGAAGAGCTCGGCGGTCAGGGACTCGCCCCGGCCGGGCTGGCGAGACGAGATCAGCCAGATCAGCCAGTACCGGGAGGCCAGCTCCATCCTGAGAGACATGGACAGCACGGCCACAGTGACGGGCGCAAACGGCACCACCACTGACGGCCGAGGAGGCAGCAGCGCCGTGGCGGGCTGCAGCGGCATCAACAACGGCGGGCTGGAAGTGGATGACGTGCTAGCTCATGGCCGAGAGCTCAACGACGTCTCTGGCTCCAACCACCTAGCGTCCAGCCTCTCCTCCTCCTTCATGTTAAAGGTATTGCTTTTGGGGGTACATACCTATGTTTCCCAATACATGTATCTATGTTCCCCAATACCTATTTTCCCCAACCCTAACCCTAAGTCTAACCCTAACCCTAATCCTAAGGATTTTGGGGTACATAGGTACTGGGGAATGTCGGGTAGACGCTGCTTTTGGAACCGCTCTGGAGCTACAGGAGTGCGGCCTAGTGGTCAGGGTTCCTGAATCATGATCATAGAGGAAGTTCATATCTAGGTGCTGGTCATTTGTTGTGTCCTTGGGCAAGCTACTTCGAAGTGCACTTGCCTTTCTTCACCCAGTAGTGCGGTAGATAGGAAAAATATTTGGAAGAATTGTGCCTTTGATGATACAAGCATGGAATTTGGCACACAGTCCGAGTATGTCACAATTTTCAAAATGGCTGCCATTGCGTATTATTTTACCTTTGCTTTTTTTTTTCAAAGGATAGATCTGCAATGGCCCTATACCCAAATATCTTTCTCATGACATACACTGACTGTGTACCAAGTTCCATGCTTTTATCATCAAAGGCACAATCCCATCACCTATTTGCCGTACTACAGAAGCATAGGTTTCATTTGCCAGTAGACTTGTACAAATGTATCCAAATGTCCAATATCCAATATCTAACTAACTTTATCATCATTGTTTGAACTCTCCCTTCACACAGACCAAACTCAAGGTGTTCCCACTCCGCAAGAGCCAACAGCCCCCGTCCACGGGGGCCCAGTCACCGTCGGCCGCCAGGCAGGGCCTGGACAACCACAGATGACAAACATTCGACACCTCGTCAGCGCCGCGCTCCGTTACCAACCATGCTCCAAAGAGGGCGCCGTCACCCTCGTCGTCGCCATCGTTATCAACAGTGCCACCAAAGACGGTGTCCTTCCAGCTGCAGCCAATCATCATCCAGGAAAGGGAGAACGTCAAGACCGAGGTGTCTGTTTATGCAAATCTATAGATTTTTTTTGGGGGGGGGAGGGGGACGCCCGGACCCGAATAAGAAAAGATTGACTCAATTCATGACAGTACCTTTTTTGCCTCATTGATTTTATGTCCCTCTAATTTTTTTCCCCTGTAATTTGTTATCATTCCTAACTCAAACTGTAACGGAAGTTTTTCATGAGCCACAACGTAGCATTTCCACATCAACATTGGAACGGCTTGCAAGAACTCAACAGCTTTGAGGTTCTAGAACTTTCGTGTGCATTCTACAATGGTCATTCTATGTATGTAAATGGAAAATGGTACATTGTTACATCCACTAGACACTTTGAAAACAATTTACAAGGAAAATAATAACCGTGGAAACACGAGTCAACAAGTAACAAGAACTATGAGTGTTTATGAAACATCGGCGGCGTCTCTGGGTTCGGCTTAAGATTTGAGGCCCCTTGTGGTTCAATATTGGTCAATATTCTGCTTCAGGGTGTTATACCCTTTAACATACATTGGTGTGAAAGTTTAGAGAAATTCTTATTGGTTTGAATATTAAAGGCTTCTCGATGCTTCTGAAGACAGAGATGAAGACAGAGCTGGAAACGAAACCAGTGTTTCAAAAATACCTCTTATATCTCAAGCTCATATCACCCGCAACTTGATTCAATCCCTGTGCAGAATAAAAATGTATATGTACATTATCAAAAAGCAAACCTGTATATATTGCATCCATTGATTGATACAAAAATTATTTTTGTATGACATGTTGTTTTCCATCAATTTTAATTGTTGTTTTGACGAAGTCAGTGCAGTGTTTGTGGTATTTGTTTTTCACTTTGGCACTTCATTCTGCACACTAAAAAAAACAAAATTGTTTTAAATGGGTTCATTATTCAAATGAAATATACATGCACACTGAACAATGAAGAAATTAGAAAATCGGTTAAGTAAATAAAATATATTTTTTGGGACTTGAGTTACAGAGCTCGTATCAGGAGCTTGCGACACCATCACGGTGTCTTGGTCAACCGGCGTTGTTGCGGCCCTCACGTGACCCACATGTGACCCGTGCACGTGACCAAGCTTAAGGCACATGACAGGAGGCGGTCGTACACGTGGGCCAGCTCGTACCCTCCATCTCTGTTCATATGGGGCGGTGCCTGCGGATTTCCACAGCTTCTCGGATTTTGCGTGTATAGACGTCATCCTCCCTGGCGATGATCTTAGCATTGTCCACAGAGATGTTATGTCCTGGGGTGGATATATGTTCACCAACTGCTGTCGGGGGGGGGGGGGGCTGACCTACTGGTGTGTTCTCTGCATCGGGTCTGCAGAGTGCGAGCTGTTTCCCCGATATAAGTGTCTTCACAGCCACCACGCGACATTTGGTATACAAGGCCACATTTCTTGAGGTCTGGACGCCAGTTGACAAAGACACCGTGATGGTGTCGCAAGCTCCTGATACGAGCTCTGTAACTCAAGTCCCAAAAAAGGTATCTTTTATTTACTTGATATAATAATGGGACTAGGAAACAAACTTTCATGCTCGGTTATTACCAGTTTTCCTTTTGCAAAGACCCGGCTTTGTCATAGTTTGCCCAGAGCGCAAGCTAGAAAGGAACAGATATGAAAAGAAGAAGAAAACACAAGACAGGGGCAAGCCTAGGAAAGCTGGTCCCATCATTTGATTCATCATGGCTATTCACTGGAAGTCTTTTCATGTATCTGTGTACACAGTGGGCCATATTTAGCCCATTCATTGGCGTTACGGAGTAATCCTATACAACAGCACTGCCCGGCTCACAAGCCACAGTGAGTCGGTGAGTCAGTGCGTGTACAAAGAGGACGACAGGTTGACCCTCTCTGGGACCAGCACAAATAAAGATCATTTGGACAATGACAACTGATTCCACCTTTAAAAATTCCTGAAGATACAAATCTGATACGAACTACATGTACATGTACATGTACCAGTACCAAACCCCATCAGGGCCCAATTTCATAGCGCTGCTAACCACAGAATTCCGCGCTTACACGCATCATTCTGCGCTAACAGCGCTAGAAGAAAAATTCTGCGCTAACCCAGTAAGCACGGACCCCTTAGTTACGGGATGTATGCATGCGCATAAGTCAAATTTCCTCTCTAACCCGCGAAATATGCTTACCGTAAGCACAGAATTTTCTGCTGCAGTAAGCAGGGATTTTCGCCAGCGGTTAGCAGAGCCATTAAATTGGGCCCAGTTCTCTGTGTCATCATTCAACTCTTTTCCACAATGCGCCATAAAGCATGTGTGTACATTTTCTGATGTAAAAACCTTAAAATGTTAATCCGTGTATGTTAATTGTACACCAGTGTTGTAGTACTCGTACTCGGTACTCGTACTCGAGTACTACTCAAGTGTTTTTTTGGAGTGCTCGTACTTGTACTCGAATTTCAAAGTACTCGTACTCGAAATGATGGTACTCGTACTCACGCAGCAAAGTACTCGTACTCGACATGTCGAAATTGTACTCGATCTTTAAAGTACTCGTACTCGAATAGCAGCACTCGTGGGAAGAATGGTATAGCTTGACTTTACATACCACGGCCTTATTTTATCAATACTTTCAGTTTGAAATGGTTAATAATTGGCTTGTGGAAAAATCGAAGTTTCCTGATTTTCCTCTGTGCACGTCTGCACAAGCACATTTCTGTATATCAGTCTGACTGGGCCTTGGCCTATTACGCACAATGAACCATTTGCCGTGTGGCCGTATTCGGAAATAAAAGTAGTAGTTCTCATACTCGTACTCGGAAGTACAGAACTCGTACTCATACTCGTACTCGGAAGTACAAGTACTCGTACTCGGAGACCTGTTCTTGTACTCTGAGGTACAAGTACTCGTACTCGGCAACCCAAATACTCGGCAGTAGTCGGTACTCGGAAAAAAGTACTCGACTACAACACTGTTGTACACACCTCGATAGATGCATGTGTATTCCAAGAATGTATACATAATAATTACAACCAATGAATCATTGATTTGCCTGTCTTTTAAACCATCCATTTTAGATGCATGTACGCTGTTTAACTTATCAATTGTCTCTTTCATACTGCACTCGCACAAATGTACACGTAGTCAAAAAACTTGCGGCAAAAAAGCTGTATAAACTTTTACCAAGAAAACTTTTATTATTATATCAAGTCTTTCTACATGTATGTACATAGGCAGTGGTCTTTCTTACAAATCAGTGAGATGATTAACACTATAAACAGGCTATTTACAATGCTGTAGCCATCTTTGCTTTCCCTTAGTGGGTTACTCTACTGCAACTACTGCAGCCACTGGAAACCTGTGCCTATAAACACGTCTATGGGAAGTGGCTGTAGCCTCTAGCCAGTGGCTTCCATAGGCGCAAGTGTTATTTCCAGCCGCAGCCACATCTTTCAAACACGGCCTGGTATTGTGCTTTATTATGCAATAGGGAATACAAACATGGCGATGGCAACACCAAAATAATGTGTAAATTGAAAATGATTATATACATGAATTTGTACCAGAGTTTTGATCATGTCATTTACAAGTCCGTCTCGAATCAAGTGACAGGCAACCTTGTCCCCAGGGTGTCGAGCAGTACGCGCCCACCACTACCTGCTCTCTCACCCTGGTATTGGATCATTTGCATGTGCAAGATTTTTGAACATGTATGCAAATGAGGAATAGTCTGGTGCCTGCCTGTGCGTTACATTTGCGTTTGTTTTTGTATGCGATGTCTGGGGTAAAAATAGAATCGATTCGTCGCAGCACAAGCATGGCGTGAGTAACAAAAACACGATTTAATTTTAATTAAACTGTAACGCTCTTAACGAGACAACATGCAGTATCACATGTCAAATGTTAACCAATTGGAAAGGAAATGAATATTGTCGAGAATGCGTGGACGAATGATCGTGAAAACACGTACTGCACGTTATGAATAACAACACCAAGTACACGATATAAATCCATTTCTAGCCAATTGCGGTATCGAATCAGGATACAGGAAGAAAGTTTCCTATCCAGGGCTTACTATTGGGAAATGAGTTTGGAAATTAAGTAAGCACTGGGGACGAGTTGAGTGACAGGCTATCGGGAAGGAATTGTGACACACACAAATGAATGATGACATATTGTCACATACACTGTACGTTTTCATCCTCTGTTACCTATGACCATGAGGTCCATAACTTGGGATATGACTGTTTTGGTGGCTCACTTGATAGGAACTCTGCCCTTTCCAACTGTACACTTGTGATATCTTCTCGCTCATCATGCATGCAATTGGAAAGTTACAACCACACAAAAAAATTCTAAGCTTTACACAACCTTCTACAGTGTTTTCGAAGGCGTACATGAAGGGTGAAGTAACAACAAACGGAAATCGGCTGATCCAAGGAAAAGTTGCTAGTCTGGTATGATGTAACTCCTGAAAGTTTTTTAAAGAGTTTTCAAACCTCATGTACCCAATGTTTTCAGAAAGCTTGGGCAACCTTTCACATCTACAGAAAGCTTCTAACAGGCAATTGAGCTTACAATTTATTAATGAAAAATCGTTATAACTGGCAGATTACATATAGGTTGAATTTCCCTTCTACTTTTGAGTTTCATTCCAAATCATAGATTCCTTGTCTAAATTGCTATTTTTCTGGCATTCACTTTTGAATAAGACATCGACTGAAAAAAAAAATTGGCCTTCATTTGGTTATTGAATTACTTTAAAAATGTTGCATTACTTGCTGCCTGAAATTTCTTTTTCACATAGTAGGCTGGTTCCTGCCCCACATTCAGTATCAATAATGTATGGACCGGGAACCAGTTACCTCATAATAAAGGCAAACTATTTGTGCCCCAAATGAAATCTGTTTTTTTTTTCTTCAAAAGGTTGTGAACACTCAAAAAAAAATTTGAACTTTTTGCGTTGGAACAAAATATAAAAGTAAAAAAAGTTATTACGAGAAAAAAAACATTCAAGAGTATCGAAAAAAGCATGGGGAGAGCAACTTTAAAGTCATTTTAACACAAAACAGCCACATCCGTGCACAGGACGCACAGTCTTAAACCCTCTACAACGTCAACATTTTCCTTAAAGTTTGCCAATGTAAAAAAGTTGTACAACCTTATCAAATTATAAAAAAACAACACAAAATATAACCAAAATTTGTTCTACTATAATCAAAAATTTCCACTATTTTATACTGATAAAAGAAGAAAATGAAATGAAATGATGTGTAAGCAATAATTAAACATTGATATAAAAAATGGCGATTGTAACATTTGCAAAACGTGGAGTTCTGATAAAAGGGGAAAAGGACGATATAGATTGTCAAAGCTTGGTGGAAACAATGTTGGGAAAGTTGCAGTTTTATATGATAAACCCGAGTGATGTCATTAGAAAACCGTCTTTTTGAAATATTTAGGTAAAATTGGATCAGTACATGTACAATGTACATTGTGCATCATTCATGAACTTGATTTTTTTTTAAATAATGTTATACATTTATAAGCAAATTTTATGCTGTAAAATATATGCTATCCCCCTTTCCTGTTTAAATTTTTGTTTTTTTTAAGAAGTTTCTTTTTTTGTTAACTACAACTCTTTATTCTACGACAGTTTACCTTTTTTTCCTGTCTTTTTTTCCGATTTGTAACCAATTTTTGATTGTACATGAAGTGCCTGTTAACAAGAGATTCAGTTTGTCTTGTCATTGTGAAAGGTCAAATTTGAAGTATCATTGTGTTGAATTTTTAATTTTGATTGGTGAGAATTTGGAGTTGCGACAACTGTGCAATGTTTAAAATGTTGTGCAATAGTTTTTATCGATACAGAGTACTTCATTACTGATTATAAATAATATTTGTAAAACATTGAAAAAGGGATTTTGAAGAAGAATCTGCTGGCTCTCCTGATCTTTGTAGCATTGTTCTTAATCAAAACAATGAAAGAATAATTGATCTTATACAAACTAATACATCTCTAAATGTTTCTTTTACTACCGGTATTTAATATTGAGAAGGACACCATAAAAGTCCAATGCATCTGACTTTTTTTGTGGAAAACATAAGCCCGCCGCACAACTTTCCGATTTTACCGGTCAACCAGATCACTGGAGCACTGGTACCTTTTTTCACCCTTGCGGAGACGGCAACATTACCCGCACGCATGCCAGAGTCACATGATGACCAGTCACATGATGACAAAATGGCAGCCGACATTTAAAAGGGTGGTTCTATCTTTCCCCAATTGTTTTTGTTCTATCAAGCTTCTTCCGATCCAATTTTGAACCCAGTTTCTTATTTGATTATGCATTCGCTGTAATGCGGGAATTTTAAATGCCATTTTCTCAAAAAGTAGTTGAACAGCTTCAATTTTAGTTGGTGGTCTACATTTCCGTTACTGAACTCAGTACCCTCAAATGTAGAAAGCTCTTGTTCTGCAGAATCCGGACAGAAAAATGTCTCAATTCTTCAAAAGTTTTGAGTTTTGGCTCAGTTTGTCGTGACAGGTTACATATTGGCATGTGAATGTGAAAAAAAATAATGTGATTACATTTAGTTATTTCACTTCACTGTAAAAACGTGTTCATTCTCTGGAATGTGGCCAAGTTGGCGAGTTGACAATCTTTTATCATTCTCTACGTGTATCAAGTACTACAGGAGCCTAGTTATAGAATTTTTGATCAAAATTTAATGAGATTTTAATCGATTGGTGATGATTATATTTGACAAAAATTATATCAACTTTACGGCAATACAAATATACATGTATAACATCAATTGATCTTATAGTTAACAAATCGTGAATGAAAGAGTTGTCGTTTAAAAGAAAAGAATGACTGAATGACAAATTTAGTCATCTGGAATCAAAGCTATAAAAAAAAAATTTGTAAGAACTCTTTTCATTCATACAATTGTATCCTTTTTATCTCAAATGAGAAATAAAAAATAGCAAAGATGCAGCACAGTTTGTCTTAAATGACTGTTTTTTATCTGTGTCAGTTTTTTTCTTAAATTTCCTCAGGTTTAGAAATGATATCAAGTGTACATTTCGGTTCTGTAACAGGAAGTTTTGAAATTTGGTTGCAAAAGATCTTTTCTATTTTAGTAACCAAGTGATTGTTTTGGGGGTTTTTTTGCAAGTAAGTTCTCAGGGGCGTGTTGCTCTTATCGTCGGTGTTTTCACAAAGTGACAACAAACTTGGAAAATCGATAATTATTTGATGAGGAGTTTTGCTGGCCATTTTATTGCATTTGACAAAAAGGACAATTTGACCAGCTTTCAGAGCAAAATATTGTTTACTTTTGTAATTATCGTAAACAAACATTTGACAAAAACTTAATTTCCAGTTTTTTGGGTTTTTTTTTCAGGAAGTGAGAAACAGTCACCTCGTTAGCAGGGCCAGAGGGTTTATGCCTTTCTCTACACGTGTTAGGTTGGGAATGGACGCGTGCGCAGCGAACGATGTTGATCAAAAACAGATTCGCGTGGGCTGCACTGATGTTTGTACCAATTTCTCGAAACATTTTATGTTTTCACAAAGTGACAGAGAGTGTGTACAAAGTAATGGGAAAAATAATAAAGGCCTCTGTGTATGGGTGTTTTCGCAAAGTGTAAAAGATCTTTAATGAATTACTGTTTAATTAAGAGAGATTTTTAACAAACAACTTGAATCAGCAAAGAACAAAGCATACTTTACTTGACAATGCCAACATTTCCCAAATCTGTAACTGCAAACTAGTCCAAAATGACTTTTGAAAAAAAAAAGATTAATTCCAAATGCGATTATCTCAGGATGACCTTATTGCAGGATATTGAGGTTTTTTGCACTTCGTGAAAACACCATCATTATGTGGATAATGCTAATGTTTGGTAACATTGCCCTTAAATGGGAATGATCGTTTGCTACCAAGTTTTTAAATGTTAGCAACGAAAGATCCATCCGAGTCGTTCGCTGTTCTTTTCCAAAATGGCCGACTCCCACGCAATGAATGTCATGCTTCTGTCGTGCCTAAAATGTGCCTGTTTTTACATCAAAACTCCCAAATAAATTATTCAAATCGTAAGTGAAATTATTTCACTAAAGCTAAGGTTTCAAGAATTAAAAAAAAAGCTGCTTTCCCAACAGTGAGACTTGAAAACAATGTAGCACTGCCATTTTGACAAAACAATATTTTTATTTTTTTATTTTTTTGGTTGTACTAGGAGTTGGCATGTCCACAAGGGCCTTGCTACTGTTCACGCTATTGAACATGAGAATGTAACGCAGCCCAGTGTTTTTAACACCCTGCAATAAATAAATGTTGACACATTTTGCAAGCTTCATTAAAATTGCTCCACGCATGCTGTTCAACATGTTAAATTTTTTCTTCCAATAAGCTTTCAATTTTTATGATGTATTTTATATGCAAAAAGCATTTTGTTTTTCCCCTGGCATTTTGGACATTTTCAACCCTTTGAAAACATGCTTTTATTTTTGGGTTGCCTTTGAGCCAATAACGCACAAAAGATAAGCCTGAACTATTGCCAGTTTGCAAAATAATTAAAATTTGTTCACTGGAAAAAATACTCCATAACCAAAGGTGGGCGGTGGTTTTCACATGATGTCCAGGGTTGAGATTGGGGAAAATGAACAAACCACGAAATATCAGCAAAGGTTTGAGGGTTGCCAAGGGCCAAGAGCAATGCAGCATCTATGGTATATGTTTGTACAAATTTGCCTCAAGGCACCCTTTACATGTAAATACCAAATTCTTCATAGGTCAAAACTCCTTTATGGTGAAACCTCTGGAATTCCCGATTTCAAAAAAAAAGATTCTTTAAAAATCCTGAAATCAGTAAAATAATCCTGACAAATCTCAACCCTGGCCTCATTCAAAAGTGAATATCATTTGTAGCGCTTGAAAAAAATAGCAATTCAGACACAAAATCTATTTTTCTGCCTTTTTCAAGGCGTCCCTGTGCGCAACAGGAAACACTCCCTCCCAAATTTCAGATATAACAAGGTATTTGATTGGTCTGCATTATACAAGCACAAATCTGATTGGTTGATATACCTTGACTTTAGTATCGTCTGCCCCTCTTGGATGTTGAGGGCTTGTTCCTCCGAGAGCTTGGTGGGAAATCATCAAATTCATCTCCTTCCTACGATAAGAAGAAATATAGTGAAAGAGCAGGTAAAAACGATGACCATGGGCAGCATGCGCGAACAAGAGGCAAAGCTTTTTTACCACTTTTGACAGCTCAGTGGACGGGGCAAACCACACGCACATACTGGTTTGCAAACGTATAATGTGAAGTACCCCCCTCCATCCCCCCCCCCCCCACTATTTCATTCTAAATGTGGCAAAATGGCATTGCGTTCGAGGGGTGCATACTTATGTTCCCTAATACATATGTTCCCCTATACCTATGTTCCCCAACCCTAACCCTGACCCTAACCCTAAGGATTTTGGGGAACATAGGTTTTGGGGAACATCGGGTAGACCCCGCGTTCGAGTATCTCAACTCACCCCAAACTCTCCCTTTCTCACCATTGAGGGGGTAATTGTGCAAAGAGCCAATGGAGTACCGAAGTGAATACGTCACGCGCACAAAATGTGTGTAAAAGATATTTTAGCACGTGATTCAGACCGTGAACCAACACGCGCGTGTACTCCATTCGCTTGAACTACACTTTCTGCAGGGCCCAATTTCATAGAGCTGCTTAGTAAAATTAGATTACCGGCCAAAACTCCATGTGATGTACATTGCTTGTGACCGGTATTTAGCTGTCGTTTACTTAGCATAACAATCGCACGGAGTTTTGGCCGGTAACCTGATTATATTAAGCAAGACGTTTTTGTGCTTAAGCAAATTTTGTGCTTAAGCAGCTCTATGAAATTGGCCCTTGGTTCTAAATGACATCACACTTCAATACTCCATAAGGGCTAAAACATTTAGTACCAAATTTATAATTTTGATTTTGTGATTGCTTTTTTGACTGACTTGTGATTGATTTTGATTGACCTGTGACTGACTGGTGATTGACTGGTGATTGACATGTAATTGACATATGACTTAAACGAGACTAACATGAGACCGACACTTGATTGACACATGGTTGACCTGTGATTACATGTAAATCTATTACATCTCTACACTCTGCAATAAGTGTATGTTCAGAGGGTGCAGAATCAGACATTTTTATGGGGTGTTCTAGCAACCCACCTAAAAAAAAAGATATCATTTCCAGCCTAACAGTTTGTTAGATTTGAAAAGTCACCTTTATCCAAAATTAGATTTCCAAAATATAACTCAAGTTCAGATAAGGGCAGAGCAAAGGGCAGTACACGTACATACCTCCGAGTCACCACTGTCTAGAAACTGCACTGCACTTCTCTTTGCATTCCTGCGCGACAAACAAAAAAGTCTCAATAAGACACAAGACGGAGGTGTATTACACTTGTTCAGTGACATCCATTTTCTGAGGTGGGACTGCGGTGGCAGTGCCACCTCAGATTTAGACAATCACACTTAAAGGGAAAATACAACACTTGCAAACATCAAAAAATAAAACTACCAAATCATTTTGAAATACCTTGCTGGACTGTTAGTGAATGACAGTGTAAAGCATCCTGTAAAATCATGGCACCTGGTATACTGTCATTTTCAAGAAAAGTGGTACTTTTGTATCAATTTCCAACGCTGATCGGCCGATCAGCGTTGGAAAAAACTGGCTTTTTTTCAAATACTGGCCCCAGTTGACCATCGCACTTGTTTGCAATCGATTACACACCTATGAACGGGTACAAGCCAGCTAGACTGGTTCCCTGACCTTACAATTCCCCAATGTATGTAAACTGCTCTGTTTCTTCTTAAATGGAGTCAGGGAACCAGACTACAGGAAAATGATTGTTTTTCTTGGTTTTTATAGCATTTTCGAACCCAAAACCTCAAAAAAGTCAGTGTAACTATATTTGCTATATATTTCCAACCCCCCAATTCCATCCATTTCTGAAAATTACAGTAAATTACAGGTTGTCTAATACACTTGTGTGTAGTCTTGGTTCCAAGACGTCCTTCGCGGTGTGGTGTTTCATCATGGGTAAGTGGACTGCGCGCAGCAATTCAAGGAAGTGGGCGCCTTTTACATACACACCAACAAGCTGCAATGGACATCTTGGGAAACTCGTATTTCTGCTCGCACAATTGCTTGCGCATTTGCATTCAGGCTTGACGTACTCGTAAAACTGCTGCGCATTTCTGTTCAGGTTTCTGTACATACAGAATTTTTCCGAACCACGCGTGACCAGCTTGCAAACCTAGCCTGTAAGCGTTGTTAAGTCAAAAATTTCAGACTGCATGGACGAAGCCATCAATTTTTCTGCAGCAAAGAAACTTTATGAGGAAGCTGTGAAAACACATCTTCCTTTTTCCTCGATGCAAAGCAAGGTTTTCATTGAAAACCCTCCCTTCCAAAATGCATGATAAGACTTGCACCCTCTTGTAGTATGATCTCCAATTTGTCACTCAGGAAAATAATTCCCATTCGTGGATTTGTAACAGATTGAAAACTATTCATATTTTTGCGTTGGGGTGATGTAAATCAAATTAGGTTTGCATACACTGAGTATACAGTGTTTATACGTCGGTGAAGGGCAAAACCTATTGAAAAACTAAACAACATTCAGTGAAATTGGGGAAATTTGTAATTTCCTTTTCCTCAGAAACGACACCATGTTTCACAGGATGCTTAATCCTATTATTTACTATTATTAACATTTTGGCGGTGCCAATTTTGAATGTTTGCAAAAGGTACAATTATCTTTCAAGTTTTAAATAAACACTATTCTCGTTTTGGTTCAGAAAATCTTTAAGAAGCATACCTCTGGTTGCTGTTTTTTCTGAATGAAGTGGACGAGGCGGTGGCGCGGGAAGAAACACTCTCGTCCTCAGAATCATCACTCTGCAAAACACACAACAAAACCCAATTATTCTCTATTCATAAATGTGACCGGCTCCACAAAAAGTTATGTCGCAAACAAGTGAAATTTAGTTAAACACATGGTTGGAAAGCCCACAACGTAAGCTTTCATTTGCTATATACAATGTAATGGAGCTCCATAGCCCCTCCCGTTCTGGAGATATGACGTGTTTACATATTAATTACTTCCTTGGAGTTCAAATTACACAACTAGGAAAAAAGGCTTTGAAATAGCTGGCTCTGTTGTAGAACAACAGAACGACAGAACAAAATAATAATACTTTTTTTTCCACTTTATTCAACAAAATCAACATTTCTGTAAATGAAACCTTAAAATGGTGTTAAAGATGTCACTCATGACAAAAAATGAAAGTCACATTTTGACGTCATTTTCACCCTCACAACGTTGAGCGGGCCATTACACGATAATGCACAGTGGACTTAATACCCTTTTCTTGTGGAGCCAGTCACAAATACCTAAGGCCCCCCCCCCCCCAAATGTCTCTGGTTTCTGGTCTGCACGCGCATCGCCGTAGCCTTGCACGTCAGCAAAGTTAAAAAATAAGATTGTTCGATGTAAGATGTCTCAAAACCGCCAAACTCACTGGTTTGACTGGAATCCTGCCTCTACACGCCTGGGTCCAGTAAATTTCAAAATAATCATGGCGAGAATTGGTTAAAGAGAATGTACAGCATTTGTTTTTGCTTCAATTTTCAGAAATAAATGGATTTGGAGGATTAATATGTTATAGAAAATATTGGTAAACTGACTTGTTTCACGTTTTGGGCTTGTAGATGCTGGAAAAACCATGAAAACTTATCATGTTATTGTAGTCTGGTTCCCTGACCCCACTTATGATGAAACGGAGCAATTAATACACTTTGGGGATGAGTAAGGTCAGGGAATCAGTCTAGCAGGCTTGTATCCCTTCTGAGGTGTGTAAATCAATTGCAAAGAAAAGTCAAAATAACTAAATATGAAAATTAAGAACAATTTTTGAAAAAAGCCAGTTTTCTCCAACGCTGGTCGGCCGACCAGCGTTTTCTTGAAAATGTCAGCACACCAGGAGCCACAATTTCAAAGGATGCTTTAGACTGTCATTCCCTAACAATTCAGTAAGGTATTTCGTAATAATTTGATCATTTTGTTTTTTTATGTTTGCAAGTGTTGTATTTTCCCTTTAAACAAGTAAAACCTGTTAGGGGGCCTGGGGCCAAGCCAATGGCCAGGGTCATTATTGGCGTAAAGCCCAGAGTTCTGTCCGAAAAAATACCACTGTTTACAAAGCCAATGATGAAAGATGATGAAAGATTAGGAAGACAAATTAAAAAAAATTAATCTCTAGAGTCACTTGAAGAGACAAGAATGGAAATATTGTTGGATTGCATAAACCGGTACTTACATCTCCAAATGTACGGGAATTTCTGGACGTTGGTTTACTCGCTGGAAAAAAAAGCAATGGAATATTTAAACAAAAGTTATAAAGATTACTCAATGTGAATAATGCTTTCATCTATCAAACTTTTTCGGCTACAGCATTAATTGAAACTTCATTAAAAGTATTTTTCTTTATTACCTCCGCCAAGGAAGTTATATTTTAATCAGGGTTGGTTTGTTTGTTTGTTTGTTGGTTGGTTGGTTGGTTGGTTGGTTGATTTGTCTGTTAAAGGGAATGTACAACATTTGCCTTTGCTGCAATTTTCAGAAATAAATGGATTTGGAGGATTAGCATGTTGTAGCAAAACATTTTAAACTGACTTGTTTCACGTTTTGGGTTCGTAGATGCTTGAAAAACCAAGAAAACCAATCATATTCTTGTAGTCTGGTTCCCTGACCCCACTTAAGATGAAACAGAGCAATTGATAGACTTTGGGGAACTGTAAGATCATAGAATCAGTCGAGCCGGATTGTACCTCTTGGTGTGTAATCAATTGCAAAGAAAATGCAGACTAACTAAATATGAAAATTAGGAGCACTTTTCGAAAAAAGCCAGTTTTCTCCAACGCTGGTCGGTTGACCAGCGTTGGATGAATACAATTTTTCTTGAAAATGACAGCACAACAGGAGCCACAACTTTACAGGATGCTTTAGACCGTCATTCCCTAACAATCCAGTAAGGTATTTCGTGATAATTTGATCATTTCGTTTTGTGACGTTTGCAAATGTTGTATCTTCTCTTTAACTAGATAACTCAAAAAGTTATGGATGGATTTTTATGAAACTTTGTTTAGGGGTGGTCATTGGTGCAAGTACACAAATCCATTAGATTTTGGTAGTGATCCGGATCTGGGTCTGGATCCAGGATTTTTTTTAAGGATTCTTCACCATTCATGCGAGTATAGACCCGTAAGCATGGCATCAATAACAACTCCACGTTCCACAGTCACGTAAACACACTCGACATATATCCGCACGTTATTATGCAAGCACCCGTACCAGAGGGCTCCTACCGTTTCAGGCGTATTTGACTGAGAGTACCAGCGTAACGTGCGTGATCTCAGTTGTGCTCGTGCAAATCGTACATGCCTCGTGACAATTTCGAGTGTTTTTACGCGAGGCTGGAACGTTGTTATTGACGGGAATTGTTTCGCCTTGTCGGAGGTTTGCACTCTCTGAGTGCTTTCTAGTGTACAATGTAGATATATGTTTATAATTGTTATTTATATGCATTTGTACCTAATTTGAAAAATTTCTTTTATTTTATGTTGTCCTTTAACCCTTACCCTACTAGACCCTCCAACGCATGCCAATATGTGCCTCAAGAAAATCTCCTATGTTTTTTGCATGGCCCTCCAATATCTGCCATGTCATTTCAAGGGTAACTGGACAGGCACTCCAATACATGCCACAGAGAACAATGAGAGTCCTCTGATAACAATCAAGTGCCCCCAGCTGGTCAGTATCAGGCACCCTCCAGGGCCTCCAACTCCTGCCAATTGGAGCCTTCACTGCTACATCAAAGTATCCTCCAATAAACTGCAGCTGGAGGACATTGGCATAACCAACTGACATGCAGTAAACTACCCTCAGAGAGTAAGGGTTAATTTATTCAAGTAACATTTTTTTCATAGTTTTTTAAGCTGAGCCTGTGGCTGGTGGTTTTCAGGTGTTGGCTGGAAAATTTAATAAATGAATACATGTAAGTGTAAGTATTAAAATTGTTCATCACTTTTTGCTACAGCAATAAATAAACAAAAACACATAACATGTATACCCATTTGTTTGAACTGTTCTACAGTCGACAGTAAATTAAAAAGAAAATTGAAAAAAAGAAAGAGTCCCTTTTTGGACCAACCTTGGACGAAACTACTCGTCAACATGCTCTGCTTTGACCGGTTCCCTGCAGCCTGGCTCCCGGCCCTGCCTCCCCTAGCACGGCTGCCTCGTGCCGTTGACCCCTGACCTCGCCCCCTGCCTCGCCCTCTGCCCCTTCCCCTGCCCCGTCCTGAAGGTGCTGTGGAGTGGTCGCTATCATCCGAGTCTATAGTGGATATGTCTCGGTCGTCATCACTGTAGTCGCCTCCTCGCTGGAGTCGCTTCTCCTTGGCTTTCTCCATCGCCTGGAAAAAAAAAAAAATAGACTTATGTTTGTGGACAAACACAGGGCTGTTTCGGCAACTTTTTTTTGTGACATGTGACATGTATAGTATCAAGTATAAGTTCCAGGAAGGATGTGTAGTTCTGTTTTTAATAAATGGTGGCATATAAATATGTGATAACATTGTAATAGGGCTTTGACTTGTGATGTCACATGTCACATGATGAGTCGTGATGCTATGGCTGTTTCGGCATGTTTGGCAAAACGGCCAAAAAGGGACAACTTATAAACGTTTCACTTCTGGGTACCGAGTAAAGGCCAATTTTGGGCAAATACATGTAAAAGTGTTATAACAATGCCATTGTCTGGTTACAGTGGAAATAACACATTAATTAACCCTAACCCAGCCAGACGCAACACAGTGCATCAGGTGGAACCTTCTGTAGACTTTAATGCATTCAGCTACAAACACTAGTGCATAAACGGCTGCTTCTGAGACAATGAGAGCTAGTCCCATTGAACAATGCCACAGTTGTATCCTGCTGCGTTCTGGGACCACAGACTCTGAGGCAGTTTGGCCTTGAGACTTTTGCCCTGATGGATTTTGCTGCACTGGGCAGGCTTATCAAATTAGACAAGTGTTGCTGCGTTTGGCAGGGTTTCTAGCCAAAATTGCCTGGTGAAAGTGAAAGTGATTTAGAAATTTCACTTCAGTCCAATAAAAAATGGAAGACACAGGGGAGTCAGGTTGGCGTAGCGGTACTTTCCTCGCCTTCCATCACTGTGACCCGGGTTCAAAACCCACCGGGCCCATATGTGGATTGGGTTTACAGTCCCTGCCTGATTCCGTGGGTTTTCCTAAGAATATTCCTCTGGGCTTTTCCTCCCACCTCTAAAACTGTACATTCTTCTCATTGTCTTCTCTCCACAAGTTTCTTCAGGCTTGCGAGCCACAGTGCCTAGGGCGCTTTTGAGGAATCCTTGGTTTCATTACCTGAAAAAGAAATAAAATAAACTCACCGCTTTGACTTCCTTGGATTGGTCGGCCTCCGACATCTTCTTCCTCTGCTCCTTGAAATGTTTTAACTGCAAACATAAAAATAAAGTGTCGCACTTTGAAAATGATCATTTTGGCAAGATTTAGATTTACTAGCATTCTGTTTATTGGTATTGCCGTTTTAAGTTGTTTATTCCCTAAATACATTTTTTGTAGGCCAGGCAATTATCCACCCAGAGGCAATAAGGCTACCTTTGTTCCAACGCCTAAAATTGAAAAGTTGGTCCCATGGTCAGTTTGAACTCTCTTGGAAAATTACTCTTTACTCTGTCAAAAATTGTCAGATTTGGACGTTTGATGTCTCATTTTAAAGTGGAAAGGCGTATCTTTCAAACAGTACCTATATTTTCTATGTTGGTTACACATTCTACGTCTGGCCTTCTATTATATTTTGTTTGCATCTTTTTATATACACTGTATCCGCTCCGTTCACCAGTACCCCCTCACCGGCAAAGAAAGTACAGTTGGGGGTGACCAACTGACGCCATCTTGCCTGACTGCAATTTTGCCGCTACGCGCGGCCGACACTAGCGCTGCGTGTACATAGTACAACTGAATCCGCTGGTGTACGTGCGTCACACACAAGGAACAGTGCGCGTCAACCAGCGAAATGTCCCGCCCATGGGACGTCGTTGCTAGGTAAAAGGGCGCCCTCTTTTGTTGCCGCACGGAGCCCATAGTGGGCGGAGCTTGACCTCCTACCTCCTCAAGGATGAAAGTGTCTGAAGTCTTTCTGTTCTTCAGATGTCCCTGGGTCCCTTCCAGTTGAAACTTGACCAGTTCAGCGATGGCGTCTCTCTCCTCCTTGTCCACATACTCCTGGATGGCTTGGCCCAGACCCTTCTCCGACAGGAGGTTCAGCTGCTTGTGCTTCACACAAAAACGAAACCAAAAGAAGAAATTGTGTTTCAAGAGAACAACAAGTAGTTAATTTCTCGAGCATTAAAGTTTGTTTCCTGTTGCATTATTATATCAAGTAACTTTTTGGGACTTGAGTTACAGAGCTCGTATCAGGAGCTTGCAGCACCATCACCGTGTCTTTATCAACTGGCGTTGTTGAGGCCTTCATGTTTTGAGTTCCCAGAGATCGTCCTCCCTGGCGATGATCTTAATATTGTCCTTAGTTGCGTTATGTCCTTAGTTAATATCTGTTCTTACAAAATCGCGTCATTTTATCTGCTGCATCCAACCAACCTCGATCGTCCCCAGGGTGTCGAGCAGTACGCGCCCACTCACTACCTGCCCTCTCACCCTGGTATTGGATCATTTGCATGTGCAACATTTTTGCACACGTATGCAAATGAGGAATAGTCTGGTGCCTGCCTGTACGTTACATTAGCGTTTGCTTTTGTATGCGGTGTCTGGGGTAAAAACACTATCAATTCGTCGCACCATGCAGTATCACATTTCATATTAATATGAGCAAATTGGAAAGGAAAAGAGTATTTTTGAGAAGGCGTGGATGTTATACATGTAATAACAATGATCATGAAAACACGTATTTCATGCTACTTCACTGCGTTCATATGCATGAAAAACAGTTTCATTCTAATGGACAGCAGAATAATAATAATGACACTGTTTGGAAAGATATTTCTGTTTCAGATATTTTATTAAAGCATGGGAGTAAGCCGGTGTTTGGCTGCTATATGAACAAACACAAAGCTTTGTTTTATAGAGGAGAGGGTAATTACCTCGAAAAAGATAATGATCTGCAGTAGATCCAGTCTTAGTAATAGTAGCAACTAGCATATTGGAAGAATGATTGGTCTCGTTTCTGTCTCTTTCGGCCCTCCAGTTCCTTCAAAGCTGCTTCTTCTGCGACTTGAACTCTCTTCTTGTCTTCTGATGATTGATTAGGACCTCCTCTGATCCTGATCCTAGGAATAGTCAGAATCTTTTGGTCTGGGAACCGGACTACCACTGGGCCTGCGGCGTGCGTCCTGCACGCGTGATTGACAGGTGAACGATCTGCGCGAGGGCATTGTTCAGTTGGACCATGGAGATAGCTCCATGGTTGGACCAAGTTGCCAAGAAGGATCCAGAAAATGTCGTAAATTACGCAGCAGCTGGGCAACTGACACTGGCAGCAGGTTCTAATTTTGTTATTAAGAGGGTGAGTGTATTTTTAAAGCATAAATGAACTGGGTTTGAAGTCGCAATGTGGAAATCACTTTCAAAATTTCGGCGAGTCAGATTCCAAGATGGTGGACGTGTGGCCTATGTTTACGGAGGCAGTCCAGTAAACTTGCCACATTATGGGGCTACCACTGTACCAGAGCCTCTGCTTGGATCGCATCGATCGCCGGCTGAATATCACCCGACTTGAGGAGGGCAATCTTGATTTTGTCGTACTCGTAGGCAATCTCAAGCTGCCTGCAGAACTCAACTGGGCTGAATTACCGGGTCTGGTTAATTCTTTAGCCTCTAGCTTGTTTTTGAATTCGTTTGATCCAACGTCATCATCCTTATTCTTGTTGTTGGCGAGACTGTCAAATTTCTGATTGAACTGAAGTAATCTTTGAATTTGTCAAAGAGTCTTTCTGGATTGAATGTTTCTTTATCGTCCTTCGATGACATTCCGAAACAAGATCTCTATAAGTATTACTCACAAGGATCTCTAGTAGGAACTCAGTGTATTACGATGTCTCAGCTCAAAAATCTGTGTACACACTACTTTCACTTTACTCACATCTGTTTGTTTCCAAAACTAGTGTCGTAGCAGCGCCTCCAATAGTTTGGAAAGTTGCGAAGCTAGAACATCAATACCGCCCTCTTGCACGTAACCTTCGTCACACACGCGCAACTGCACAGACCGCCCGGCCCACAGCGATACAGTGCCATTCTAGTTCTGCTGTCGTTAGCCCAATAGGCCTGGATGTTGTTGATATCTCATTTTTGGAGTGGATTTATACGATGTGAATCATGATATCTATGGAGTGGATTTAACTGTATGTTTGTTTGGCATTTGATTTTCACAGATGCGCATGACTCTTCTCAAGCCAGTGTGGGTAAGTGTTGCATAGTTATTAATAATGTTGTTATCACTTTCTCTGGCTTAATTTTGTTAGGATCTCCGTCTTTTGACTACGTGAGCTCAATAAGGGTGGATCCAAGGGGTGATTGGGGTGGCTAACCACGCCCCCACACCCTCACAGCACTGACCAAAGATAATTAATTAAATAATGAAAACGTCAGCAGACTATATTGAAGATTTTGATTCATTGCTTTAGGCATTAGGTTGAGTGCAACCAAACGCCCCCCCCCCCCCAATATCTCAGCAAACTCACTTTGAAAAATCATGGAACCGCCACTGCTTGCGCGGACAGCTAAGAAATAATGTCAGATAACGATCGTTCTTTTCCGTATAAACAATTTCGGAGAGATGATATGGGAAAATTAAGACAACTTCCAAGATAACTTTTCGGTACAGTCAGATCAGACGTCTTTCACTAAGACATAATCGATTGTGGGGCAACAGAATTATATGATTCTAGATTTTGAAGGCATTATGTATACCCCGACGCACAGACGTACGGGTCCGTACCGATACATCACCACCCCTTGGTCGTTAATTAATTTAACGGCGGTAAAGTCTAAACTTTGTATTATTTTTTTCAACGTTTACGGGTCAAAGTTGACTATAAGAACAGTCAAACTCAACCTCGTCCACATGGCATTGAGCGGAACGCTCACATTAGCTACTACTATCATCCCTAGGTTCAAAGTAGACTGGAAAAGAGGTTGAGTCCAACTATTCATGTTAGTCAACACTCATGTTAGTCAACACGACTGCATTTTAAATTAATTCGGTAGACACCTTGTATAGCTGCATACACCAACGATTAGATTGTAAAGGACCAAAATGGAGGACCGCAAGCGCGATGATTACACGTTAACCGCGTCTTTGCAAGGTATATGACATAATTCTTATATTCTCTTCTTTAATGATCTTTCAACTATTTCGTTGGAAATAGGCTATAGGATCATTTACATTTATTACAAAAGTTGTCTACCGAATTATTAACAAAAAGTTCCCTTTGATTAAAAATTCTGCTGGTACTAAAACACCCCGTGAAATTATTCTGTCTGGCTTGCTGTGATTTAGAAGAAATCAAGTGATGTATGTGATGTCCAACGATCAGTCCATTGACTGATTTTTGGAAATAAAGAGTGCTAGTTGGCAAAAATGATGTAATGCATGTTTTTTCCCCCAACTGTATTCTCAGAAAGTGTAATACCCACTGAGCTGAAAGTTTAACAGATTAGTTTTTGCAACATTCCTCTTTGAAATTTGAATGGTGTTATTATCGGAAACGAAAACAAAAACGCACAAAAAGCAAAACTGTTATCATCAAATAAATATAGTACAGAGCAATGACTCCCATGAGCTTTGTGTTTAATTATATACGGACACGTTCATGACTAGATAAGTTATTTGAATGAGCCTCATAGCAATCACTGCATTATAATTATGCGGTGCAGAAGAAAATCTCAAGGAGCACTCAGTGTTTTAGGCCTAATACAGTCCGATACAAGGTGATAAAGTGGTTGCAGAAATTGACCGCTCATGTACATTAAATATGGTTCATGTTAACCCTAAGGCCAAAAAAAAGAGTCTCCGGTTTGTGGTATGCGCGCGCGTCGCCGTAGCCATGCGTGTCGGCAAAATTAAAGAGGTTTTTTTCAATGTAAGATGGTGTTGCAAAACCGCCAAACTCACTGGTTTGACTGGAATCCTGCTGCTGCACAATTTTCACGCGTTTTTTTTTTTAGATGGGATACGATCGAGTGTAAGCTTTATGTGGCCTCTCTGGGCTCCAATACATTTTGTACTAAACTTAGTCGGGCACCATTTGCAGTCATCAGCCGACATTTGAAGGAAAAACAAGTACAAAAAAAGCCGCGTCGCTGCATCACTTTGGGGGCAAGCTCCATACTAGAAACCGGAGACTTTTTTGGCCTATTAACTCCCTGGGCATTTTTGCTAAGATGCAACCTCAATCCTGTCTCCATACCACTGCCTATATCCTGCAAACTCCTCCAACAATCACTGTCAATATGTTGAGGCAGAGCCATGACATCCAGGATCAGTACGGAGGATGTCAAGTATAATCTTGGCCTACATTCGGCTCGGCTGAGCATAAACAACACAATGTCCGGCTAAATACCTTGATACAGTGCATACTCCAAAATCAGCCGCACACTGTTGCCCTATAGCCTCAATCCCTGCCAAATCATAAATTATACCTTAGGGAGACACCGGACATCAGAGAGACATTTCAACGTCTCCCTTATGTCACAAGTCCTCATTAGAGGCAAAAGTTTGGTGTCGGAAATAGGCTAGATCGGTTGCTCGTGGTCCAAAACATATAATTATACCAAAAGTCACGGAGGTCATTTGGGGTTAGGTGTCATTACAGTTTGGGTATAAATGTCTCCCTAATTAATAGGTACCATTTCCCGTATTAATGACTTACTGAGTCATTATTGAGTGTTTTACTACATGTTTTGAACCCGTGTTTGCTGACACGACTGACCATCGCTTGGTTTCTTTTGTGAACAGTTTTATTCCAAGTTCTCCTGGAAGCAACCTGTCAAACGACGTGCCCCGCCGAGCAACTAAGCGTCCTGGCCTGGCCCGAGTCCGACTCCGGACGGAATGTCTCCGTACAGTGCGCCCCTGGCGAGCCAGGTAAGGATAAACCCATCACTGTAGTCAGGTTACAAGACTTAATTGGCCCAATAGACTGCAATGACAGATGCTCTGTTTCTCAGCAAGCCATAATTGTCATCAACCTTTAATGTAAACAGCAAATGGTATACATAACCACTTAAAGACATGTTTGAGTTTTTGCCAAGAAAACAATTAGCATGCAGAAAAGGACTAAGTCAAGACCAACAAAATAACCACTGACGACATTTAAAAGGTGCACAGTCATTCAAAACAACTGGTGAACTTTAATACGGTGTAGGCCTACAGCCGGTACCTTTCGAATTAAGAGTTCAAGTTGCGGTGAAACATCGCTAAACTGGTGCCCCTTTTTCCCAACGTGACTCATGTTCACAAACTCAAGGCTGAAATGGCATAGAGGGTAGCACGAAAATGAGCGAGGATTTCAGTTACTTTGACAAGTTTCAAGGCTGCCCCAACGAATACTTTCTAATCATGAGAGAAATGTAAACACTGCGGATGTTGATAAAGATTGGAATCAGTTTGTTTTCTCTTGTGAAATAAGAAAGGTTGACAAGAAAGATTGAAAATGACTATCAATATATAGGCTCCTGAAGTCATATCCAAACTCCACAATATCATCTTCATCAATATCAGAATCGTCTTCAACACCAGAATCGTCTTCAACACCTTAAAATGTTAATACTAGTTCGTGGCATAAGAACATCGGACGATATGTATTGACACTTCATGAGGTATTGATGAGTTGGGGGGGGGGGGTGTTGAAACACTGTATGCTCAAGTGATAACGCTTCCCCTTCACCGACATAGTACATGCTTTATTACAAAAGTATATCAGGGTTTGTTTTAGTGAAGAATTTTAATATGAACACTCGCGCTCATCAGGTTTTTTTTTGTCGATAAGACATGCACGTGGGGAAGTCTTGCATTCCGGGAATCATTTTATGATAGTGTGAATGACGTTACTGAATTTCTTTGTGAAAATTGTTGTGGATAACAATGTAAGTTTAGATTTGTCTTACCCTTGCAACAGCGAGGTGCTGTTTTGAGGAAGACCTCGTGTGAGTAGTGAAACAAAGACCTTTGAAAAAGTTATGTTCTATAAATCCTTGTCCGCGGTTGGGAAGCGGGTGGCACTTGGTGATTGCTTTGTAAAAAAACTGAATAACGAGAATAGGAATAGAAGTATTATTTTTCAGTAATGCCTGTAAGAATACATATAATGTAGCTCCTAAGGAAGTGGCAACATGAAATTTATTTTATTAAAAGCCAGTCATAAAAATATAACTTCTATTACACATGACTTGTTTTTGTTTCTTTAACACATTATTCCGCTCGCCTGGAAGCATTTCTTTGCTGTGCCACATTATGCTAAATCATGTACAAAAGCTAATCTGTCTTGCATGTAAAGTTACACATGCAAAGTGACACATTGTCCCGCTAGGGTTTTGTGATCTATAGCTACTAAAATGGAAGATTAATCCATCAAAAGAACTTGGGCAATTAGTTTCAAACTGACGTTATAAAATAAACATATCTAACATGCAACAGTGACATTATGAAGAAACTCACAAAAGACTGTCTTAAGTTTTTTAAGCACAAATATCTTGAGCGTTTTTTTTTTAATTCGCGTTACAGATATACACGTAGTTTTGTAAGTTGTTTGTACCGGTGCACTTTTTCCCATATGTATAAGCAATCATGGTGACAAAGTAAAGTCGAAAATGTCATAGTTCTAAGGTAAAGCATTGACATAAGCGGACCGATTAACACATTATACCGCTCGCCGGGAAGCATTAAATTGCTGCCATGTTATATGAAATAATGCACAAAAGCTATTTTGTCTTGCATTTAAAAAAACATTATGCAAAGTGACACACTTCCCCGCTTGGCTATAGTGGTACATGTGCGTAGCCTAGCTACTTAAAATTGAAGGTTAACCTATCAAGAACTTGGCTAGTTTGTTTCAAACTGAAGCTTTCGAATAAACACATCTAACATGCATCAATAAAATGTTGAAGAAATGCACACAAGTGTGTTAACTTTCATTTAACATTATTAATATTCTAGAACACTTTTAAAAAATTCGCTTTGGAGTTACAATTTTACAAGTTGTTTATACGAATTCTTCCGTAGTACATTTTGAATATATTATCCAAACATTGTTAAAAGGACCTTTTGGCTAATTAATTCGGGCACTATTTTATGATCCTCGTTTCCACTTTGATAGTATGTTGGACACGTTAAATCCCGATGCATGACCCTTTACACCACGTTTATTGGTGTTGGGATGAATGTTAGAGTTGCCATGGGTTTATTGCATTGATTGGTTCAGAAAACCAGAGAAGTAGGTATAAGGACCGCCATGGATACTTGTTCCACGACTACTCGAATTCACGATGCGAACCGTATCCCCGCTGGCCATAACGAGGACCACTGAATTACTGGACTGGTGGTAGTAGCCTGGATGATTGTCAAGAACATAAAAGATGACTTGTCCGTTCATTTCCAGCCTTGCCTCTGGCCTCGGTCCTGAAGTATTACGACCCATGATGGTCACGCTGAAGAAATAAACACCTGCTATGTTGCAGGTGAAGACTCCAGTTTGCTGACTGTACGCGTCTCCGATGTTAGTGCGAACGTTGTCAAAGACGACCACATCGCCACTATTTCCTGTGAAATGACTGTTCATGCGAGCGCTGAAAGCAACGACAGAGGGCGGTGCTGGGGTCACGTAGGTCGAGTCTCCAGGCTGACCATTTCCTCCCTTCTCCCCCTTCTCTCCGCTAGGACCGGCCGGCCCAAGCTTACCCGGCTGACCAACGAGTCCCTGAACCCCCGGCTCTCCTTGCTCCCCCTTCTGACCGTGATCGCCCATGTCTCCCTTGGGTCCAGGTAGACCCGAGCCAGGCTCACCTTTTTGACCTATTGACCCCTGGAGGCCGTTATTACCGGGTACACCTGGAATCCCAGGCAGGCCAGCTGGTCCCGCGGGACCCTGGAAGCAAGTGCTGCCACACGATCCTTTAGGAGGACATGCCGCTGACATCTCGGAATCACTGGGTTGTGCAACTGCAAGGCAGGGACGATAGACGGCCCACAATAGCAGAAACGCAGGCAAGAGTAGGGCGGCAAATCTCACGTTCACCTGTGCGTTGAAATAAAGAAACATACATGTACCAAATTTTACCAAAGAGATCAAATGTTCATTTGGAACCTTAGGATTAGTCTTCATTAAGAAAAAATATAAGAAATAAACATGAATATAGGATAAACTGTAAAGAAAGGGAATAGATGAAAGATGTCGATTCTGGGTTAGGGTGTCGATCTTAGACGGTTATGAAAAAAACTGTGTAACGTCAGGGGAAAATCACGTCTGGCTATTTCGGAATGTTTGAGTTGATCTATATTCGTATAATTATTAACTTGCATGACCCACAAATGCCGTTAATGATGCATTATATTCACATGATGAACAACCGTTCGGTTCATAATTCACGGTGTCTATAAGTGTTTTATTGTTGTATCGGTGTTGACTGTTTTTCACAAGCTTACCTGTAATTCCATTACGGCGTTCCAATCAATACTGCGCTCAAAAATCTCGGGTCTCGAACAAGAATTGCTGGTTTCAAAACGCTACACGTTCAGCTGATAGTGATATTAGATAATTAACGCAACAAACGATTGGATTTAGGACTTGATAGCGATTGATTGCCACGGAACCAACTGAATAGCACGAAGAGATACACGGCTTAAAAACCCAAGAACCTGGTCACCGAAAATGATGCCCAAAATACTACTGACCAATGGCAACATGAAAAAATTATATCATCCAACAGAATAAGCGTTACTATCCAAACTACCGACCAATGAAATCCCAACTAAATGGCGTCACTGCCTACGCCTCATTCTAAGCCCATGCTAAATACACGGACGGTTGAAAGTTCATCCCCTTGCGGTTTCAACCAATAATGGTTTCACATCACGTGATAGTGCAATCTGGTGTATTGCATGCTTTTTCAGGCCCCGTTGGGTGTGTAGTTTCGTGAAGTCCTGATCGAGTTTCAAGTTTCAGAAAAATATTTTGCTGAGCTTTGTAACATTGTCTTTAGCATCCCAATGAAGGGCGTGTCGGGGTGTTTAAACCACCATATTTTTCGCCTCTCTCTTTGATAAATTGTTGACAAAATCGCAGAAACAAAAATGTTCCAAGCTGTCTTCTGACAAGACATATCACACACAAAAATGAGGGCCGCAAGTGTCGAATCAAGCAGAGTAACATGTTGCATGAATGTGTCATGGATTTTTAAAATATTGTTGGGTCTGCACGTTATTAGTTTACACACATGTGTCTTCTTCGGGCTGTCGTATAGCACGGTTAAAAAACCAAGTGTAAGTGGAAGTTGATTTCAAGGAAAAGGTAATGACAAATAATAACTATGATAAAAATGTGTTTTCAGATGTGATAAAGCCAGGCCAGTTAAAGCACTAAAGTAAGGGACTAAGTATTGCCAGTTTATTTGCAATCTTTTATTTGCTAGGAGGATACGGGACAGCCCTTGAAAACTCCCAAAAGCCCCCCCCCCCCCCAAAAAAAAAACCGCAGCAAACGATCGAGCTGAGGTCTGGAACACCGTTGACCCTCAAATCACTTTAAAGACCAAATGAAACAAGACGTTCAACTCAAGGGAGGGACCCTGGAATTTCTGAAATAACTCTAATGACAGATTTGCTGATTCAGTGCCAGAAAGCCAAGTCCTCCACCTTTATTGTTGACAGCAGATAGCATACATAACGACTCGAGCAGAGTTTGAGCCCTTGCCAATAAAAACCAAAGCCAACATGCAGAAAAGGCTTTGATGAAGGTTTACAAAATTTCCATTAACCAAATAAAAATGATGCATAATCTTTATAAACAACTGTTCAAGTTTAATACCTTGTAGAGCAGCTAGGCAACTTCCGATTCTAAGAGTTACAGTTTTAGACATTGCTAGACTGGTGCACTGTTTCCCATAGGTATAAGCAATCATGGTGACAAAGTAAAGTCGAAAATGTTATAGAAGGTAGCATTGAAATAAGCGGACCGATTAACACATTATACCGCTCGCCGGGAAGCATTAAATTGCTGCCATGTTATATGAAATAATGTACAAAAGCTATTTTGTCTTGCACTTAAAAAAACATTATGCAAAGTGACACACTTCCCTGCTTGGTTATAGGGGTACATGTGCATAGCTACTTAAAATTGAAGGTTAACCTATCGAGAACTTGGCTAGTTTGTTTCAAACTGAAGCTTTCAAATAAACACATCTAACATGCATCAATAAAATGTTGAAGAAGCGCACACAAGTGTTAACTTTTATTTAACATTATTAATATTCTATAATCTAAAACGCTTTTTAAAAATTCGCTTAGCAGTTAAAATTTCACAAATTGTTATACGAATTCTTCCGCAGTACCTTTTGAATATCTTATCCAAACATTGTTAAAAGGGTCTTTCGGCTAATTAATGTGGACATTATTTTATGATCCTCGTTTCCCCTTTGATAGTATGTTGGAAAACGTTAAGTCCCGATGCACGACCCTTTACATCACGTTTATTGGTGTTGGGATGAATGCTTGAGTTGCCATGGGTTTATTGCATTGTTTGAATAAGAAAACCAGAGAAGTAGTTATAATGACCGCCATGGATACTTTGTCCACTACTCCAATTCACGATGCGAACCGTATCCCCACTGGCCATAACGAGGACCACTGAATTACTGGACTGGTGGTGGTAGCCTCGATGACTGTCAAAAACATAAAAGATTTCCAGTCCGTTCATTTCCAGCATTGCATATGGCCTCGGTCCTGAGGTATTATGGCCCATGATGGTCACGCTGAAGAAATAAACCCCAGCGGTGAGGCAGGTGAAGACTCCGGTTCCCGAATCGTACGCGTCTCCGATGTTCGTTTGGATATTGTCAAACACAACCACATCGCCATAATTTCTTGTAAAAGAGTCACTCAGGCTAGCGCTGAAAGCGACGACAGAGGGCGGTGCTGGGGTCACGTAGGTCGATTCTCCAGGTTGACCCTTTCCTCCCTTCTCCCCCTTCTCTCCGCTAGGACCGGCCGGCCCAAGCTTCCCTGGCTGACCAACGAGTCCCTGAACCCCCGGCTCTCCTTGCTCCCCCTTCTGACCGTGATCGCCAATGTCTCCCTTGGGTCCAGGTAGACCCGAGCCTGGTTCACCTTTTTGACCTATTGACCCCTGGAGGCCGTTATTACCGGGCACACCTGGAATCCCAGACAGGCCAGCTGGTCCCGCGGGACCCTGGAAGCAAGCGCTGCAACACGATCCTTTAGGAGGACATGCCGCTGACATCTCGGAATCACTGGGTTGTGTAATTGCAAGGCAGGGACGATAGAAGGCCCACAATAGCAGAGACGCGGGCAGGAGTAGGGTGGCAAATCTCACGTTCACCTGTGCGTTGTGATAAGAAAAATGCATGTACCAAATTAACTGGATATATCAAATATACACTTGGAACGTTAGGATAAGTCTAAATTAAGTAAACAATGTAAGAAATAAACTAATGAATATCAACTGTATAGAAACGGAAAAGATAAAAGGTCGATCCTGAGATCTGTTGTCGATTTTAGACGACTTTGAAAAATACACCTTATATTACGTCAGCGAAAATCACGTCTGGCGATTTCCGAGTGTATGAGTTAATCCTCACTCGTATAAATTTTGGCCGGTTAAGTCATATGACCTACAAATGCCCCCAAAACTGCATTATGTTCATTGATGAACAGTCGCTCGGTTCGGATGTCATTTTGCATGTTTTTGTTAAGGTTTCATGCACACAAACAGGGGTGGATCCAGGAATTTGTGCATGGGTAGGGGGGGAACCAGCAAAATGATGTTGAAATGTAGACAGGTTTTTTTCGCTGGACACTTGGCCTCCGTAAAATCAATAGGTGTGTGGAGGTGGGGAGGGGGAGGGGGGAGGGGGGCTCGTACCAGACTTTCAATTGGGGCGCTGCTCTATTCCGACGATCGTTCACACTATATTACAAAATAATGTACAAATGCCCCTGTAATCCAGCTGGCTCTGTCCATATGTTGTGCACAGACGTATATTATTACCAGTATAATTATTTGGGGGTTTCTGAGCAGGAAGGAGGGGGTTTTTCACATTATTTTTAGTGAATTTTAAAAAAATGAGTCAGTTAGGGGCATGTGATTTTGACCCCCAAAAAATCTGCTCTGGATCCGCGCCCGAGGAAGTAGCCTAAAAACAACCGTATATTTCACGGTGTCTATTAGTTCTCTATTGTTATATAGGTGTTATTTTTTTTCACAAGCTTACCTTTAATTCCATTACGACGTTCCAATCAATACTGCGCTCCAAAATCTCGGGTATCAGACAAGAATTGCAGGTTTCAAAACGGTGCACGTTCTGATTGTGATCAGAGACAAATAACGCAACGAACGATTGGATTTGGGACTTGATAGCGATTGATTTCCACGGAACCAACTGAATAGCACGAAGAGATACACAGCTTAAAAACCCCAAGAACCTGGTCACCGAAAATGGTGCCCAAAATACAACTAACCAATGACATTATCAACAAATGACATCATCCAACATAATTAGCGTAGCTATCCAAACTACCGACCAATGATATCCCAACTAAATGACGTCACTGACTACGCCTCATTCTAAGCCCATACTAAATACTCGGATGGTTGAAAGTTCACCCCCTTGCGGTTTCAACCAATCACATGCAGGGTTTCACATCACGTGATAGTGCAATCTGGAGTAATGCTTTCTTTCAGGCACCGTTGGGTGTACAGTTTCTTGAAGTCCTGATTTGCAAGTTGTTAAAATATACCTTTGCTGAGGTATTGTCTTCAGCAACCCAACAAAGGGACGGATCGGGTGTACCACCGTATAATTTTTTTATCCCCTGTCTCTGGTGAAGTCTTGAAATAATCTCAGAAATAAACAAACTTCTACAAATTGGTATAGGACAACTTACTGATAGTTGTCCTGCTGACTGACAGGACAACAAACAAAAGATTGAGTGCCTGCCGTGTCGAATCATACAGGGTAGAAAGTAATTTGTTCCTCATTTTCGAAAGTTCTGAGGAATTGCACGTAGATGAGTTATGCTTGTCCTATTCAAACAGTGGTATAGCACGGTAAAATACAAGACTACAGTGAATGACAGTTTCAGGGAAAAATAGATAAAGAAAATACAGTAATAACATTGCATTAAACAAAAACGTATTGATACAAATACGTAACGTTTTAGCTGTCATTTGAGTTGTTCTAAGGATGGACTGATTGATATATGAATGGGGTTTGTTCCATTATCCTAAGGCTGTGTTGTGGAAATTGAGATATTTGAATCAAGTGAATCTAATAAAATCTCTTTTCGTAAGACGTTAATGTGTTTACCATCCCCATGTCTCTATAAATTATTTTGAATCTGACCGTGAGCCTGATGTAACATGGTGGATTAGTGCTTTCATTTGTCATAAATGAAATAAGGAAAGTAGTATTATCAATTTCAACAACCATTTTTTTTTTACTATAGGAGACTTCGGGACAGCCCTTGAAAACTCCCAGACACAGTAGCAAACGATCGAGCTGAGGTCTGGAACACATTTGCCCTTCAAATCACAAATGATACAAGAAGTTTAGACAGAAGGAGGGACTCTGGAATTTCTCAAATAACTGCAATGACAGATGCGTTGATCAACAGCCAGCCATAAACTTTTATTGTAAACAGTAAATAGTAGACATAACTACTTGAACACATGTTTGAGGCTTTGCCAAGAAAACAGCCAGCATGAAGAAAAAAGACTGGATATAACAAACTTGCCATTGACCGAATTAAACAGGTGCATCATCGTTCAAGACAGCTGGTAAACCTTAATGCGTTGAAGAGCAGTTACATTCCGATTTAAGAGTTACTGTTAAAAAATTGCTGAAGTGGTGCACTTTTTTCCACATGGGTAATGTATCATAATAACAAACTAATGGCGAAAAAGTAGCATGAAAACAAGCGAGAATTTCAGTTACTTTCAGGTATAAACACTTTAAATGTTAACGATTTGAATCATTTTGTTTTCGCGTGTGAAATAAGAAAGGTAGAAAGAAGAATTGACAATCATTATCAATAGGCTCCTTAAACCAAATCCAAAGTCAAGAACATCATTCACAATCATCTTCAACACCTGAAATCGTAAATACTCCTTTGTGTTTAAAACAAATCTGACACTTCAGATTTGACACTTCAGATGTGGTTTTCATCAGATGTTCGTATAATAACATCCGCTTTATCTTCCCTTCCATGCATTTATTACAAAATCATCTCCTGGGTTTCACATTGAAGAGCTTCAACCTGAATGGCTTGTTTTGTTTATTTAACAGATTATACCGCTCGTCTCGAAGCATTTCATTGCTATGCCATGTTACACACAAAACGTACAAAAGCCATTCTGCCTTATATTTAAAGTAACACTATGCAAAGTGACACACTTCCCCGCTTGGGTTTAGTGGTATATAGCTACTGAAAATGGAAGGTTAACCTATCAAAAGAACTTGGACAGTTTGTTTCAAACTGAAGCTATCAAGTAAACACATCTAACATGCAGCAATGAACTTTGTCAGAAGCGCACAAAAGTGTCTTATGTTTCAAATAACATAATATTATCTAGAGCGCTTTTTAAAAATTCGCTTTACAGATACAATTTCATAAATTGTTGATACGATTTCTTATTTTGTACTTTTTGAATGTATTATCCAAACTTTGTTAAAAGGATCTTTCGGCTATATTTGCTATAATATTTTATGAGCCGCATGTCCCCTTTGACAGTATGTTAGAAACGTTAAGTCCCGATGGACGACCCTTTCCGTCCCGTTTAATGGTGTTTAGATGAATTTTGGAGTTGCTATGGGCTTACTGCATCGCCTTGATGAGAAAACCGGAAAAGGAGGAATAACTATAGCCACGGACACTTGTTCCACTACTACTCTGATTTGTGATGCGAACCGTATCCCCGCTGGCCATAACGAGGACCGCTGAATTACTGGACTGGTGGTTGTAGCCTGAATGACTGTCACGAACATAAAAGATGCGTTGCCCGTTAATTTCCAGCTGTGCTTTTGGCCTCGGTCCTGAGGTAAAGCCCATGATGGTCACGCTGAAGAAATAAACCCCAGCGGTGAGGCAGGTGAAGACTCCGGTTTCCGAATCGTACGCGTCTCCGATGTTCGTTTTGATGTTGTCAAAAACAACCACATCGCCAGAATTTCCTGTAAAAGAACTACTCAGGCTAGCGCTGAAAGCGACGACAGAGGGCGGTGCTGGGGTCACGTAGGTCGAGTCTCCAGGCTGACCCTTTCCTCCCTTCTCCCCCTTCTCTCCGCTAGGACCTGCCGGCCCAAGCTTCCCTGGCTGACCAACGAGTCCCTGAACCCCCGGCTCTCCTTGCTCCCCCTTCTGACCGTGATCGCCTATGTCTCCCTTGGGTCCAGGTAGACCCGAGCCAGGCTCACCTTTTTGACCTATTGACCCCTGGAGGCCGTTATTACCGGGTACACCTGGAATCCCAGGCAGGCCAGCTGGTCCCGCGGGACCCTGGAAGCAAGCGCTGCAACACGATCCTTTAGGCGGACATGCCGCTGACGTCTCGGAATCACTGGGTTGTGCAACTGCAAGGCAGGGACGATAGACGGCCAACAATAGCAGAAACGTGGGCATGAGTACGGCGGCAAATCTCACGTTCACCTATGCGTTGAGATAAAGAAAATGCATGTACCAAATTAGTCAGGATAAATCAAATGTACACCTGGAACATTACGATTAGTCTACATTATGAAAAAAAATGTAAGAAATAAACTAATGAACATAGGAGAAACTGTAAAGAAACTGAAAGGATGAAAGATGTCGATCGTGGGTTCTGTTGTCGATCTTAGACGGCCATGAAGAAAAAAACCTGTGCAACGTCAGGGGAAATCACGTCTGGCGATTTCCGAGTGTATGAGTTAATCTATATTCGTATAATTAATAACTTTGCATCACCCACAAATGCCGTTAATGCTGCATTACATTCACATGATGAACAACCTTTCAGGTCATAATTCACGGTGTCTATAAGTGCTTTATTGCTGTATCGGTGTTGACTGTTTTTCACAAGCTTACCTGCAATTCCATTACGGCGTTCCAATCAATGCTGCGCTAAAAAAAAATCTCGGGTCTCAGACAAGAACTGCAGATTTCAAAACGGTGCACTTTCAGTTGATCGTGATCAAAGACAGTTTACGGTCAAAACGATTGTATTTAGGAATTGTAGCGATCGATTTCCACGGAGCCAACTGAATAGCACGAAAAGACACACGGCTTAAAAACCCCAAGAACCTGATCACCGAAAATGATGCCCAAAATACAACTGACCAATGACAATATCAAAAAATGACATCATCCAACATAATTAGCGTAGATATCCAAACTACCGACCAATATGAAATCCCAACTAAATGACGTCACTGACTACGCCTCATTCTAAACCTCTACTAAATACACGGACGGTTGGAAGTTCACCTTCTTGCGGTTTCAACCAATCACATGCAGGGTTTCACATCACTTGATAGTGCAATCAGGTGTACTGCTTTCTTTTGTTTGGTGTACAGTTTCTTGAAGTCCTGATTTGCAAGTTGTAAAAATACACATTTGCTGAGGTATTGTCTTCAGCAACCCAGCGAAGGGACGGGTCTCGTGTACCACCATATACATTTTTGTATCCCCACTCTCTGGTTAAGTCATGAAATTATCTCAAAAATAAAAAATAAACCTTCTACAAACTGACAGGACAACGTATCGATAGTTGTCCTGCTTACTGACAGGACAACATGCAAAGATTGAGTGCCTGCCGTGTTGAATCAAACAGAGTAAAATGTTACTGATTTTAGAAATTGTTGGGGTATTGTACGTAGATTAGTTATGCTTGTCTTATTAAAATAGTGGTACATACGATTAAAACCAACACAGTAGTACTAGCATTGCATAAAAATAAAACGTATATATACAAATAAGTATGCCTTCAGCTGTGATTGGAGTTGTTCCAAGGATGGACGGATTGACATCAACGACGGATCTGGGGTGAGGGTGGGCAACAGGGGACATAACCTCTATATGATTGAGGTTTGTTTCATTATCCCAAGAATAAGTATGGAAATTAAGATAATTAAATCAAGTGAATTTCATGTAATCTCTTTACGTAAGACGTTAATGTGTTGAGCATCCCCACGTCTCTATAAAGTAGTTTGCACGTGACAATGAGCCTGATAGAACCTGGTCGATTAGTACTTTTTATTATCAATAAAGTATGGAAATCAGTATCATCAGTTCATTTGCAATTGTTTATTAGCTGGCAGGCTTCGGTACAACCCTAAACGACTCCCAGACTCAATTCACCCAAACGAGCGAAGTGGGGTCTGCCACACAGTTGACCCTATTATCACTTAAAAAAGCAAACGATTCAAGAAGTTTAGCCAAACGAAGGGACTCTGGAATTTCTCAAATAACTTCAATGACAGACGCACTGGTTCGCTTCCAGGATACCACGTCAGCAACCTTTATTATAGACAGCAAATATTATACATTGCTACTTGATCACACGTTTGAGTCTTTGCCAAGAAAACAGGCACAATGAACATAAAAGACTGAATATAAAAAGCCAGCATTCTTGCCATGGACCGAACTAACCAGGTGCACAATCGTTCAAAACAACTGGGTGAACTTTAATAAGGTGAAGAGGAGTCTTATTCCGATTTATAGTTAAACATTGCTGAACTGGAGAACTTTTTCCCACATCGTTAATGTATCATGGTGACAAACTCAAGGCAAAATGTCATAGGCCTAGAGAGAAGCGTGGGAATGAGTGAAGACTTCAGTTGCTCCAACAAGTTCAAGGCTGACACTACTCATGCTTTCTTAGCGTGAGAAAGGTATACAAACACTGTGAAAGTTTGGAATCGATTTGTCTCCCTTGTGAAATAAGAAAGGTAGAAAAGAAGTGATAATTATTATAAATAGGCTCCTAAAACCACATCCAAAGCCCACAAGATCACTCACAATTATATTTAACATCTAACATCGTCATAATGCTTTGCAGTAAAATCACCCGACGATAGATTTTACACTTCAGATGTGGTTTGGGTGATGGTTGTGATTTTGAATTAATGCATGCTCGTAATAACATCCGCTTTACCTTTACTTCTATGCATCCATGCATTATTGCAAAAATTCATATCCTGGGTTTTCAGAGTGAAGAACTACAACCCGAACAATCATGCTCGGCAGGTTAGTTTTTGTCGATAAGACCTGTGGCGAAGTCCTGCTTTCCGGGAATCATCCTATGAAAGTTGGGTCGCTATTAGCATTACCATGAAGCTAACTTTGTAAGTTACGTTTTTTCTTTACTCTTAAAGATGGTGACTCTTTCAAAGTTATAACACGGATGCGCGTATAGTTGCCATTCGCGTAGTGTACCTATATGTGTATAGAAAAACAAACGGTATAGAACAAGCGAACACATTTTACGTGAAAACACTCATTTCTGCCCTCGCGTCTGCTTTGATCATAAAAAAAAATTGTTTACCATAATGATCATGCAGTAACACTATACACAGCCGCTGCACTTTGGTGAGGAAGCTTTTACTTTTTTTAATTTAAAGCTAGTCATCATGATTAAACTTTCTATTACATTGCTGTGTGACTCTCGTGTCCCCTTCGGCAGTATGTTGGACACGTTGGTCCTGATACACCACCCTTTCCATCACGTTTATTGATGTTGTCATAAATCTGGACTTGCTATGGGTTTATTGCGTCGCTTGGATCAAAAACCCAGAAAAGGAGGAATAGTTACTACCAACAATTCTTTGTCCGCTGTTACCGTAAAGGTCTAAGTGAACCGTATCCCCGCTGGCCATTACGAGGACCGCTGAATTACTGGACTGGTGGTGGTTGCCTGGATGACTGTCATAAACATCAAAGATGACATGTCCGTTCATGTCCAGCCTTGCACTCGGCCTCGGTCCTGAGGAATATCCCATGATAGTCACGCTGAAGAAATAAACCCCAGCGGTGAGACAGGTGAATACTCCGGTTTCCGAATCGTACGCGTCTCCGATGTTCGTTTTGATGTTGTTAAAAATAACCACATCGCCACTATTTCCTGTAAAATCACCACCCAGGCTAGCGCTGAAAGCGACGACAGAGGGCGGTGTTGGGGTCACGTAGGTCGATTCTCCAGGCTCACCCTTTCCTCCCTTCTCCCCCTTCTCTCCGCTAGGACCTGCCGGCCCAAGCTTCCCTGGCTGACCAACGAGTCCCTGAACCCCCGGCTCTCCTTGCTCCCCCTTCTGACCGTGATCACCCATGTCTCCCTTGGGTCCAGTTAGACCCGAGCCAGGCTCACCTTTTTGACCTATTGACCCCTGGAGGCCGTTATTACCGGGTACGCCTGGAATCCCAGGCAGGCCAGCTGGTCCCGCGGGACCCTGGAAGCAAGCGCTGCAACACGATCCTTTGGGAGGACATGCCGCTGACATCTCGGAATCACTGGGTTGTGCAACTGCAAGGCAGGGACGATAGACGGCCCACAATAGCAGAAACGCGGACAGGAGCACTGCAGCAAATCTCACTCTCACCTGAACATAAACAGAAGAATACAACACATTAGCCTAAACCAATAGTTCACATATGAACATGGACACTAAGGCCTACATTTTCTTGGTCATTGTCAGTGGTTATTAAAGTTGACTAATGTCAATTGCATTACGTAATGACAAAAGAGAATATGTAGCAAATGTGGAGTTTAAGGATTCTTCGGTTTCACACTATTACACCAAAATGACACTCTGATTGTTTATCTTTTCATTGATATATTTGTTTTATTTATTATAGTATTTATTTGCTAAAAATCGGTAAAAAAAAAAAAAGGGCTACAGAATATATAAAAGAGCAGCCGTTCATTTTGTAGTCATTTTACATTTTTCTGTTGGTATTTGTTGCATATGAGTGACAATCTTTCATAATCATTTCTTTCCATGGGGTTATTTTCATATTTTAGTGTTATATTAAGATAACTTATGAAGATGCTTACCTGCAGTGCCATTTCTAGGTTCCATTCAGTGCTGTGCTCACAATTTACAGAGCTCCGACTCAGAACTGCAGGGTTCAACACGGTGAACGTTTAACTGAACGTGATCACAGTCAGTTATCAATAATAAACTCAACAAGCAGATTGGATCTAGGACTCTAAATCTATTGGTTTCCACACAAGCAACTGAGCTCTGCACCCGAATTACCGAACTTAAAACGCCAAGAAGCTGGTCACCGAAAAAGATGCCCGAAATACTACTAACCAATGACAATATCAGAAAATGACATCATCCAACAAAATTAACATATACCAATCCAAACTACGAACCAATGAAATGCCAACTTAAAAATATATTAATACGCCTTATTTCTTGTGTGAGAGTAAAAGGTCATTTCGTATTCAATTTTGTAAAGAGACACGCCTCTTAATTGTTAAGGTATTCAACCAATCACAGGGCTTCATTCAGCATCACGAGACAATGCACTCACTTTACTATTTTTTTTTGCGCACCAGAAAAACATTGCCGAAGTTTGCAACTTGTTTTCCAGATCCAAGTTAAGGGGCGGGTCAAAAAGTTTAGGGGCAGTCAAACCAAAGAGACTGCCTTTGAATAGCTGTTAAAGAGAAATAGAAGTTGGAAATGTAATCATATGATCTATAATCTGCTACGTAATGACTGGGGGAAACGCCAAAAAAAAAGGTTCATTAAACACTCGTTTGAAAGAGAAGGTCGAAGATTCGGGGTTGGTATTTTTGTTCACAGTCTGAACGCAAGCACAATTAGATGATTTTGGCCACACAAAAAATGAACAGAATTGAAGATAATTATGTTTGCGTTAGTTTTTGGTTCTTAGGCGTTAATGAGTACCATCAATTCGCTTTCATGTTGCTGTTTTCAGAAGGCCAGCGCGCATTCTTCTTTGTATTATATCTCACTCACTCGGTCGTTGACTCACTGTCCCTTGTAAAGTAGACTTGTTCAAGCCTCGCCTCGGCCCAAAAGTGAACTCAGATGACAACAAAGGCCCCTTAGATAGACCGGATGTGGCTGTGACCAGCTTTACTTGCCTTACCTAGTCTTGTCGTATTCAGTAAACGAAACACAAAATATATATGGTAACACCCCTGTCTTCCCATTGGCTATCTGGAATAAGTTTCACATCTGATTGGTTAGGTCTTTGTGAATATTTTGTATAATTATAAGGCATGATAGCAAGAATGACATTGTTGAAGCTATGTACTGTTAATTCTCACTGCATTCCTTACTACATTGTTACAGAGGACTTCTAAACTGTGTTTACACCCCCCCCCCCCCGGGCAATACACACAACCAATGAGCTGTGGATATAGACCATTATCATGTTGCGTCTGTCTTGAACTTTTCCTATTCAAATCAACGTAACCAAAAACGATGCTGGAAGGGAAAAGAGCTTGGTTCCTTTTTGCACAAAAAACATTATCATTCAGTACTTATATTGGATACAGGGAACATGACTGAAATGGTGGCAGCATGATAAAGGTCTATTGTCAGGGTTGGCCCCAAGAATGAAAAGAAGTTAAAATACTGTTTTATTCCCCGGTTTTCGCAAATGAATGCAACAAGAGAAGATAATTGCTGCAGTGCTGGCTATTGGAAACCAAGCTCGTACAATTTTCAAGACAGGAAATAGAACTAGGGGTACACGGGTACCAGGATACCCGTTAAAGAAACCCAGCATACCAAGATACCCGTTAAAGAAACCCAATTCTAAAACTCAAATCTAGATAGTTGCTGTTCAGATTGTACATAAAGGTCCAGAATACATCGGTGCGTCAATACAGCAAAATACAAGTGTACACTTGTAAGTGAACTTTATTACTTTACTTTGTAAACTGCAACTTTTTCGAGCGTCACAAACGTGACTATGTTTTGCTTTTCCATGTAGTCTGAGTTTCATTTTGAAAAATCCTCACAAACAACATTCAAAACCTTGTCTTTAATTGTCTGAGAAGTTATACTAACTATTTTCTGACGTTGGTTATGGATACCCGATCCAATAATGGAGCCTGTTCTTGACATCAGCAGTCGGGTACTCGAGTACCCGGTTCTGATGCACAGCCCTAAATAGAACACATTACTTTAAATCCCACCCGGGTCTTCAATATCAATGTATGAGCCTTTGCCACGTAAACCATCAACTCCAAGAAAGAAACTGGATTAAAAAGGGGAAAAAAATCCCCACCTTGACCAAATTAAACAGGTGCGCAATCGTTCAAAACCACTGATGATTTACGTCAGAGAGAGAGAGAGAAAGATTTCGATTCAAGACTATATGACCAAACAACGCTGAGTTGATGTCAATGACATGTGTTTTCAATATTATGTTTGAACCCCCACCAATCAATCCATCACCATCAGGGAAGAGACTTGGGGGGGGGGGAGAAGTCGTCCTTCCCAAATGTAATAGGAACACATCCGTTGAAAACATCTGGTGAGTTTGTGTTGAAGATCAACAACATTCCACGTCAAGACTGCAGCAGACTAAACATTGTTGAACTGATATCAATGACACGTACATCGTACATTTACCTGCTGATAAATGACATAGGGTTCAAATGCCGACGATGGTATCGTGGGAATCAGAGAAATTCATTTCTCACAGGATGTTTGGCTCGTGAAAACAGTTTATAAACACAAGGGTATCATAAACAATGTTGAACCTACGGGTTCGATTTTCTTTATAAATTTATGAAGTACTGGCAGAAGAGGACGTGACAAATATAAATTATTTTGAAACCATCTCGCCTTTCAACATTTTGTAATGGGAACGGATTTTATTATTTTATCGGCAATTGTGATTACATGGAATGTACTTTCAGATTTAGGGATTTGTTTTATTCAAAAAGATATCATGCGCTAGTTGACTTCAGACCTGAATACCTCAACTCCATTTTTTTATCAGAACGTCCCGTTGTGAATTCATGTAGTCCGGGAACCAGAGAAGTAAAAAAGATATTTCAGAATTGTCTTTTGTAAAAGTGTTCCGTGTTAGAAATGTTGTCCCATTTTCTTTCGAAAACACGCTACACAGTGAGTTTATAAGGAAGAACTCATGTAAGGTTGTCTATACAACCAAAATAAAGTTTAGGCATCAATTACTTTACATCTCTGTTCATTGTTGGGAGAAAGGTTGCATTAATCTTGCGTGAGAAGTCGAACGTGTAGTAAAGAATTTGAAAGTGTACAGACATGTACCGTACGCATCATATTGCAGGACACACATTGCCACACTCAGCGTTTAAGAAAGCAAACTTAGCTTTATGGTATTAAAACGCATTGAGTGCGAAAGAACGTTGTTGCCCCTAAGTGCAATAATAAAGATAATAACAATTAAAGCAATGGAACTTTAAAACGTTAGCCTAAAAAGAAGAAGAAACGGAAAACAAATGAACCAAAAACAAACTCCACGTTTCAAATATGGGTTTTTTCCTCCAAGGTTCCGTAAAACCTTTTCAGAAAAAAAGGAAGAAAAAAAAATGTGGGCCAACAACCGCTAGAAGAATATGATAATTCGGAAACAAGCTGCGAAAATAGATTGTGATTAGTGCGCATGCGTTAAAATCCTGCCGGCACGGTTCTCTTGGTGCGTTCGAGCGTGCTACTCGTGTTGACAAGAGTATACTATGAGCACCCGAACGGCAGGAGTACGACCCGCGCGGGTTAGCAAGAGTATACTCTCCGTCATGCCGGGAGTATACTCCTGCACCAAGAGTAATGCGCACGCAACATTTTCCTGTACTCGGGAGTAGCAAGAGTAACACACTCGAACGCACCCTTGTTGATGTCAAAGTCCAGACCCGTAATGAGTCTACCTTCTTGCTCCTTTCACCTCCTTGACCCAGAAATTTCCCTTTAGGCTAGATCAGATGTTTTATGAATCCCCCAGTTGGTCTACGTGGAGTTTTACTTTCGCTACCAGCCGTGGGAAACTGAAATACGTGCCAAATAAAAATTCGAGAAATGCAATAAAATAATAAGGACTTTCCGCCTTTTCCAGATGTTGTTTCTGCCTTGAATATACTTATGTCATGTTTAAAGGGTCCATTTTTTTTTACACGGGAGCATATTTGTAGTGAATATTCAATGTATATGAGTCATCCCTTTTTGGTAAAAACTAATTGCAAAGTGCACTTTTCTTATTTCACGTTATTACTGTGATGTCACTTTAGGGACATACACTTCAGATGAGGGTTTTTTTCTTTCAAATTGAAACCCCGAATTCTGCTTATTAAAAACATTTGTGAATAAAGTTGTCTTTAATACTGTTGTATACTGAAACGACAACGAGCCACTTAAAGCAGAAAAACAGCCCCAGCAAACCCCTCAAATTCTGGTGACTTTTGATTCTAAAAGAACACTGAGATGTGAAACTGAAGTTTCTATCTTGAATGACATCACAGTTTTGCTTATAAATATTGAAATTTCAATTAGCATATAACCAAAAAGGCAGCATAACGTCCTGAAATTTGCAACGTGAAGTTCACAAATAAAATTAAATGCACCACAAAGGTACATTTCAAGGATTGCGTTAAAAAAAAACTCCGTTTATACATAATCCCTTAAAGCATTTGTTCCATAAAATCAGTGTCATAAACTCAGTTCCATAAAATGTAGAAACTCACTCTAAGCGGGGGGGGGGGGGGGGGGGGGGGGGGGCAAGTTGGAGTGTTGAAATCCAAGAGTTTTATAAACAATAATCAAGATTCACAATATTATTAGTAGAGACCCCATGCAGGAAATTGTAAACACACTGAACTATATATCTTCACTTTGCTTATAACTGTACAACCTGGTATCACGTACGTCTGTATATCTGTTTTTGATTGTCTTTTTCGGCTTTGTAGGTACGGCGGTGCGACTATGCGGAGCCGACAATGCGTGGGGACCAGTTGACTACACTGGTTGCTCTCTCCAGTCCCTCGTGGATCTCTATGCCAAGGTAAGCCGACCAATGTTCACTACAGGCTGCGTTCGAGTAGCTTACATGTGTAGGTAAAACTTAAACGCAGCGTTCGATTAGCAATCGCGTGATAATCGGTCTGTCCTGCTGGCATCAACCGCCACTGCCCCAGCTCACAAGCGGGTCCCTGGTAGCTGCCCGGTTGTAATGACGTAACCGGACGATTTCGTGGCTAGACTGAAGATGGCGGGAACTTGAATACGGATTAAAACGGAGAGATTTATGACACAAAATATTCCCAATCATTAACGGTATTGAATCGGATATGTTCAGAGTATATTATTCCGATTCCACCAGTTATTGACATGGTTGCAATTAGTGGCGTAGCCACCAGGGGGGGGGGGGGATGACCGCCCCCCCCCCCCATGAAACCTTGTCGCTCCCCAGTCGCCCCCCCCCCCTGAGATTTTGAGTTTCTAAAAAAAAATATCATTGATCTACATGACGCCATGGGCGTCAATCACTTTTGGAAGGGTGGGGTACAAAATATCAAATGCCCCCCCCCCCGCGGATTTTTAGAAAATATTGGTTAAAGTGGTCATGTCAGAAATTGCCTCAGATAGCACCACAGAGCATTTAGAATCCAAATTTTTCGGGGCCCTTAAGCGGGCCCCGAACCCCACGCCGTAAAGGCTTCGCGCTTCGCGCTTCGCGCTTCGCGCTTCGCACTCGCATCAGTTCTGATCAAGGTATGTCCGCCCCCCCCCCACACTTTTGAGAAGCGATTGACGCCCCTGCATGACGCCCCTCCATGAAATGTTCCAGCCCCCCCCCCCCAGCGCCCCCCCCCCAACTGAAAAATTCCTGGCTACGCCTCTGGTTGCAATGATAAAACTAATTCTACCAGTGGAGCGCAGCAGACAGTGGTATACCTGATGGTTTTACATTTTTAAGCCCCGCCAGCCCACAAGATCAGAATGCCAGGCGAATACACCGCCGCGTTCGATTAGCCTAATTTCGTGGCTTCCTTGAGTGAATACATCTGGAGGCTACTCGAATAAATCCAAAGACAGCTGGATAAACGCGGCTGTATTTACGTGACTGCCGGTTGATTATGAACAGATTTTGGACGGCAAACGACGGGAATTTGCAATAACACTTCCAATGATGCGAAACAGTGGAAAGGTGGAATATATACGTTATATCTTGAAGTGGATTGTTCAGGTGAAATCTGGGGTCCACTCTGGGGTTTCTTCACGGCTCGAGTAGAGGCATTTGTTACTAAGTTCGTTTTCCTGAGTTTTTTTTTACATGATTCTTATAATCTCTTTGACGTAAATTTCGTGTAAAGAGTGCCGGGAAGTAGGAATTGGAGACATAATATTAACTACCTTTAATTCTTCCATTTCAATAAACTGTGTCCAATATCTGAAGTCTGAGAAAGTAAGTAAAACATTTAATCCGCAAAGGGAACTGACTTCGACCTCGGTACGATGCTCTAGAGGTGACATGTTCAAGTCCCGCTCAACAACTGATTAATTAAGGGGGGAACTGACTATAACCAATCAATTAGGCCCCGCCCACTACTCGCCTGTGCAAAAGCACATGCACTTGTTCACTGCCTAACTACATCATACTCCAGCCGCAGGTCGGATATTGATCTTAGCTTTTATTTGGTCATCAGTGGGCGGTACTTGATGGATCGGTCATTTAGAGTAAAGCCGTGTCCGAAAGTTGTGGCTGCGGCTGAAATCAACACTTGCGCCTATGGAAGCCGATGGCTAGTGGCTACAGCCACTTCCCATAGACGTGTGTGTTATTCTCGGCCGCAGCCAGTTGTTTCGGGTGCTAACCCTAACCCTTAGTTTCTTCGCTTGCGTAATTATGACACAAATGACAACTTCAAGTACGTGCAAAGTCACTCTGTGAGCTTTTTTTTCTCTTTTTTGTTAAACCAGAATCAACATCATATCACTTTCCATCCCTACAAAATACAGTACCGTGAAATCTTGATAAGTCAAACCTCAAGGGAACAGGTTCAAAATTTGACTTAAGCAGAGTTTTGAGTTGAGCATGGTTGTATATCTTTGTTGAACTACTGAAGGCAATGGATTCTGGTGTACAAAGAATCTGTTTCGTTGCCTTCAGATGACGGATGTACGTAAATCGGGGAGGTGTTTTTTTTTCTTTCGGCGAACCCGTTTTAGCGAAGTACCGGCGCACCGTTTTACGATTTGCCGCGCGACCTTTGAGCGCGCTGCGGGGATACCACCGTTGCCACGCATCGAGGTGGGTTGCCGCGCGACAGTCAACGTTTTAGGCAAACATCCCGGCCCATTAGCTCCGTCGTTAACAGCGGGCGCGTCGGGGGAAGTGCCCCAAATAAATTTCTCTCACTTGAAAGTTTGAAATGAACGACGATAAAAGCACAGGGCATTTTTCTATAAGGTCAGTTACAAAGTCATTTGGGTGAGTTTCAGCAGTAACAGGGACGGAAGATGCAATATTACTCACGGACGTTTACGAATAGAATAGAATATTAACAGAATTTTGTAATGATAATATTAATAGTGTCATTTTAAAGCTTATTCGGAGCCTTTTGCAAATTTGCATATTCATAAGGAACACGATGATGCCATCTTGGGCAGAAACCTTAGTCTTTAAGCCTCCAATTCAGCTTCAAAAGTTGCACGAGTTTTGTCGTTGTTGATAAAGTACACGGCGTGACAGCAAGTCAGTAAGCAAACTTATGAACATATTTTTTTTCAGTGAGCTGCATTGTAGGTTCTTAATATTCTTAATTGCCTTCACTTTTGAGTGTGTTCCTAAAGAAACATCACAGCAATAGCGCCCTCAATTGTCATCAAACAGCACGGATATTTAAACTAATCACAGAAAATGCACTTAAAACACCTGAACATGCGACGGTCTCTCATTTTTTTTCCTTCTATTCTTCATATGAAAATATATATTTGTACATAATATGTTTCCATATACAAATATTTTCATGGAGACTTTAAAGGCATACGCTTTTCTTAGCATTTTGTTCGTTTCTAATAATAACCACTCAAAAATCCTTCATGTTGAAGTTTCAGCTCAGTGGATATTACACTTTTCGAGAGAAAAAAAAGTTAAAAACAACGCACAACCTTATGATCACGAAACACGAGTTTGTTGCTAGCACTCTTTATTTCTAAAAATCAGTCAATCGACTGATCGTCGGAAATTTCTGTACTTCTTTGAAAAGACAGCAAGCCAGACGGGTTAATTTCACGGTACTTCGGTAGGTATACTCTTGGGACACGTGCCAAAGATCCAAACAAATTACTTTTAACCTCGCCTAAATGTCAGGACGCGTGACGGTATGTTCCTTCCAAAATCATTTGTAGAGACACAAAGATACATTAGCCGAAATGGATGGGGGACTTTAACGGGTCGACTGGCGTGTCACAGCGAGGACTCCGTAGCGACACAGGGCCCCATAAGCTATTGACCCCGTGTCAATGCCATCAGTTTGTTATATTATCATGTGTGACATGATGAATGTTGGCCAAGACATGCCTGTGGCTATGGATTGGGCAAGACGCCGATAGTGCATAATGTACATTAGTTCTATTCGTTTTGCTCCTTTCTGAAATTCAGTTCATGGCCAATGAACCTATAGGGACTCTATGATCGTGACAAGCAGTAATGATTCGTGTACATTGACAACGTGAAATAAAATAGAATTATGATCTGGATTTTCAAGAGGAATATTTCAAATTGCAGTTAGGTTTTTTGTGATTTCCTGTTATATTAATTTTTGCAATGAAATAATTTGTAATTCTAAAAGTATGATTTGCGCCGTAGTTCGGCCTGTCCGCCCCAACAGTTTGGTATTTGACATAAAAAGTGTGATTAAAGGAATAATTTCACAGGCAGTTTAGTGCCATTACTATCTTTAAAAAAGTAAGCTTTCTCACAATGTTTTTGATGGGATTTTTTTGGATACCGGCAAATGATCTATCTACCTTTAAAGAGAGTTGCACATATAAATACAACACCAATGCAAAATCGTCGCAGCGAGTTTGAGCAAAAATCTATAAACAAATGTCGACTCTTTCCCATGATGCACTACGGGTACAGCAGGATTTGCGCCACCAACGACGGTTCCTCTTTATCGTGAACCGCTCGTGTGGTTTTTTTTGAGCGGCACTTTGGTTGCAGATCGAGTCTCTTCTTATGAAGATACTCGAACAATCCTGCAATTAAAAGTCAATAAGCAAAGTACATTCCCCGCGTACAGTTTCCCATTAGGCCGGGTCTGGTAATGGACCCCATTTGTTACACTTCGGTGTAACACACTTCGCTGTCAATGAAAAGGTTATCTTCATTAATGAGAAAGTCAAAAGTACATGCTTCTATTCACTGTCCTTTATAAACGAGTTACCTGTATTCGTCGAGGGAGGCGGTAGTGCCCGTAAATCATTTACAGAAATACCGACTGCAGTCGTAAATTTGATGTGAGTGCATTTATCTGCCATACATTCGGTTTGCAACATTATTTTTGTCTTGAGGTCATCATTTCTGAGGTCACCATTTTGTGAGGTCACCCTTGTGTGACATCATTTTGTGAGGTCACCATTTTGTAATGTTATCTTGTGAGGTCATCCTTTTGTGAGGCCATCGTTTTCCGAGGTCATCATTTTGTGAGGTCATCATTTTGTGAGTCACCATTTTGTGAGGTCACCATTTGATGAGGTCGTCAATTTGTGTAGAGGTCGTTTATTATAGACCCTTTGCAAAGCGCGCCCTCATCGAAGACAGGTTTTCGTCATTCAAATCCAGTGAGAATGGCAGTACAATGCAACTATTGATGCGCGTCTAGAGGAACAAAGATACTCGATTTCGTTTATTTTATAAAACAAAAATCACGAGTCGCCCAATACATTTTCAAACAAAATTCGTAAAGTCTTTTTTCTTATGCCGTCATAAGATTGACACATTGTGTCGAGGTAACTACAATCTTATGGTTTTTTCTCTTAGTTACGAGAGTTAGAAAGGTTTCAGTGGTCTTCATTGAAGCAGTATTTTTGTATGGTTTTGTCGTTGGTATACATAGGTTTCAAATGCCAGTAACACCGTCACCGGGGATCTAGCGACATCGGTCAGCGAGTTAGCCACGGGCACCATGCCAGCAAGCATCGCGTACTCCGGGCAGCTAGCGCTGGCCACAAACATCATACTGGAGGTTTTTACCAAGAAGGACCTTACTGGGCTTACGGTAGATGCAGCGGATACCTACATACAGGTATGGACACTGATATGCATATCCGAGAACACTATAGCTGTCACTGCGCAGATTCACGAAGGCCCCTTTAATGGCGGGAGCATTGTTCCACGCTCCGAAAACTCTGTTTAGCAATTAAACACAATCTTGCTATCACTTTGCTAACATGTTTAGAAGCTTAACAATATCTGTCCTATTCTAAACAGCAATGTTCAATTGCTCAACGCTATCCATCAATACTGTAAGTATTGACATGCTATTATTAACATGTTTACAAACATGATAGGAAGAATGTGTTTAGAGAAGTGATTAACTGCTAAACACAGTTTTTGGAGTGCACCTATTTGTATCGGGGAACTGTGGCCTTTAGTGGTTATGGTTTGTGACTCATGATCAGAGGGTTGGAGGTTCGAATTCAGCTTCTGTCCATATGTTGTGCCCTTGGGCAAGCCACTTCTCCTCTACTCGCATCTCTTCATCACCTAGGAGTAAAAAATGGGCACCGGCATTTTTTTAGCTGAGGGAGTAACCTGCGATAGACTAGCGTCCCATCCCATAATGAAAAGTTTTGGACATTTGCTCATCGCAACACTGCGTGTACACGCTCAGTATGTGTGCGCGTGCGTTGTTGAGACACCAAAACACGCATATCTTTTAAACTGGGCAACGTACAAATCTGGGGTGATCAGAACATGGAAGAAGACATCTTCAGCTTTCTATAGGAATGGAATTTGTCAATGACAGTGCTCGGCACGTAACGACCATTTTAGTTTGAAAAAACACATCCACGCTTTGTGCTTCTATTCAATAGTGCACATCCACGAAGCGTAAACTAGTTTTTTTAGCACGCATGTCCAGGTGTTTTTTACCACAGCGTCAAAACAAAAAGGTCAACAACCTTGGGGTGACGACATTCATACAGTTGATAAAATTCTCTATACATGTATGCTGATATAAGAAACATGCTAATTGGAAAATAAATTCTGACGACCATTTTGGCTTGAAAAAAATTTAGCCCGTCAGTGTTTTGATTAGTTAGCCCATGGTTAGCCCACAGTTATCCACCCACACACGCGCGCGCGCGTTTTATGTACATTGTATATAAATGCGCCTGCCTATTGTATAACGTGTGTTCTGTAGTGTGTGTATGCAGCGCCCCGCGTATTTGAGCTTATGTCCGCTTCATTATGTGGGGCAATATGAATATTCTCAGTTGTTTCATGCCACTGACACCGGAGACAACAACAATGACTGGCACATTGCACAGTTCTTTTGCCATTGATGGGTGCCTTCGTGAGTGAACAGAAACAGCGCGCTCGGACGGGTCTACAGACCGATCCGAATTGCAAACCTTTTGTGATGTAATACCAAGGTGGCTTTCCACCATTAATTCCTGTAACTTTTGAGGTAAATTTGGAGAACGATTTGTCCAAAATTACGGCGGGATAACTAGACGTCTGTTTGTGGGAAATTTGATTATCCTGCTTCTTAACCAAATATTAAGAGCTTTCACAATGATATCAAGTTGGAAAACATGCAGTGCAGATTTCAAAGGAGGAAGTCCAGTAACTGTACACTCTAAAAAGCCCCATGTTAGATTTGACCAGGAATCCGGTTCATATTTCACCGGACTCTTGACCGGGTCAAAATGACACTTTACCGGGTCAAGATGACTCTTTAGCGGGTCGAAATGACACTTTACCGGGTCGAAAAAACTTTTTTGGTCGGGTCAAAAACTAACCAGAATATTGTCAATTTGACCCGGAAGAGTGTCAATTTGACCCGGAAAAGTGTCAGCTCAAATAAGACCTGGAATCCAGGTCAAATACGACCTGGAATCCGGGTCAAATCTGATCCGGAACTGTTTAGTGTACATTTTACAGTTTAACATTTGTTCTTGATCTCATTTGTAGAATATGTTGGCCTCAGTTGACAATCTACTGGATTCTGGGAGCTTTGCAGCCTCGTGGACAAACATTCACCAGGTATGTGCTCTGTGCATGGGCGTCGCGAGGGGGGGGGGCAAGGGGGGCACTTGCCCCCCCCCCCCCCCCCCTGGAAAAGCAAAAAAAAAAAAAAAAAAAAAGAAGAAAAAAAAAAGAAAAAAAAGAAAAAGAGGCGCGAAGACAAATTGGTGTAAATTTGATGAGTTGGGGGGGGGGACAAAATGTCCCTGCCCCCCTCTAAAACTGATACATCGAAAATGTGTTGAGAAATACAAGCATTTTTTGGCAAAAACATTTTTTGCCCCCCTCTAGAAAAAATCCTGGCGACGCCCATGGCTCTGTGATTTTACTTGCTTTACAGAATGGCTATTACAAATCGGGGCATTTATCGGGGAATTGTTGCCAAAAGAATTGAAGAAAAGGAGTAAGCAAAATGTTACCAACCGAACGTATAACGTCAACTTTCTTACCAAGGACTGATACCGCGATGAATTTTGCTAAACACATAACTTTGATGACCATGGTTTTTGTACTTTAATGCTCAATGGCGTTGGGCCCTCTTCAACTACTCGTTCTTAAACTGCATTTTACTGAAGATTGACCTAATTGTATAGTTGCGCGTACAATATGCCCTGCGTTAATATCAACACAATCGGAAATGCCATCCCCCAACAGAATTGTTAACCAAAAAAAGGTGTTTCCACGTGCGTCGGTAGAGAGGGTGTGTTGGAGTGGGTGTTTTGAGAAGTTTCAAAACCGTGTCGGCAAATTAATACATGAATGCCGTAACGTAGAGCGCCACACCTTGCCCATATTGCCAATGATCCACAGCTATGAACAGCGCCCCCATATACTGACCCTGATGTGTCCAGCCCCCACCCCACTTTTTGACTGAAACCAATCCTGGCTACCTTCCAGCACAAAGACAATGTCCCCCCCCCCCCCCCAAGCCGCTAGCAAAATCCTGCATGAGCCATTGAAATGGACACAGATGTATATTTAAGGGATTTTGAACAGAAAAAAGTTGAGCCGTATTTGTCAATGAGGGCGCACTTCACATATGCATCGTCAGAAAGTGTGATGTTTATTTACCCTCAGAACCTGTTCAAAAATGAGCTTATATCTCCTGGGATCACAATGTTTGCGGACTTCCAACACTGCATCGGCAACCGTAATTATGATATAATGCATTCTAACAAGTCGGGCGCGTTAATGACGTACAATTAGAATGCGCGTGCTGCATTAATGACGTCCACTGAAATGAGTTATGGGAGAATTTCGCACTTACTGCTGACGCGCCGCGGACTTCGCATTATTTAATGCCAAGGCCTTTCCCGTGAGAGACGACTCGAGTCATACATAAAGATAGCGTGTAATTACTTTGATGTAGTGCTCGAAAATGTAAAAGCGACTTCTGCTCTCGTACATCTGGTAGAGTGATTGGTTCAAATGTTAAAGCACATTGAATTTTCAATCTAGCCTGGGTTGACGGGCCTTTCAGACGTATTTTGTATCAACACTAATACTCAGTGAAACAGCGTGTGCTGAGTATAGTCTGTACTTTTTATCAATGAATAGTCGTAAGAAGCACGTAGACCATTCGATTCCAATGAAGTGAATTAGCTAGAATCGACTGTGAATTATCCAAGAAAGGAACATATTAAAAGAATATAGACAACATATAGGCAACACGAAAACAGTTTCGAAACTTATTACCTCGGTGTTTTATGATTCTCATAAAAAAAGTCTCCTTTTTTTCTTTTTTTCCAACAAGTTTCGAATTTTCCCCTAGAAGTATTATGTTTTAGCCGGATACTTATTTTATAGCAGACAAGTTCTTTTTCTTTTCTGAATCGCGGCTCCAGAGGATATTTTTTTAAGCATTAAGGCCTACGTGCACAAGATGAATACTACTAGTCTCCACTCAAGCATGGCGATAAAACCATGCTCCCAATCATAGGAAAGTACATTGAAAGTGCGAGGTGTATCCCCATGCAGATCGTTGTGTAGAAAAACATCATCCCCCCCTCCGCTGGCCACGCCTATGTGTTATGATAAGAACAAAACCAACATGGCTGGCGTACGATGAACATCGAATGAACTTCGGATGATTATCCAAGTCGTCTGCGAAACAAACAGACTGCACAGATTCTACTATGTACTAAACTTAAGCTGATTTATTCAAACCGGATAAACAAGACTGATATTTGAAAGGAGGGGAGATTTTTTCCAAGCACTCTCAAGAGCTCTCCCCCCCCCAAAAAAAAACAACCAAAGGACGGAGGGTGAAGTGTGTGAGAAAGTATCTCAAGTTACATGATGAGTACGACGGTCGAGTGTTACATCGCAGTTCCGCATTATCATGATGCCCCTAGGCCGGCGCCAACCGACCACCGGGGGAAACGCACTGCTACTCCCCATGGGCTTTCCCGCGTCGACCCGCTGGCCAGGGGTTGGCTTACGTGCTCCGTGGTGCGTATCGCACACATGCAAATAGCGTCCAAGTCTACGAACTTGATTGAATTATTTAAAGGGCCCATGCGATGCAAAAATGCATTAGTGTGTATCGGAACCAAATACATGTTTATGCTAATTCAATTTACATAATAGTCATGAGCAAAACCGCAATGTCATAGTAAACTTCAGTGAAAAAAAGCTCACACAAGCAAAGCATTTTAGCCATTTCTTATTCATTGATTTCTTTTTGGCGATCTTGACCCAGTTTTCCAGGTTTGCCTAGACTTGTGTTGTTTTAAGAAATTTTGAAAAAAAAGTATCTCCTTTTGTTTCGTTTTTTTCCCAAGTAACCCTTAGAGTATGCCCACAAATATCGTCATGACGAATCCTCAAAAATGTCAGTGATGACGTAAAAAGCAACACGAGATGATGGTTACAGCATGTTTAGCAACAGTCACATCGTAATGCATGAGTAGAGAAAATCCATCAATTTGAGGGAGATGAAACAGACTTACGCACACGACACATTATGGATGTTCACATAAAAGGCTTTTAAAAGGATGGGAAATCGGATAAATTTTTCCCCTGTGAGAAACGAACTGTTTACATTGTGAAGCATTGCTCGGGCCGTGTCTGGCATTATGAAATTGCCCATACACGAACGTACACTTCGTCCTTCAAAACAAATGTTGCTTTCCTATAACTGAATTTGATTTTGAGATTCGAACCAGACCTATGTGCCCATTAATAGTTCACGTTATGAGAAAGGGTTTCATCCTAATGTTAAAAAAACAAAATTATAAATGCAGGATTTTGTAAGTGATGGTTTAGTTCATAAGTACGACTATTTGTCTCATGCGTTTGAAAATTAATGTTTAAGTTTTTGGATGATCGACTTAAGAAATATTTATGCAAGAAAATCTAACACCATAGCAGTTTGTGTAGGCTTGTTCTCGAACTCGTACGTACTCAGTACTTTTTTCCGTTACGTACTCGTACTCATGGAAATGTACTCGTACTCGTACCCGTGGCAAAGTACTCGTACTCGCACTTGTGAAAAAGTATCGACTGCAACACTGTATGATATTCGTTTATACCATTATTGTTCACACTCAGAGCATATCGCTAATTAATGACATTGTGTTTGTTGATACAACCCTATACAGACGCGGCGTCTATCCCCTGGTAAAATTGTCCAGGAGGACAAAATTACCCAGATGAAAGTTTCCTTCTGACCTTCTTCATGTTATTTTGTCCCCCCCCCCCCTAGTGTTGCCGCGGCCCGTTCTTCCAGTATGTTGTTTTGATGAATTCACTCCAAAGGGTATACATTTCGGGTTTGTCTGCCCTCCGTGAAGCTATCACAATGAACTTATGGCCTTTCGCAGAAATGGCAGCAATCGTCTTCTGCAGATTTATTGCACACGTTGAAAGCCATATTAAAAAAAGAAAAAGAAAGACGTCTTGGTGCTACACATCACGCGTTACAAATAGAGACACATTCACCAGGCGGACCCATTTTCTGTTTGGCTAGGGGACAGAATATTAAGCCGTGTACGAATTACTTATGGCTACGGCTTGAAATCACACACAAGTATACGGGAGGTTGCTGCAGCCGCATGTCAAGCTGTAGCCAAGTAATTCGGACACGGTCTAACCTGGAAAGAGACAGCATCTACCAGGTGAATTTGCCCACCCTCGGACAGATTTACCGGGTCGCAGTCCGGTCAATCCGTCCGGGGGGGGGGCTAGATTTATTAGGGGGACACAGTGGCGGCGGAACGCTTTTCAAACTGGGGGGGGGGGGGGGGGGCAACACCAAAAGGGGCATTTGCGCAGAAAAAGGGGCACCTTCCATCAGTGTGAAAATGGAGGAAAAGAATACGGTCCCGTTCATTTCGCTATAAACCTATGTGAAGAGGAACAAATTATGAATACGTTTTCCATCTTGCTTATGTATTTATTTTACCCATAGTTATGTAGCAAGACCATTTTTTTTATCGCGAGAGGGGCACTGTTGCTTTTGATGGCCAGTTCAGTGACAATTTCATTCGCGTGAAGTGCACTATTATTTTGAGGGGCACAATTTTATTATTGCGAGAGGGGTATTTGTGCTTTCGAGGGTTAGTTTTCCATTTTGAAAACTTGTGCACAATTCTCTTCTTCATGCGAGAGGGGTACTTGTGTTTTTGAGGGGAAGTTTTGCATTACAAGAGAGGAGACAATTTTATTTGTAGCGCGATCATATGCTTTCATGTGTGTGCGTTTGGGGGGCAGTTTTGTTTTCATCTCGAGGGGGCACATTGACAGCGAGAGGGGCACTTTTGTTGGCCGTGGAAAATCTGGGGGCAAGTCCCCCCCCCCCTCCTGGTTCAGCCGCCCCTGGGGAACAGAATTACATTACACCAACTGCATAACGGGCAACCAACTGCAAATCCATGTCTTGAACCAAGGCATTCGTTGCACGCTTCTCACGCGTGCCAAACTATACGCCTGATTTCTCATTGGTTCATTCTTATTTCAGTACAAAGATGCCGACTTGTTCTTGAGGTTCATGGAGGATTTTGAAAACTACGGGGACGTGATAACCTCCTACCTGGACGACAGGGGACACGCCCCTCTGACCTTGAAATCCACCACTAACTACCGTAAGTTTCAGTAATGCTGACGTTTAACTCTATACTTAGCCGAGGTATAGAAGTGGGACCCCTACATTTTCTCCAAGTCTCACTGCAACGAGTCTTTAAGATTTAACCTTCATAAAGAGCCAGTTCGAGAGAGAAACATAGTAGTCAACTTTGGCTGATTGGTGACGTGTTCTGCGTCTGCGCACCAGTAGTAAAACCGGTCCAATATAGGTCTTACGTTGACTTTAAGACACCATTTTCACCATAGTTCATACCGAACGTTCATCTTTTCCACAGAGTCAATCTATGAGGTGGTGACAGGCGGTCAGGAGCTAGTTCATGAATTTAGCGACTACTCCACTAAAGTTACCATTCCAGGGACGGTACTCGCAAAACAAGGTAATAAACATCGTCCCCAGTACAAAGGGGAGAAAACTGCTTGAATCCTTATTATGCTCGTCCTTACCACCCTATCCAAAGGTGCAAGTGACGTCTAATTTTCTTTGAGCTCTGATTGGACTGATTTTTGTACATCACGTGAGCCAGGATACTTTCGTGGGCGGTGACGTGTGACCCGTGCGCACGGCATTCTGCGTTTACTTGCTAACGGCAAGTGTACCAGCAATGCTTTGCGGCGTCAGCGTCTCCTAGACATGATTTTGCAAAACGGATCGGCGGTGAGGGGTGCCCTATATAGAATTTGGATGGGGCGGTACGGTGAGGATGATCGAGTGAAATGGCAAAGATAAACGCCCTCAGGGGGCGACATTGGACAAACTTACACATAATTCGGTTGTGGTTTGAATTTTAGGGTTAGTTATGTTGGAAAAATTTGTAAATTGTGAGTTAAGAGCGGCTTTATTTGTTCCCTCGAAAAAGTGTCTATAAAATTTACCGGTATTTAGGTGGAATTTACCGGTATTGCTTTATAATAACTGCGGTCGGACAAATACCAACGTTTACTAGTGTGGCATATGGTCACAAGCTCACTAATATGTTGTTGTTATTTGATTGACAAGCCTGCAATGCAAAGTTGCCGACTGAACACACACACAATCCACTTGATATTGGCGATTTAGAGTGCACTTTGCAGAGTGTCAGGTTTTAAAGTTTAACAACCACGTATCATAATGGATGTTAAATACCAACTGGACACGGCCCGTAACACAGGCCCTGCAGTTTGGAACAGTTAATTAACAGATGGTTGTGTTTCCTGTGTAATTACAATATATACTTGTCAACCATATTGCAACCTGACTAATTTGTTTTATTATTACAGTAGGTTCCACGAGGAATACCAGTGTTGCAACTGTGGTCTTCGCCTCAACAATTGTGAGCCTGTTTCCTTCACAGTCGCAAAATTCCAAGTAAGTGATCCCACAATTGTTGAATTTAGTAGAAAATACATTAGTTTGCACTCGAAATAACGAGTCCGAGTGCACAATAAGCTCTGGAAGTCGTTCAAGATGATCCCTGCAAGAGCTGAAAATGCGACGCCGAAAAATGCGACGCCGATGGCACATATGGAACACCATACACCAAAAGGTCAATTTTCGGGACAGACAGACCGACCGACCGACCGACCGACCGACCGACCACCAAGTGACATGTAGAAGCTCCTGCCAGAGGTTGATGACATCTTTGGGGCTGTGGCAGATGTTTCTATTTTCACCTAGCATGCCAGACTATACAAAACTCCTGAATGAGATTCTTTGGGAATAACACATTTCTGGAGTCTGGATGCTGATAATTACCCGAGCCGAAGGCCTTTTAAGTTAAAAAAAAAATCTAAATTTTTCGGTCAAAAAGTCAAAACGAGTCAAACATTATAAATTTCCAACGATTTTATTCAACAATTTTACTTCAAGTTCTACCTTTTCCTTAATTTATACGAAGATTGGCTTTAGGACCATAAAATACTGACTCGCTGCTAGTATTGCGCGTGCCTACGTGAGGATTGTAAACGTACAACCATTGAAACGGCAAAAGGCACCGGATTTCATAGGAGTCAACATTTCATATGACACTGGAAATGTGTTTAAGACAAGCCAGCCGGTGTTAGGTATATACGAATACTGCTTAATTGGCGTATAAATTTCCGTACAAGGACCGGTGTGTGTGCTGCCACCAAGCGTTTCAGAAGTCAACCATTGACTTATGTTTTCTTCTTTTTATCTATGCATTACGGCAGGATCCACATTGACACCCAGAACATCAGTTCGGTTCTGGTTTCCTGCAGTGTATTCCCCACCCCGACCACCGACACCTTCGCCGACAGCGTGTCGATACAGATGAAGAACGACCCCGTGCTGCCCAATTCCACCTGTTCATTCTTGACATACAGCAAACTTGATCGGTAGGCTGAGGAATTTGTTATGTCTCAAAATATAAACATGCACCTTCACTGTGCAGCTCACCTGGTAAAGGTGTAAAGGTATTGAGGGGGCGAACCTGTGTTCACATGAACGGAGTGCCCATCTCTCTTTCGTTAGCGATCGGGCCAGACTCATATACTGCTGTGGGGGGATCGCCACACCTCCTCCACAGCGAGTCTGTTACCTTCCCAGCATGCATTGAATAATGCCGGTACCCATTTAACACCTGGGTTCAGAGGAGTAATTGAGGTAGAGCGCCTTACTCAAGGGCACAACGCGCATGACCACGGCGGGGCTTGAACCCACAACCTCACGATCATGAATCCTGTGCTCTACCGCTAGACCAACCGTCCCCAGCTTACCCAGAAAAGGCTGAAAGAAATGCGTGGTGATACATAGGTGTTTGCGTGCACTTGCCGGATTGACTAATGCATATTTACCAGTGTGCATGGTAGTCTTTATGCTAATGCACATGTTTGTATGATTTGTCGTTTGCCAGAGTAAAGCAATTGTATCTTGGCAAGAAACGTCCAGTTACAGTTGGTAGAGTCTAATACTTGAAACGCAACTGTAACTTGGATAATGTGCAACACTGTCCCGGACGTAGCTTGTCACTAACGCATCTATTTGCCTTTGTCGCCGTCAGTGTCTGGAAAGAGGACCTACAAGGATGCCAGAAGCCGGTCTTCAACGACGATGGCACGGTGACATGTCATTGTACCCATCTGACGACATTTGCCGTTATAGGCAAGGTGAGTGGGCCTACCATGATAAAGCAAGAGCGCGAGTAAAATCCACTGATCTCTATATACAGACTGGATAGCGGATATGCATGCAACATTCACACAGTAGACTTTGCATATTGACCAATTCGCCCCCGGTCTCACGAAGATGGCCGCGTATAATAATGTAACGAAAATGCAAGTCATGATTAATTTCCAGTTAAGCACACTTTATTCTTCACTCTGATAAGATACAGGTTCCTTTCATAAACTTAATTGATAGGACTTACGGAAGATAAGAAGATAAGTTTAAAGTTAATAACTTGTATTCCAATGAGAAGAATTAATGCCAATACAGTTGACTGTGTACTGATAATAGGTCCTACGATAATCTAATGGTAGAATAACTGCTAAATGAAATGACTTGTGCAAGTTTAATTCATCGAAGCTTTATAGGTCAAGACGCTATAATTATTATGAATAAGAATATTATTTGGCGCAGTGGTTTATGGCCAATCAGAGCATTGCAAGAGACATATTGTTATGATGCGCTAGCTCCTTGCGTTATGTACGCGCCCAAACGCTATAAAAGACGAGCCAAGTCGGGGCTCGGTGTTCAGATCGTGACTGGTTCTGGCCCGGTGAGGAACTTCACATAAAAGAAAGAGCGCGTCGTACTCAACGTTCGATTGCAATGCACATTGGCGCTCCGCCTCATCGTTATCCACATAGACATTAGATTATACGCATCGGGCGCAGTGTGTACCAACAGTATTGGAAGATAATACAACCGTTATTATTATTTGAAGAAGAACACGATCTCTCCAGTCAGAATTCTTGTCTAGTCTCTAGTCATCTAGTACTTGAACCAGTGATTTCGCGCCCGTTACAATACGAACGTTCTACGTGTAAATACGCGCGCGTTGTATCAACAGTTGAAGCGCATTTTGGTCACGTACACATATTATGATGTTCTAAAAGGAACACATTTCCGTAGTGATTATAATTTCAAAAACGCCGAAAAAGTGATTTGCGGCATTATAAAAGTAACCACTACGTTAGAAAAATTGTAGTAAACCTTGGTCAGTTGGTCAGTGGTGGTGGCCAAAATATAAGTCAAGTGAGCCGCGACGTTACAAAAGAAATCAAGCTGTCTATAAAAACGGCAACTTGTCCTTTGTAGATCACCAGCCGGTCTCACCAATATGGCGTCAAATTCGTACATTGTGCGGCTCTTTATTAGCTATCCAGTCTTTATATAGAGATCAGTGGTAAAATCTCGTTGTTGGGCTATATAGCGCCCTCTAGTGTTCACATGAGCAGGTCCCAATAGGTGCGTTCGAGTAGCTTCTCCATGTATACACGCGGTTAACACTCGATAAAGCCAGGCAACGAGGCTTATCGAAAGGTGCAGTGTACTCGCCTGCATTCTTGTTGTGTCATTGCAACCAGATCAATACTTGCTGGATTAATTAGGAAGATATGCTCTGCTCTGCTCTGTTCAATTTATCACGTGAACGTAAATTGCATTACGTTTGAGTCTTAAATCTGTACATAGTATTCAATTTAATTTCCCGCTATCTTCAATCGAGCCACGAAATCGTCCCGCTACGTCATTGCAACCGGGCAGCTACCAGAGACCCGCTCGCGAGCTTCTGAGGTATAACACCGGGGCAGACACGAGTATCACGTGGTGTTTAATCGAACGCGCTCGCGCAAATGTTTACTTTCACGTGTAAGTTATTCGAACACATCAAAAATTATTTCGCTCCGGACCGTCCTCGGTTGTGCAGGAAAGCCAGCATTGCGAAGGTCTGGGTGACCGTTTTAGCCGAATTTCGGCTAAATTTGACAGATTTTTTTTTTTGAAAAAAAAAAATGGTTTGACAGAAACTTTAGCAGAATGATTTTTTTCAGCAGATTTCTAGCAGAATTCTGTATTAAATTGAATTAAATTTTCAGATTTTTTTTTAAGAAAATTGTGTAACATGTACATCATGTGAGCACATTGTTTATAACGTATTTCGTGTTATACATGTACAAGATGATTTAGCAGATTTTTGTTAAATCTAGCAGATTTTTGAAGTGCATCTAGCAGAATTTTGCCATTACCTTACGGTCACCCTGGCGAAGGTATAGGACACCTGAAATTAACAATGTGAATGCGTATCTTGCATGCACTGGCAGTGAACAGTGGATCACTTCCTATATGTATCCAATGAGATCTCAAAGAAATTAGAGGTTTACCAGCTCACTCGGCCAGGGTGGTGGGAACGAGGATATGTTGTCTTGCCACCTGGCCCTTTAAAAGTGAATGACTACATGTACTCACAATTTTTCACAGCCGTGTCTTGTCCATCCATGCATGCAGCCCACACGCTGTCCATATTGACAGCACGCCGAGACGTCCGTTCCTATCATTAGCATTCACTTCGCATCGAATCTCTCTCCAGTGTTTTGAATATTAAATTAAAGCCAATGCATACGTAATGATCCTTCTCGTCAAACAGTGTTCCCAATGTCACTGTCCTATTCCAACTCTCCAGATAGGTAGAAAATTAGAATTAATTTCACGCCTCGAAACAGACGAATGGTGTTACGTACGTAAGGGCCTACGCCTCCGAGACGTGTACGTGCATAAAACATATACGGGTGACGTACGTCAGGGAACCGGAATTATCATCCTGCCTGCACCAGACTGCAGCATTTTCCTGCGCTTTTCGGCGCCCTCATTGGCTCTCAGTGCGCCCATTTAGGAAAATTTGGTATGGAATAGAACCATTGATATCCATATGAAAACTGAACAGCCCATTGGCTGTATGAAGTGAAGTCACCGTCCGCCATATTACGACTCCAAGAACAATAGATTTGTACAGAAAGATTTTTAATGAATGTAATTAGTAACATCATACACTTTTTACTCAACGATTTTGTTGGCCAAACAATAATTAAAAAAAGTTTACTATACATTAAGATGACTCTGTTAAATTAAAAAGTGATCCTCAGTAGATCGTTCAGGGTGGATACTACTAGTAGTCATAGTATAAAGTTGCCATTGACTCCAATGATAAATAACCCGGACTTCAAATAATTCGGAAAACTCTCACAACTTTCCAAGATGGTCATATCACGGCACATATAACACCACACGCATATTCAGTGGCCTACAACCTTCATTTCGCCCTTATTTCAGACATTACACCAAACGGATCACGATGTGATGCAGAAATTAATATACATTCTGGCCCCAACTTATAATCATGCAGAAGGCCTATACACAACCTAACTGGTATGGATTGATAAAGCTACCAAATGGCGCATTCCAAAAAAACCACTGCCCAAAAGCTATTCAAGTTCACTCTTATGTTCTCTTGAATACGTTACTAAAAAGTTAAGGAATAAAAAAAATGCTTCAACAATAACAGGAATGGTTTCGCGGCATTTTGATTGGACTTTCAAATTGGGTTCGCAAGCACGTGGAAGCAATGCAGGCACTTAAATTATGTAAACCTTCACTTTACTTTGGAGGAAACATCTTTATCGTGTTCGTGTATAAATTTCAAATGACCGTAATAAAAATTGGTGCTTGCTTGTACATGTAGTTAACTTTAAATCAATTTAAGGCCCACTTTCCTTGTTCTGCTTACAATAAGCAATTAACGGGACGGTCAGCTTATTTTACGGACAAGCAAAAGCAGTTCGGCAGGTGTGCATGCGTACGCGTTCGTCCCAACTGAGCATTTTGTAAGCATAAGTTGCTGGCGCATGTTCAAGCACTGTAAGCACAGATAGTCAGGTGGCATATGGTCGGAATCGTGACCGACTGGTCCAAAGCACCAAACTTGGCAGATAGATTCTTATAGCCCTAGAGAAGATATTTAGAAGGGGTGACACCTGAAATTCTTTTGGGAAGGGTGCCTAATTTGCATAAATCGTTAATCCCTGCCGTGTAATTTATTTATTCCAATGTTTGGGTATATTTTTCTTTTTTTCTTTTTTTTGAAAAGTGTATTTTGGTGATTCTACTTGCATACTACTTCAATAACATTTTGTAAAACATATTAGTGACTAAATAATAAGGAGGACATAGTAAAGAACCAAAATTGCTACTATTTTACCCTAAAGTTATGCGCATTTACCTTTTCCTCAGATTTCATCAACTAGTCTCGCCAAACGTGGGTATTGATGAGCTTCAAATTCACAAAGTTACTTTCTGGCATAGTTACCCTAACAAAAATAAGTGGGAAATCAAGTGAAAATTGATAACATCTTGAAGCTTAGCCCAAAAGACCAAAAAAAGGGGAGAAAATGTGGTGTCCGTAAATTGGGCTAGTACGGGAAGGGTGACGTTGGGACTTGAACAAGTTCAACGAAATCCCCCTAAATAAGAGAATATTGTTGTTTACAATAATTTTGTCTACGCCAAAACGTTTTCTCAACAATAATTTTGGGAATTTCCTTGAACTTGTTCCAGTGTTCCATGTTAGGCAACCCTTCACCTACTTGTTAGCCTAATTTATGGACACCTCGTTTTTTCCCATTTTTTGTTTTCTGGGCTAAATATCACAATGCTATCATTGTTCACATGATTTTGCATAAAGTTTTAATAAGGTAACTGCACCAGTAAGATACTTGGTGAATTTGAAGTTCATCCATGCTGATGTTTGGCAAGACTAATAGATGATATCTGGAGACAAGGTAAATGCGCGCAATTTTAGTGCATTATAGTAGCCATTTTGGATCGTTACTATGTCCTCATAATTATTCAGTCACTTATATGCTTTGGAAAATGTTATTTAAATAAAGATATGTAAGTAAAATCCCCAAAATACACTTTTCAAAAAAATAAAAAAATAAAAATATACCCAAATATGGGAATAAATATATTACACGACAGGGATTAACGATTTATGCAAATTAGGCACCCTTCCAAAAAGAATTTCAGGTGTCACCCCTTCTAAATATCTTCTCTAGGTCTATAAGAATCTATCTGCCAAGTTTGGTGCTTTGGACCAGTCGGTCACGATCTTGACGAAAATTAGATCTAAGCCACCTGACTAAGAATAGCGACCGTATTTAGGAAATTCGGTGATTAGAAGAGCAGTGAACTTTAGCCAATTTCTTCTCTTCTCTCTTACAGTACAACACGAGAGGGAAGCTACCAAATGTCCTTCTGGCTTCGATGGTTTTATACTTGGTTCTGATAGCAGCGACCTTTTGCCTTCTACTTTATGCAAATAGGTAAAGCAGGAAACCTTTGTGGTGATCATTTTTGAGGCAGAGTACAACTAATGCTGTTTGGAAACTTTGGATAGACTATATAAGGCAATTGGATCAAGAAAAATTAAAAATGCAATCGCCAAAATATTGTGAAATATCCGACTTAAGTAAATAGTAGGATCAAACGTCCTGTAAAATCATTGCGCCTGGCAAGCTTTCATTTTCAAGAAAAGAGGAATTAGCCTACCATTATTTCCTAGCAAACCTATATGCTTTGCGTCCAGAAAACTGAAGATGCATTTTCGAAGTTTTCTCAACTTGTGTAATGTCCACTGAGCTGAAACATCAACAGGTAAAGGTTTTTTGACATTCTTCTTTTGATTTTGAGTGATGTTATTGTGACACAAACAAAATACATGAACAGCAAATGATCCTATATGCCTTTACAGTTATTTCGTATTACCACAATATTGCAAACTACAGAAGTTACTGGGCCATGCTTGGTTGCAATACTCCACTGAGAAGCTAACGTTGAAGTTCGTTCAAGTCACAAGGGCGGATCCAGAACACAATTTTTGGGCAGGGGCCGAAAATAATTTTGGTCCCCCAAAAACTTAGTAAAAAAAAATACGGCGTTGGGTAAAAAAGTTTGCATTCTTGATGCTCTGTGGTGCGGTCTGAGGCAATTTTAACATTTTTTTTTAAGGGAAAGATGGTGGTGAACGCAGTGCCTGCCTTTATTGCGACGTCACTTTAAAAAAAAATTGGGTTTTTTTTTTGGGGGGGGGGGATGGCCCCCTTTGGCCCCCTGGATCAAAATATCATTGTTGTAGTCGCCCTAAATACGTTGAGGGCGTCTTTTTTTGTTGTTGAAGATTACCAGCAGAATTATTGATCAACGCAGAAACAATGTTGGGACTTATTCGTTGCTAAAACGTATTTTGACGGATAAGAAAATCAGAAGTGATTTTTTTTCTCCAAAATGTCTTTTTTTCACCTCCAGAACATTTGAATCAGATCGTGCCTCAATAGTGCTGTGTTTCCTAGCAACCCTTTTAACCGGTCATATAACGCTTGTTGCAGGAGTCTACGCAATAGATAACATGGTAAGAATTGTGACGTATGATGGCAGGTTGGGATAGGTTGGGTTGAGGTGCATGGTGTGGAATGTGTTGGGTTGGGTTGGGTTTAGTTGGGGTCATGGGTTGGGTATGGCTTGGGTGGGTGGGTTGGGTATGGCTTGGGTGGGTGGGTTGGGTTGGGTTGGGTTGGGTTGGATTGGGTTGGCTTCGGTTGAGTTGGGGTCGTGGGTTGGGTATGGTTGGGTTGGGTATACGAGTTTGTTTTTGCATTCAGTAGGGACGTTGAACAATAGAGGACAATAGGGTCCCCGATTCCCGAGAGGTTTCCAATTTGGATTCCACGGTGTACAAAACATAATGGGAGGTCTTCCTAAAAAGTTATAGTACAAAAAAGGGACAATAGGGGGTCTCCGATTGCAGGCAAATACACACTTTGGGTTGGGTTGGATTGGATGAGTTTGGGTCATTGGTTGGGTATGGTTGGGTATGGTTGGGGTCGGTTGAGTTGGGGTCATGGGTTGGGTTGGGGATGGTTGGGGTGTTTGTTTTTTTTTTTGGGGGGGGGTTAAAATTAGGTTGGGTTTGGGCTGGGCTGGGCTGGACTGGGCTGAACTGGGATTTGTTGGGACTGGTGAGGTTCAATTGGGCTGCATGGTTTGAATATGATTTGGCTGGTTTTGATAGGTTGAACTGCGTGAGTACAGGTTGATTTTAGTTGGTTTTGTAGTCCTTTATTTTAACAATGCACATTATTGGCGCTGACGGGTATACACATTTTCCTTTGAATATGTTGATTTCTAATTTGCCGTTTTGTTCTAATTTCTTTGTTTCCAAATTCACTTTGCCAGGATGCCTGCCGCGCAGTAGCCTTACTCCTCCATTACTTTCAGCTGTCTTACTCCTTCTGGATGCTGGCCCAAGCTGTGCAAATAGTGCTGAAGGTGAGACAGGGAGTAGGCGCAATTACCAAACTTGCGCTCATTTTAGCCGAATGAAGACATCAATCGTGATCTTACACAAAAGGTCGTTTGTATCACCAAAAAGAAATTACTGGTCATCAATCCACTGACATTTGTATCCCTTTCACGGATATCTGATTTTTTTTTGGGGGGGGGGGGGAATTTAGAAGTTATCCCAGACATGTTCTTGTATGTGACACTGCAAAGTTTTGCGCTCAATACGTATGTATACCGACCATTTAGTTTTCCAAGGTCTGCGGTACCAGTTATCTCTTTCAAGAAATAATATGAAAGAAAAGGCAAAGCATTGTCGTAGCTCATCGGCACGGTTCATGTTCTTACATTCCATGCTCAAGGTTTCAGGCGAGTAAATAGGCCCGCAAATGCTCTTTACGCCGGCCAAATCACGATGTGCATGCCCTCAATTTTGTTCGGCTATTGCAGCATTTTGTTGACCATGAGCTTGAGGGTTTGTTTAAAAAAAAAAGGGGGGGTGGAAGCCGTGCAGAGGGATGCGAGCTCGTATTTCTGTGAAAATCTGATGAAATTGGGCCCCACAATTGCTCCATTTTGCAATGAGCGCAGGCATCATTATTTAAAATGGCGATGGACTCCCAGGACTACTTTTAGGGCTGATAATCTTTCGATGGAATATCCTCCCAAATGTCATAGTTTACCCCCCCCCAAAAAAAAATTGATGAAATAAGCTTTAATTTGATGCGTGTCTCAATTGGAGAGTTGTGAGTATTTTTCCTGAATTTGGGAAGTGGGCGTATTTATCACTATGGCCTATGGCAGTTTATTTACAATAGTCTGCAACCTCAAGTAGAAGTGTTAGCCCGGCCGGGCACCAGTTAAACAATAAGTAGCTCACAATAATTTGCCGGCACCAGTGCCCTTGAATAGGGCAGTACGTACAAAACGAAGAACGACCTTGACTTTTTAAGAATATTTTTTAAGTTTCACGTTTTTGTCCTCTTTTTTTTTAGATGACGTACAAGACGACAGAATCCGGCACGGTTGCTCAGTTTTTAGCCCTGGGGTGGATCACGCCGTTGTTTGTCGTTGCCGGCACAGCAGGGATTTATGTTGAAAGCTACGGCCGAGGCAACTAGTAAGTTTTCGATCAGCCACTTTAAAATCACTTCAATTATCATTTAGTAGATTAAGTGCCAAAACGATTTAGGACAAATCAAGGGTGCCAACTTATAAACATGTCAAATCAAGAGTGTCTAAAAGATTCATGTTCAATCAAGAGTGTCTTAAAGTCAAATCAAGGGTGCCACTGAACAATTTAGGTCAAATCAAGGATGCTAAATTAATTCAGGTCGAATCAAAGGTGCCAACTAATAAACATGTCAAATCAAGAGTGCCCAAATGATTCATGCTCAGTCAAGGGTACCAAACTGATAAACGTCAATTCAAGGGTGCCAACTTAATTGATGTCACATCAAGATTAATGCCAAATCAAGGGTGCTAATCTGATTTCAACTTCAAATCAAAACCTCGAAGGTACCACACATTTTTATTAAGTCGTAAGTCTGGGAAACTGATTACTGTCTTATTGATTGATTCCTTTGCAGCTGTGCACTTCCCCTTGGCTCGGGAATTTCGTATGCAATCATTACCCCCGTGGCACTAATTGGATTCGTAAGTAAATCCACATGGCATGTGTTCATATATAAACAAAAGTTAGCAATAGGCTGGTGGAAACTTCACTACTTGCCTTTTTATTTTTTGCCGTTTCATATGCGTCAGCCATTCCTGCGGTGGCACCATGGGCCGATGTCATGGTGCTGCTAAATAAGCAAACGATTTTCTGCTAACAGAACCTATGTCTATTTCAGAGAGACCGTAAGCAGTAAGCACAGCAAAAGGCACGCCTACCTCAGAGGACAAAATTCTTAAAGAGGTTGTGGAATCCTCGAAGACATTTCCGTCATTTTTTGGGTATATGTAGCCTAAGGTGTGATGAAATAAAAACGACTATTGTTTCTGTCATGAAATGAGTACAAAGGGTACTTTTGAGAGCTATTTTTCAGGTCCTGTTTCGACCCGAACGTGCAATTTGTGTAAAAGTCGTCGTTGCGGGCAGCAAACAAAACACAGTAAATCGTGACGTACTAAACAGGACTCGTTTATGGGAGTCCTGTTTATTACGTCACGATTTACTGTGTTTTGTTTGCTGCCCGCAACGACGACTTTTACACAAATTGCACAATCGGGTCGAAACAGGCATGACAGGACTTGAAAAACAGCTCTAAAAAGTACCTTCTGTATTCATTTTATGACAGAAACAATAGTCGTTTTTATTTCACCACACCTTCGGCAACATATACCCGAAAAATGACGGAAATGTCTTCGAGCATTCCACAACCTCTTTAACTTAGTGACGTAACAATAGAAATCTCCATGCGCCCGCGACTGTTACCACACCCACACCATGAAATAGTGTTTAAGGTTAGCACATCTTTCTGCTACATTAAGCACAACTTTTCTGCTAACCGCTAATAAGCAGTGTCACGAAATTGGGCCCTGGCTCGCACTCGTCGCGCTCAGGTAGTTTGCACGCACTCCGGGCTCCTTCGACCAATAGGGTCGCCGGGATGCACGCGCGCCCAGTCTTAAATAACGCGCGCGGTATGCGCGTGAGCGTGGTACCACCGCAAAAAATGGCTCCAATGCTTTCTGACGAATTCAGCATACTCTTTTTTAGTTCATCATTAGTAATTTGTGCATTTTTACTGTGCATTACTTTTCGGATAGCTGCAAATGATGGACTTTAGCTTTAAGATGGATCAATTTTGTCAATTGTTGCTTTTTTATACCAGGTAACTGCATTTGCTCCATTTTTTTTCAATTAATGGAAGGCAGTACATTTCCTGTGAGAGGCAACATTCTTAGATATACACATGTTGCAAACTATTTTGAAACGAAAACAGTTCAGAAAAAAAGGTTTATATGCTAGTCATCGAAACAATGTCTTGTAATTTCCAAATAATATCAGAGGTAGAATTTGGCTAAATATGAAGTCTAAACAAAATGAACCGATACATTTTTTCTGGGGTGTAAAGTGTTGTGTTTGAGAAATCAATAAAATATAATTAAATTCCCTGTTTTTATTATAACTCAAGGCTTTTGTTCCTTTTTTTCCCCAGACAAATTTTGTATGCTTATTCTACGCATTTTACTGCTACTACGGTTTAAAGAAAACCGACAAAAAGTGCCTTGGCTACATGAGCAGAATCTTGTAAGTACCGACAGTATTCTTTAGTTTCCCGGCAATTTTCGCCTGCAACACTTATTCGTTTTAGACAATCTGCAGATCGAACCAACTGCAAATGCCTGCAGAGTTATTAACAGTCCCTGTGAAGACAACTTCTTTATATTATTGAAACAGATATGGACCAAGTCAACACAATCACTACATGTGACTGTGCGTGTGTTTATGGTGTATATCGAGGACACACACGTGCAACATCACCGAATTATCGAGGACAGAAACCGAATTGAGGACTCCTCGGTTGGAAAACGTGTACTTAACCAATGAGAGCCGTTTTGTGAAACATTTAGAGTATAAGCAAAGGAAAAGGGAAGAGGAACAAAAGAACATTCTCGATTTACACCATAAACGAACGTGTGTGTACATGTATAACATACACCCCGAGGACAGATAGACAAAGGGGGAACAACAGTTTCTTTGTTGTCCTCGAGCGTTTATCTTTTGTTGGAAACGGTCTCGATCATGAGTGTGCGTGCTTAGTCTATCGGAGAGTGTTACTTGTATTATTGCGGGGACAAAGGAAAACACAAAGTCTTGTCCTCGAGAGTATAGTCAAACATGACTGGGTGGTTTCACCTGTACAGAGCGCTGGAACCGAAGCCATGTTGGATTATTGCTGGTGTGAAAGGGGTGCCCAAACTCTCCGTGTTGGACACATGTCTGACATGGACATTTTGGAAAGTTTGAAAGGCGCTTTAGTGTACACAGGGTTCCACCAGTGCATTTGCAGTGCATTGCTAACCACAGCTACACAAACAGACGTGCGTTTTGTACATTTGGGTCCTCAAGAAGTCACTTGAGGATAATTTGACCAAAACACAGATGTTCAAAGATTCCTACACATTGCAAATGCAACATCATTACATACCAGTACATCAGTATCCCTGTCAATATATAAGTTTGGTAGAAGAGCATTCCATATCGAGTACCGTAGTCTGATTGTTACCATGTCCGACTAATGGTAGGCCTACATGGGTTCACACCTTGATAGGGACCATGGTGCTTGTGTCCTCAGGCAAGACACTTTACTACAATTCCCTCCACACAAAGAATAAATGGGTGAAGGCAGAGACCAGACTGTGCAGATCTCAATGCTGCAAAGAATACTTGTCTCATGGGTAACAATTGTAAAGCACTATAAGACTTTGTTACGTAAGCGGTGAATATAAGCACTGCATTATCATTATTATTATTCTGTGTATTTTCTTTTCTGTAGACCCAACATCCGTGCATGCTTGATAGTTCTCCCACTTGAGATCTGCGAGTGGGTATTTTCCGCCTTGTCCATTGAGTACGAGGATGTCATCTTTGATGTCTTCTGGATACTCTCTGCTCTAGCAATGGTACGTACACACGCAGTTACCCTTCACATTAACCAAAATACACTGTACATTTGGAAAGCACGGTTAGCTCATATATTGGATAGTAAGCTCATACCCAATACCTAACCAAATCAATGTGGTGATGGCGGATAATTCTTAAGAGCCGTCAAGACTGCTCTGTACATGCGGAATATTTACGCATAGATCATGGTAGTAATTTACTCACAATAAATTTCCCATAATGATTTATGAAGCTAGAAACAAGAGTACAAGCAAATTAGATTGACCAAATGTTGGACCTTGAGTGTAGCTATGCATCAAGTCCATCTTATGGTAACAATCTACAAAATAATATTCTGTAGTTCAACCTTAGCAAATAATCATCACGATGAGAGTGCCCCAATGTGAACTTTTTATTTAAAATAGTGAACACCAGATTGCAGAGAATAATTTTTAAGGCAATATTTTAAGGTGTGTGTGTGATAATGATGCAATTTCTTCTCTTTTCCACTTTGACAAAATATTCAGAGTATACTCATTCTGCTCTTCTACGGGATTAGCAGTTCGGAGGTGAGTGGCACTCTTCTGTGCTTGATCCGTTGAAATTGTTAAATTGAATCCCTCTATAAATCCCTCTATAAAGGCCTTGATCTTTTGCACGGCACCATGATTATTAATCTTATTTGATGCGATACTTTAACAAGAACCATGGCACCGTTTAATAGCCACAAAGTGTCTCGAGGTTCTATAGTAGGACAACCCCATCACTAGTCCTCACAAAACCATCGCAAGTCATTCACAACTCATCCAGTTCAAGTTCCATCACAAGTCATTCAAATGAACTGTGACAAAGACAATCCTTTGTTACCTTTCATCCCCTGCTCCCTGTGACTTAACTTGTGCTGATCTAGACTACAGCACTGTGATATCGGTATGTATTATACGTTTTCCCCTCCATGGAGCAAGGTTGTGGAGGAATATGAGAAGCATTTTGGACCCTGCTGCTGGCAGCACAAGAAGAGCTCGGCGGTCAGGGACTCGCCCCGGCCGGGCTGGCGAGACGAGATCAGCCAGATCAGCCAGTACCGGGAGGCCAGCTCCATCCTGAGAGACATGGACAGCACGGCCACGGTGACGGGGGCAAACGGCACCACCACTGATGGCCGAGGAGGCAACAGCGCCGTGGCGGGCTGCAGCGGCATCAACAACGGCGGGCTGGAAGTGGATGACGTGCTGGCTCATGGCCGAGAGCTCAACGACGTCTCGGGCTCCAACCACCTTGCGTCCAGCCTCTCCTCCTCCTTCATGTTAAAGGTATAGCTTTTGGGGGTGCATACCTACATGTATGTTCCCCAATACATGTACCTATGTTCCCCAATACCTATTTTCCCCAACCCTAACCCTAAGTCTAACCCTAACCCTAATCCTAAGGATTTTGGGGAAAATACATGTAGGTATTGGGGAACACTGGTACTGGGGAATGTCGGGTAGACGCTGCTTTTGGAACCGCTCTGGAGCTACGGGAGTGCGGCCTAGTGGTCAGGGTTCCTGAATCATGATCACAGAGGGAGTTCATATCTAGGTGCTGGTCATTTGTTGTGTCCTTGGGCAAGCCTCTCCACCTCCACTTGCCTTTCTTCAACCCGTATGCGGCAGATAGGAGAAATATTTGGAAGAATTGTGCCTTTGAGTTTGATTAAGCATGGAATTTGGCACACAGTCCAAGTACCAGTATGTCCACATTTTCAAAATGGCTGCCATACAGCTTATTATTCTATCTTTATTTCTTTTTCAAAGGACAAATCTGTTATGGTCCTATAGCCGAACATCTTTCTCATCACATACTCTGACTGTGTACCAAATTCCATGCTTGTATCATAATTATCAATGGCACAATCCCATCACCTATCTGCCATACTACAGAAGTACAGATTTCATTTGCTCGTAGACTTTGTGCAAATGTATCCAAACGTCGCATATCAAACCAACTTTATCGTCATTATTTGAACTCTCCCTTCACACAGACCAAACTCAAGGTGTTCCCACTCCGCAAGAACCAACAGCCCCCGTCCACGGGGGCCCAGTCACCGTCGGCCGCCAGGCAGGGCCAGGACAACCACAGATGACAAACATTCGACACCTCGTCAGCGCCGCGCTCCATAACCAACCATGCTCCAAAGAGGGCGCCGTCACCCTCGTCATCGCCATCGTTATCAACAGTGCCACCAAAGACGGTGTCCTTCCAGCTGCAGCCAATCATCATCCAGGAAAGGGAGAACGTCAAGACCGAGGTGTCTGTTTATGCAAATCTATAGAATTTCTTTTTTTGGAGGGGGGGGGGGGGGAAGGGGAGACGACCGGACCCGAATAACAAAAGATTGACTCAATTCATGACAGTACCTTTTTTGCCTCATTGATTTTATGTCCCTCTACTTTTTTTCCCCTACAATTTGTTATCATTTCGAACTCAAACTGTAACGGAAGTTTTTCATGAGCCACAACGTAGCATTTCCACATCAACATTGGAACGGCTTGCAAGAACTCAGCAGCTTTGAGGTTCTAGAACTTGTGTGTGCATTCTACAATGGCCATTCTATGTACCTAAATGGAAAATGGTACATTGTTACATCCACTAGACACTTTCAAAAAATTTACAAGGAAAATGATAACAGTGGAAACACGAGTCAACAAGTAACAAGAACTTTGAGTGTTTATGAAATATCGGCGGCGTCTCTGGGTTCGACTTAAGAAGATTTGAGGCCCCTTGTGGTTCAATATTGGTCAATATTCTGCTTCAGAATGTTATATACCATTTAACATACATTGGTGTAAAAGTTAGAGAAATTCTTATGGGTCTCAATATTAAAGGCTTCTAGATGCTTCTGAAGACAGAGATGAAGTCAGAACTGGAAACGAAACCAGTGTTTCAAAAATACCTATTATATCCCAAGCTTATATTGCCCGCAACTCAATTCAATCCCTGTACAGAATAAAAATGTATATGTACATAATCACAAAGCAAACCTGTATATATTTAATCCATTGATTGATACAAAAATTATTTTTGTATGAAATGTTGTTTTCCATCAATTTTAATTGTTGTTTTGATGAAGCCAGTGCAGTGTTTGTGGTATTTGTTTTTCACTTTGGCACTTCATTCTGCACACTAAAAAAAAAGGTTTTTAAATGGGTTCATTATTCAAATGCAATATACATGCACATTGAACAATGAAGAAATTCGAAAATCGGTTATCAGCAAGTAAATATTTGGGACTTGAGTTACAGAGCTCGTATCAGGAGCTTGCGACACCATCACGGTGTCTTGGTCAACCGGCATTGTTGAGGCCCTCACGTGACCCGTCACGTGACCAAGCTTGGCCACACAACAGGAGGCGGTCGAATGTACGTGGGCCAGCTCGTACCCTCCATCTCTGTTCATATGGGGGCGGTGCCTGCGGATTTCCACAGCTTCTCGGATTTCGCGTGTGTAGAGGTCGTCCTCCCTGGTGATGATCTTAACATCGTCCATGGAGATGTTATGTCCTGGGGTGGATATATGTTCACCAACTAGTGTCAGGGGGGCTGACCTACTGGTGTGTTCTCTGCATCGGGTCTGCAGAGTGCGCGCTGTTTCCCCGATATAAGTGTCTTCACAGCCACCACACGACGTTTGGTATACAAGGCCACATATCTTGAGGTCTGGACGCCAGTTGACAAAGACACGTGATAGTGTCGCAAGCTCCTGATACGAGCTCTGTAACTCAAGTCCCAAAAAAGGTATCTTTTATTTACTTGATATAATAATGGGACAGGAAACAAACTTTCATTCTCAGTTATTACCAGTTTTCCTTTTGCAAAGACCTAGCTTTGTCATAGATTGCCCGTAGCGCAAGCTAGAAAAGAACAGATATGAAAAGAAGAAGAAAACAAAAGACAGGGGCAAGCCTAGGAAAGCTGGTCCCATCGTTTGATTCATCATGGCTATTCACTGGAAGTCTCTTCCTGCATACTGTGTACACAGTGGGCCATATGTAGCCCATTCATTGGCGTTACGGAGTAATCCTATACAACAGCACTGCCCGGCTCACAAGCCACAGTGAGTCGGTGAGTCAGTGCGTGTACAAGGAGGACGACAGGTTGGCCCTCTCTGGGACCAGCACAAATAAAAGTCATTTGGACAATGACAACTGATTCCACCTTTAAAAATTCCTGAAGATACAAATCTAATACGAACTACATGTACATGTACCAGTAGCAAACCCATCAGGGCCCAATTTCATGGCGCTGCTAACCACACAATCCCGCGCTTACACGCATCATTCTGCGCTAACAGCGCTAGAAGAAAAATTCTGCACTAACCCAGTAAGCACAGAATCCCTAGTTACAGGATGTATGCATGCGCACAAGCCAAAGTTCCTCTCTAACCCGTGAAATACGCTTACCGTAAGCACGGAATTTTCTGCTGCAGTAAGCAGGGATTTTCGCCAGCGGTTAGCAGAGCCAAGAAATTGGGCCCAGTTCTCTGTGCCATCATTCAACTCTTTTCCACAATGCGCCATGAAGCATGTGTGCAAATTTTCTGATGTAAAAACCTTAAAATGTTAATCCGTGTATGTTAATTGTACACCAGTGTTGTAGTACTCGTACCCAATACTCGTACCCGAGTACTACTCGGGTATTTTTTTGGAGTACTCGTACTCGTACTCGATTTTCAAAGTACTCGTACTCGAAATGATGGTACTCATACTTGGGCAGCAAAGTACTCGTACTCGACATGTCAAAATTGTACTCGATCTTTAAAGTACTCGTACTCGAATAGCAGCACTCGTGGGAAGAATGGTATAGCTTGACTTTACATACCATGGCCTTATTTTATCGATACTTTCAGTTTGAACTGGTTAATTGGCTTGTGGAGAAATCAAAGTTTCCTGATTTTCCTCTGTGCACGTCCGGACAAGCACATTTCTGTATATCAGTCTGACTGGGCCTTGGCCTATGACGCACAATGAACCATTTGCCGTGTGGCCGTATTCGGAAATACAAGTAGTAGTTCTCGTACTCGTACTCGGAAGTACAGAACTTGTACTCATACTCGTACTCGGCAACCCAAGTACTCGGTACTCGGAAAAAAATACTCGACTACCACACTGTTGTACACACCTCGATAGATGCATGTGTATTCCAAGAATGTATACATAATAATTACAACCAATGAATCATTGATTTGCCTGTCTTTTAAACCATCCATTTTAGATGTACGTACACTGTTCAACTTTATCAATTGTCTCTTTCATACTGCACTCGCACAAATGTACACGTAGTCAAAAAGCTTGTGGCAAAAAAGCTGTATTAACTTTACAAAGAAAACTTTTATTATTATATCAAGTCTTTCTACATGTATGTACATAGGCAGTGGTCTTATCTTTCTTACAAATCAATGAGATGATAAACATAAACAGGCTATTTACAATGCTGTAGCCATCTTTGCTGTCTCTTAGCAGGTTACTCTAATGCAACTACTGCAGCCACTAGAAACTTGTGCCTATAAACCTACATGATAAGTACATCAAGCAGCGCTGGTGCAACTGTGGAGTGTTAATCCTAAACCCTTCAAAATCCATCAAAATCCAACGAGACGTTCAGAGGATTTTGAAAGATTGAGGAACTCGGCCACTATTACTTTACATGGAACTTGATGGCCCATGAAAGCTTCAACAGTGCAACGAATTTGCCACTTGGTTTGCTGGATTGTGGAGGGTTTGGGACGGTTCATGGCACAAATTCCCAGAGAGAGTGTGAATACTGTGATGTCTTTCAGCTGGGGGAGTAGGTTATTAATGTTGGCAACTACAGGCATGCAACTGGGAATTTAGGGGTGTGAAAACATGGTGAAAACATGGTGAAAATAGCGTGGGTACCAACTATACAAGCGTTTCACACCGTACGTACAAAGTCTTCGCATGGCAGTGTGCTTTGACTTTTTATAAACTTAACACGTGATCGTTCTAGGCCAATGAAAGTACAGTATTCAAAACAGAGGTCTAACAATTCTCTATGCGCATCACTGTGGTATTGTGCATTCATGTAATAGGGAATACAAAGATGGGCGACAGCAGCACCAAAATATGATGTGTAATTGAAAATGTTTATATACATGAATTTGTACCAGAGTTTTGATCATGTCATTAACAAGTTCCATTACAACTACAAGTCCGTCTTAAATCAATGACAGGCTATACCAATGAACTGCGACACAGGCATGGGTTTTGACATATTGTCACATGTTTTCATCCTGTTACTTACGACCATGATGTGTGATATGACTTTTTTTGTGGCTCACTTGATAGGAACTCTGCCCTTTCCAACTGTACACTTTTGATATCTTCTTGCTCATCATGCATGTAATTGGAAAGTAACCAACCACACACAGAAAAAAATTCTAAGCTTTACACAACCTCCTACAGTGTATTTCGAAGGCGTACGTGAAGGGTGAAGTGAAAACAAATGGAAATCGGCTGATCCAAAGAAAAGTTGCTAGCCTGGTTTGATGTAACTCCTGAAAGTGTTTTAAAGAGTTTTCTAACCTCATGTACCCAATGTTTGCAGAAAGCTTAATTGGGCAACATTTCACATCTACAGAAAGCTTTTAACAGGCAATAGAGCTTACAATTTATTAATGAAAACTGGCAGATTACATATAAAGGTTCAATTTCCCTTCTACTTTTGAGTTTCATTCCAAATCATAGATTCCTTGTCTAAATTGCTATTTTTCTGGCATTCACTTGTGAATAAGACATCGACTGAAAATGGCCTTCATTTGGTTGTTGAATTACTTAAAAAATGTTGCATTACTTGCGGCCTGAAAATTCTTTCTCATATTGTAGGCTGGTTCCTGCCCCACATTCAGTATCAATAATGTATGGACCGAGAACCAGTTAGCTCATAATAAAGGCAAACTATTTGTGCCCCAAATGAAATCTTTTTTTTTTCAAAAGGCTGTGAACACTCAAAAAAAAATTAAGCTTTTTGCGTTGGAACAAAATGTAAAAGTTAAACAAGTTATTATGAGAAAAAAAACATTCAAGAATACCAAAAAAGCATGGGGAAAGCAACTTTAAAGTCATTTTAACACAAAACAGCCACATCCGTGCACAGGACGCACAGTCTTAAACCCTCTACAACGTCAACATTTTCCTTAAGTTTGCCAATGTAAAAAGTTGTATAACCTTATCAAATTTTATATCAAAAATAACACACAAAATATAACCAAAATTTGTTCAACTATAATCAAAAATGTCCACTATTTTATACTGATATAATTACGAAATGAAGAAAATGAAATGAAATGATGTGTAAGCAATAATTAAAACTTCATAAAAAAAGGCGATTGTAACATTTGCAAAACGTGGAGTTCTGACGAAAGGGGAAAAGGACGATATAGATTGTCAAAGCTCGGTGGAAAAAAATGTTGGGAAAGTTGCAGTTTTGTATGATATACTCCTAGTGATGTCATTAGAAAACTGTTTTGGTTTTTTTTGAAAATAATTATGTACAATTGGATTGTGCATCATTCATGTACTTGATTTTAAAGAAATAATGTTATACATTTATAAGCAAATTTTATGCTGTAAAATATATGCTATCCCCCTTTCCTGTTTAAAAATTATATTTTTTTTAGGAAGTTTGTTTCTTTTTTTTTGTTTTAAGTACACCTCTTTATTCTACGACAGTTTATCTTTTTTCATGTCTTTTTTTTCTTGATTTGTACCCAATTTTTAATTGTACATGAAGTGCCTGTTAACAAGAGATTCAGTTTGTCTTGTCATTGTGAAAGGTCAAATTTGAAGTATCATTGTGTTGAATTTTTAATTTTGATTGGTGAGAATTTGGACTTGCGAGATATGTGCAATGTTTAAAATGTTGTGCAATAGTTTTTATCGATACAGAGTATTTCATTACTGATTATAAATAATATTTGTAAAACATTGAAAAAGGGATTTTGAAGAAGAATCTGCTGGCTCTCCTGATTTTTGTAGCATTGTTCTTAATCAAAACAATGAAAGAATAATTGATCTTATACAAACTAATACATCTCTAAATGTTTCTTTTACTATTTACTACTGAGTAGGACACCATCAAAGTCCAATGCATGTGACTTTTTAGCAAAAAACTTAAGCCCGCCGCACAACTTTCCGATTTTACCGGTCCACCAGATCACTGGAGCACCGGTACCTTTTTTTCACCCTTGCGGAGACGGCAACATTACCCGCACACATGCCAAAGTCACATGATGACCAGTCACATGATGACAAAATGGCAGCCGACATTTAAAAGGGTGGTTCTACTTTTCCCCCAATTGTTTTTGTTCCATCAAGCTTCTTCCAATCCAATTTTGAACCCAGTTTCTCATTTGATTATGCATTCGCTGTAATGTGGGATTTTTAAATGCCATTTTCTCAAAAATTAGTTGAACAGCTTCAATTTTAGTTGGTGGTCTACATTTCCGTTACTGAACTCCGTACCCTCATATGTAGAAAGCTCTTGTTCTGCAGAATCCGGAAAGAAAAATGTCTCAATTCTTCGAAAGTTTTGAGTTTTTGCTCAGTTTGTCGTGACAGGTTTCATATTGGCATGTGAATGTGAAAAAAATGATGTGATTACATTTAGTTATTTCATTTCACTGTAAAAACGTGTTCATTCTCTGGAATGTGGCCAAGTTGGCAAATTGACAATCTTCTATCATTCTCTACGTGTATCAAGTACTTCAGGAGCCTAGTTATAGAATTTTTGATCAAAATTTAATGAGATTTTAATCGATTGGTGATGATTATATTTGACAAAAATTATATCAACTTTACGGCAATACAAATATACATGTATAACATCAATTGATCTTATAGTTAACAAAACGTGAATGAAAAAGTTGTCGTTTAAAAAAAAAGAATGACTAAATGACAAATTTATTCATCTGGAATCAAAGCTATAAAAAAAATTTGTAAGAACTCTTTTCATTCATACAATTGTATCCTTTTTATCTCATATCAGAAATAAAAAATGTCAAAGATGCGGCTCAGTTTGTCTTAAATGACTGGTTTTTATCTGTGTCAGTTTTTTTTCTTAAATTTCCTCGGGTTTGGAAATGATATCAAGTGTGCATTTCAGTTCTGTAACAGGAAGTTTTGAAATTTGGTTGCAAAAGATTTTTTCTATTTTAGTAACCAAGTGATTGGTTTTTTGGGGGGGGGGGGTTGCAAGTAAGTTTTCAGGGGCGTGTTGCTCTTACCGTCGGTGTTTTCACAAACTTGGAAAATCAATAATTTTTTGATGATGAGTTTTGCTGGCCATTTTATTGCATTTGACAAAAAGAACAATTTGAACAGCTTTCAGAGCAAAATATTGTTTACTTTTGTAATTATCGTAAACAAACATTTGACAAAAACCTGATTGTTGTGTTTTTTTTGTTTTCACAAAGTGACAAAAAGTCACCTCGTCAGCAGGGCCAGAGAGTTTATTTCTCTACACGTGTTAGGTTGGGAATGGACGAGTACGCAGGGAATGATGTTGATCAAAAACAGATTCGCGTGGGCTGCACTGATGTTTGTACAAATTTCTCGAAACCTTGTATGTTTTCACAAAGTGACAGAGAGTGTGTACAAAGTAATGGGAAAAATAATAAAGGCCTCTGCATATGGGTGTTTTCGAAAGGGTAAAAGATCTTTCATGAATTACTGTTTAATTAAGAGAGATTTTTAACAAACAACTTGAATTAGCAAAGAACAAAGCATACTTTACTTGACAATGCCAACATTTCCCAAATCTGTAACTGCAAACTAGTCCAAAATGATTTTTGAAAAAAAAAAGATTAATTCCAAATGCGATTATCTCAGGATGACCTTATTGCAGGATATTGAGGTTCTTTTCACTTCGTGAAAACACCATCATTATGTGGATAATGCTAATGTTTGGTAACATTGCCTTTAAATGAGAATGATTGTTTGCCACCAAGTTTGCAAATCTTAGCAACGAAAGATCCATCCGAGTCGCTCGCTGTTCTTTTCCAAAATGGCCGACTCCCACGCAATGAATGTCATGCTTCTGTCGAGCCTAAAATGTGCCTGTTTTTACATCAAAACTCCCAAATAAATTATTCAAATCGTAAGCGAAATTATTTCACTATAGCTAAGGTTTCAAGAATTAAAAAAAAAGCTTCCTAACAGTGAGACTTGAAAGCAATGTAGCACTGCCATTTTGACAAAATATATATATTTTTTTGGGTTGTACTAGGGATTGGCATGTCCACAAGGGCCTTGCTACTGTTCACGCTATTGAACATGAGAATGTAACGCAGCCCAGTGTTTTAACACCCTGCAATAAATAAATTTTCACACATTTTGCACGCTTCATTAAAATTGCTCCATGCATGCTGTTCAACATGTTAATTTTTTTCTCCCAATAAGCTTTCAATTTTTATGATGTAATTTATATGGAAAAAGCATTTTGTTTTCCCCTTGCATTTTGGATATTTTCAACCCTTTGAAAACATGCTTTTATTTTTGGGTTGCTTTTGAGCCAATAACACACAAAAGATAAGCCTGAACTATTGCCAGTTTGCAAAATAATTCAATTTTGTTGACTGGAAAAAATAATCCATAACCAAAGGTGGGCAGAGTTTTTTGTTCGATGTCCAGGGGTGAGATTGGGGAAAATGAACAATCCACGAAATATCCGCAGAGGTTTGAGTGTCGCCGAGGGCCCAGAGCAATGCAGCGTCTATGGTACACAGTGTATGTTTGTACAAATTTGCCTAAAGCCACCCCTTCAATGTGACCGGCTCCACAAAAAAAAGGGTATAATGTTGCAGAAAAGTGAAATGGAGTTATAAACATGGTTGGAAAGAACACAACATAAGCTTTCATTTAGTATATAGTAGAGCTCCGTAGCCCCTCCCGTTCTGGAGATATGGCATATTTGCATATTAATTTCTTCCTTAGAGTTCAAATTGTACAACTGAGAAAAAAGGCTTTGAAATAGCTGGCTTTGTTGTAGAACACTAGAATGATCCACACAAAATGGTTGTTTTTTCCACTTTGTTCATCAAAATCAACATTTCTGTGATAGAAATCTGAAACTGTAGGCATTAAAGATTTCATTCATGACATCAAATGAAAATCACATTTTGACGAAATTTTCACCCTCTCAATGTTGAGCAGGCAATTACACAATAATGCTAAGGGCGACTTAATACCCTTTTTTTGTAGAGTCGGTCACAAATACCAATTTCTTTTGCTCTGTATAAACCTTTAGAGGTCAAAACTCCTCTACGGTAAAACCTCTGAAAATCCAGATTTAAAAAAAAAAGATTCTTAACAAATGCTGAAATCAGTACAAAAATCCTGACAAATCTCAACCCTGGCCTCATTCAAAAGTAAATATCATTTGTAGTGCTGGAAAAAAATAGCAATTCAGACACAAAATATATTTTTCTGCCTTTTTCAAGGCATCCCTGTGCGCAACAAGAAACACTCCCTCCCAAATTTCAGATATAACAAGGTATTTGATTGGTCTGCATTATACATTATACAAGCACAAATCTGATTGGTTGATATACCTTGACTTTAGTATCGTCTGCCCCTCTTGGATGTTGAGGGCTTGTTCCTCCGAGAGCTTGGTGGGAAATCATCAAATTCATCTCCTTCCTGTAATAAGGAGAAATATAGTGAAAGAGCAGGTAAAAACAAGGACCATGGGCAGCATGCGCGAACAAGAGGCGGAGCTTTTTTACCACTTTTGACAGCTCAGTGGACGCGACAAACCACACGCACATACTGGTTTGCAAACGTATAATGTGAAGTACCCCCCTCCATCCCCCCCCCCCCCCCCCCCCCCCCATATTCATTCTAAATGTGGAAAGACGGCATTGCGTTCGAGGGGTGCATACTTATGTTCCCTAATACATATGTTCCCCTATACCTATGTCCCCCAACCCTGACCCTGACCCTAACCCTAAGGATTTTGGGGAACATAGGTTTTGGGGAACATCGGGTAGACCCCGCGTTCGAGTATCTCAACTCACCTCAAACTCTCCCTTTCTTACCATTGAGGGGGTAATTGTGCAAAGAGCCAATGGAGTACCGAAGTGAATACGTCACACGCACAAAATGTGTGTAAAAGATATTTCAGCACGTGATTCAGACCGCGAACCAACACGCGCGCGTACTCCAGTCACTTGCACTACACTTTCTGGTTCTAAATGACGTCACACTTCGGCACTCCATAAGGGCTAAAACATTTAGTACAAAATTTATAATGTTGAGTTTGTGATTGCTTTTTGACTGACTTGTGATTGATTTTGATTGACCTGTGACCGACTGGTGATTGACTGGTGATTGACATGTAATTGACATATGACTTAAACGAGACTAACATGAGACCGACACTTGATTGACACATGAATGGCATGTGATTACATGTAAATCTATTACATCTCTACACTCTGCAATAAGTGTATGTTCAGAGGGTGCAGAATCAGACATTTTTATGGGGTGTTCTAGCAACCCACCTAAAAAAAAAGATATCATTTCCAGCCTAACAGTTGGTTAGATGTGAAAAGTCACCTTTATCCAAAATTAGATTTCCAAAATATAACTCAAGTTCAGATAAGGGCAGAGCAAAGGGCAGTACACGTACATACCTCCGAGTCACCACTGTCTAGAAACTGCACTGCACTTCTCTTTGCATTCCTGCGCGACAAACAAAACATTCTCAATAAGACACAAGACGGAGGTGTATAACACTTGTTCAGTGACATCCATTTTCTGAGGTGGGACTGCGGTGGCAGATCGCTGATCGGCCAATCAGCGTTGGAAAAAACTGGCTTTTTTTCAAATACTGGCCCCAGTTGACCATCACACTTGTTTGCAATCGATTACACACCTATGAACGGGTACAAGCCAGCTAGACTGGTTCCCTGACCTTACAATTCCCCAATATATGTAAACTGCTCTGTTTCTTCTTAAATGAAGTCAGGGGACCAGACTACAGGAAAATAATTGTTTTTCTTGGTTTTTATAGCATTTTCGAACCCAAAACCTCAAAAAAGTCAGTGTAACTATATTTGCTATATATTTCCAACCCCCCAATTCCATCCATTTCTGAAAATTACAGCAAAAGCAAATGATGTATATTCCCTTTAAGGGCCCTCAAAACTGGTTGTCTAATACACTTGTGTGTAGTCTTGGCTCCAAGACATCCTTCGCGGTGTGGTGTTTCATCATGGGTTAGTGGACTGCGCACAGCAATTCTAGGAAGTGGGCCCCTTTTACGTATACACGCCAACAAGCTGAGACGGACATCTTGGGAAACTCGTATTTCTGCTCGCAGAATTGTGTGCGCATTTGCATTCAGGCTTGACGTACTCGTAAAATTGCTGCGCATTTCTGGTCAGGTTTCTGTACATATTGTACAGAATTTTTCCGAGCCACGCGTGACCAGCTTGCAAGCCTAGCCTGTAAGCGTCGATAAGTCAAAAATGTCAGACTGCATGGACGAAGCCATCAATTTTTCTGCAGCAAAGAAACTTTTTGAGGAAGCTGTGAAAACACATCTTCATTTTCCTTGATGCAAAGCAAGGTTTTGATTGAAAGCCCACCTTTTCATAATGCATGTTATGACTTGCACCTTCTTGTAGTATGATCTCCAATTTGTCACTCAGGAAATAATTCTCATTCGTGGATTTGTGACCAAATGAAAACTAAACAACATTCAGTCAAATTGGGGAAATATTCGAAAATTTTTATGTGATTGTAATTTCCTTTTCCTCAGAAACGACACCATGTTTCAAGGATGCTTGATTCTAATATTTACTATTATTAACATTTTGGCGGTGTCAATTTTGAATGTTTGCAAAAGGTACAATTAACTTTCGAGTTTTAAATAAACACTATTCTCGTTTTGGTTCAGAAAATCTAAGAAGCATACCTCTGGTTGCTGTTTTTTCTGGATGAAGTGGACGAGGCGGTAGCGCGGGAGGAAACACTCTCGTCCCCAGAATCGTCACTCTGCAAAACACACAACAAAACCCAATTATTCTCTATTTATAAATACCTAAGCCAGTTTTCCCATTCCTATTGGTCAAGAGCCCGTCACGCGGCCGGCCTTAAATGGATGATAAAGACATGGCTGGCTGGTCTTAAACACTTTTCCAGTGTCACATGAAATTTGGACTCCTATGAAATCCAGTGCCTTTTACCGTTTTATTGGTTGAACGTTCACAATTCTCACGTAGGCATGCGCAATATTACCAGTGAGTATTTCATAATCCTAAAAAAAACGCACAGTACGCATGACGTGAACGCCAATCTCCACAGAAGGAGTTGTTTACATATGTATGTCTTACTCATGAGCTGGACAATCCATTATATAGCTGAAGAGGTGTGTTCAAAAACAGAAGGTGAAGTTGTTGAACAAAATAGTTTAATTTTTGACTTGTTTTGACTTTTGGACCAAAAAGTTTGATTTTTTTCACCGAAAAGGTATTGATGAATGGGAATAAATATGTGCCTTGTCGGTATTAAACACTCTGTTTAAGACAGGTTAGAGTCTGGATGCTGATAATTACCCTTAACTTCGGCTCGGGTAATTATCAGCATTCCAGACTCCAACCAGTCTTAAACCCTAACTCCCTAGGCCTTTTTGCTAGGATGTAGCCTCAATCCTGCAAAATCCTCCAATTGGCCTCATGGAAAAATAGCATATAGCCTAAATCCTGCAAATTCCTCCGTTGTTTCTTGAATATGGTCCATGGAGGGGTGACCACTGCCTGAATCCTGCAAAATCCTCCGGCTATGTCTGTCAATAGGCTGCAGCAGAGGCAGTGACATCCTGGAGCAGTGCGGAGGATGTCAAGTATAATCAAGGACTAAATGTAGGCACGGCTGAGCATAAACAACACAAGGTCCGGCCCAAGACCTTGACACAGTGCGTACTCCGAAATCAGCAATGCACTTTGGCCATGTAACCTCAATCCTGCAAATTCCTCCAATTTGCAAAAAGGATTTTGGAGGATTCAGGGCGGTTAGGGTTAAACATAGTGTTTAACACCTCCCAATTACACATTTATACATGTAGATACCTTTTTACCCATTCCTATTGGTCCACAGCCCATCACATGGGTGGTTTTAAATGATTGATAAAGCACCGACTGGTTTTAAACACTTTTTCCCAGCACTGCTGCGCGATGAGCACAGCACTTGCCACGTGCACACCAATCTCCATATAAGGAGATTGTTTGCACTACGTGCATGAGGCACATACCATAAACATGGCCAGAGGGGTGTTTCACAAAACATGAAGTAAACGTATTGAACGAAATTGTTGGAAATTTATCATTTTTGACTTGTTTTGACTTTCTAAAAGAAAAATATTTGTGAATGAGAATAAATATCTGCATGGCCGGTATTAACCAGTTCACATCGGATGACGTGTATACACGCAAAGGTCGGCGGTATTCAGAACTGATGACGGATAAACACACGCAACGAGCGAAGCTGAAAAATATCTGTCTGCAACCCGCTCGCAGCGAGCGAGGCCAGAAATATCAGGGTGTGCTAACCGCAGAAGACGGCCTAAACCCGTCTGGCATTGAGGTTCATGAGAAACAATCCCGCACATGGGTCCGGTCAATGTCAAAATAATCCCGGCGCAAACTGGTTACACAAGTACGTTTAAAACTGGTTAGGGGCCTGGGGCCAAGCCAATAGCGAGGGTTATTATCGGCGTAGAGCCCAGTGTTCTGTAAGAAAAAAATAAAACTGTGTACAAAGCCAATGGAATCTGAGATGCAAGAAGACAAATTAAAAAAAAAATTCTTGGAGTCACTCGAAGAGACAATAATGGAAATATTGTTGGATTGCATAGACTGGTACTTACATCTCCAAATGTGCGGGAATTTCTGGAGGCTGGTTTACTTGCTGAAAAAAAAATGGAATATTTAAAACAAAATACAGATAACTCCATGTAAATAATGCTTTCATCTTTCAAATTTTGTTGGCTAAGGAATAAATCAAAATCCGTTAGGAGTATTGTTCTTTATATAGATATGTTTTTTTAATTTTTATTTATATGTATTTGTACCTTATTTCAAAATTTTCTTGTGTTTTATGTTGTCCTTTAATCTATTATAGTCAACATTTAGCATTTTATCTGATCCTGTGATTGGTGGTTTTCAGCCGTTGGCTGGTAAATTACATTATAAACACTAAATTACTACAATTTTTAATTGAAAAGTACTACAATTTTTAATTGAAAATCTAGTTTCAAAAGGCTCCTATTTTAACCAGAATTAATTTCCTGGGCTGAAATTTGGACTTAATATCCCTTACATAAATACTTCAATTTTTGCGACACACCTTGGAAATTCCCAGCTTTTGAGTAAAATCCACATCTATTTCGTGATAACCTTGTGGAGACGTATTCACCTATAAAAATTGCCTTGTGGAGACATATACAATCTTTTGTTCCCTATTGTACACATGTCTCCACAGGGTACCGTGTACCAGATCACGTTACAAGTATTTGCATTTGTTTGAACTGACAGAGTTCCTTTGTGGACCAACCTTGGACGAAACTACTCGTCAACACGCTCTGCTTTGACCGGTTCCCTGCAGCCTGGCTCCCGGCCCTGCCTCCCCTAGCACGGCTGCCTCGTGCCGTTGACCCCTGACCTCGCCCCCTGCCTCGCCCTCTGCCCCTTCCCCTGCCCCGTCCTGAAGGTGCTGTGGAGTGGTCGCTATCATCCGAGTCTATAGTGGATATGTCTCGGTCGTCGTCACTGTAGTCTCCTCCTCGCTGGAGTCGCTTCTCCTTGGCTTTCTCCATCGCCTGAAAAAAACCCCCAAAAATAGACTTATTTTTGTTGACAAATACAGGGCTATTTCGGCAACTTTTTTTGTGACATGTGACATGTAAAGTATCAAGTATAAGTTCCATCCAGGAAGGATGTGTAGTTCTGTTTATAATAAATGGTGGCATATAAATATGTGATAACATTGTCATAGGGCTTTGACTTGTGATGTCACATGTCACATGATGAGTCGTGATGACTGAAAAAGAAAAATAAAGAAAAAACAAAAACAAATCTTAACGAAAACAATGGCTGTTTTGGCATGTTTGCCAAAACAGCCAAAGAGGGACAACTTATAAACGTTTCACTTCTGGGTACCAAGTAAAGGCCATTTTTTGGGCAAATACATGTAAGAGTGGTATAACAATGCCATTGTCTGGTTACAGTTGAAATATTACATTAATCAACCCTAACCCAGCCAGACGCAACACAATGCATCAGGTGGAAACGTCTGTAGACTTTGATGCATTCAGCTACAAACACTAGTGCATAAACGGCCGCTTCTGAGACAATGAGAGCTAGTCCCATAGGACAATGCCATAGTTGTATCCTGCTGCGTTCTGGGACCACAGACTCTGAGGCAGTTTGGCCTTGAGACTTTTGGCCTGATGGATCTTGCTGCACTGGGCAGGCTTGTCAAGTTAGACAAATGTTGCTGCGTTTGGCAGGGTTTCTAGCCAAAATAACCTGGAGGGTTAGGGTGAACGTGATTTATAGAAATTTCACTTCAGTCCAATAAAAAATGGAAGACACTATAAACTCACCGCTTTGACTTCCTTGGATTGGTCGGCCTCAGACATCTTCTTCCTTTGCTCCTTGAAATGTTTCAACTGCAAACAGCAATATGAAGAGTGTCGAAACGTTAAAAATTATCATTTTGGCAAGATTTATGTTTACTTGCATGTCTGTTTATTGATATTAATATTTCATTTGCCGTGTTTGATTGGAAGTGTGGTTGGGCTTAAGCACACTTGGGATGAGGCATTTCGCTGCCAGCCCAAACTTTCGTTGAAAACCGAAAAATGTGCAACCTTCCACCCAGGCATTCCTTTGTCATTGTTCGTTCCCATTTAGGCAGACGTGTTATTTGGCACGTGATTTGGCTCGTGCATTTGCAACCTCGCAACCCTCCTCCTCCCCCCCAACCCCAACCAGCCCTTCTTTTAGATCCCCCGCTGTGGGGTCCTAGGGCATGACTTCACCTCCCCAAGGATGAGGCATCCCCTCCCCTTCCATCTTCTTTTTTTTTGAGAACCACACATTTGCAATCGCCTCCCTACTTTGGATCCAAAATTATACACCTGTCATGCCTGTTTGCACACAGGTGGTAACCATGGCACTACAGGGTTACATGTACCATAGAAATCGTAAACTGAACTCCCATAACTTTTCCAGGGCAAAGGTTCTTAAGACTGTCTCTATCTGCCCTCACAGCCATCCGATCCTCCCACATGTTGCTGTTCAACTTACATGTCACCAAACACTTTTTTTGGCATTTCATGGTACTTCAATACTCTGAACACTGTTACAACTACAGAAACTGCATATGTAACCTGCAATGGCATAATGAGGAATAACCCCCATCCTTGACTTTTTGAGTTTTATATACCATGTAAAAGAACAACTCTCTAGCTTTGAAATGATACCAAATATATTTCTGTAGCTCATTTACTTCCAAAGATATGCCGTGGGAAAGTCGGTAGTGCGTTGCCGAACTTCCGCGACCTCATTTTGAGAAAAATAGCTTTGAAAAGTTGTGTATTGCCCGTTGTGCATTGCAAGTTTTATGTGCAATGTGTACGTACATACATGTAAACAGTTGCTGAGCATGCAGGCTGTTGAAATGCACTCACAGATTGGATCGGTGCTGCAACACCTCACGTATCTAAGAAGCAACACTTACAGTGCATGCTCTATTGCCTATTCATAAAATGTGGTCCGATCAGATGGTGTAATTCTCATTACGTAGTGAAGCCCCGCGAACTAGACACCGTCACATAGGTAACTTCAGACACTGATTACTTTGGGGGACATTCCTCATTTAGCCTCAGCAGGTCATATATGTATTACACATCGTCACGTATGGGTTGGTGCAGGACTCTGTGACTTTTCCCCTGATATTTTCTATCATGACATCTTTTAAAAATAACAAAATTCCATGATTTCCCCTATCTTCCCAAGACAGCTTTAAATTCCAGGTTTTTCCCCATGTCTGGGGCACCCTGAATCAACAGGGTTTACAAATTACACGTGCACATCAAATTGAAAAGTGCGTTGACATGCGTGTGAACGTTACGCCATCTTACTAATGGCAATCGCAGTACTAGTCTATTGTGGGCGGAGCTTGACCTCCTACCTCCTCAAGGATGAAAGTGTCCGAAGTCTTTCTGTTCTTCAGATGTCCCTGGGTCCCTTCCAGTTGAAACTTGACCAGTTCAGCGATGGCGTCTCTCTCCTCCTTGTCCACATACTCCTGGATGGCTTGGCCCAGACCCTTCTCCGACAGGAGGTTCAGCTGCTTGTGCTTCACACAAAAAAAGGAAACAAACAGAAGAAATTGTATTTCAAGAAGACGACAGTTGTTAATTTCTCAAGCATGATAGTTTGTTTCCTGTCCCATTATTATATCAGGTATAAATATAAAAGATACTTTTTTGGGACTTGAGTGAATTTTTTTTCAAAAAGGTTGAACAAAGAAATTGACTGAAACGGGGATGGAACCTGCGACCTCATGATTATAATTCCGGTGCTCTACCAACTGAGCTATCCAGCCCTATGTTGGCGGTTCCCATTTAGTCAGTGTCTTTGTTAAAGGGGTGCTAGTCAGAAGCCATAAACCTGTAAACGCCATGTAGCCAGGGACCCAGAGTTGTAATGTCTCAAGTCACAATTTTTGGTGATTCTACTCGACTCAAGTCCCTAAAGGCAAATGACTCGACTCGACTTGAGTCACTGCGAGCAAATGACTCGACTCGACTTGAGTCCCTCATCAGAATGACTAGACTTGAATCAAGGAAGGCTATTTGTTACTTGAATTGATTTGAGCTAAATACAACTCGACTCGACTACACACTGTGACTCGACTCGACCTTCTTGACCTACTGACTGGACTCGACTCGAGTCACTTGTTTAAAATGACTCGACTCGATTCGAGTCACAAAAATCAGTGACTCGTTACAAGTCTCCAGGGACCATGCCCCAAGTCACGCTGCTAGCAACATAAGCAATGCTGCAAACCCGGGAAATAGCAAACAGTGAACACTCTGCATTTTGGTAAATAGTTAGGGATCCGAGTATTTGAAGAACACTAATCACGAAATTACTTGAATATTGCCACGCACAAAGTCCATTTCATGGGCTCTCATAACTGAGATTTTTTTTTACCTCATCAGCATCGGAGAAGTACTGCTTGACCAGGTCCTCCACCCGCCCAGCGTCAAGAGCATCAGGCCTCAGGTAGTTGGCCATGTCTTGACTCGGTTTCACATCTGCACCATCCAATTAAAAGAAAGTTTAGGAAGAATAAGGCAATATCCAAATTTCTTTGCTACGGCTACAGCCACTTCCCATAGATACGTGTGTTACTGGAAGCCTTAGGCCAAAAAAGAAGTCTCCGGTTTCTGGTATGGAGCTTGCCCCAAAAGTGGTGCGGCGAAGCATGTTTTTTTTTTTTTACCCAACTTTTTTTCTCTTCAAATGTTGGCTGATGTTGCAGATGACGCTTCGACGATCCCCTTAAAACTCTCAAAATATCCTTCACAGTGCAGCTTGAGGTGACTTCTTTAAGGCCGTAAGGCATGAGAAGTATACTGACCTAATTAAAAAGCATTTACAGGTTCCAGATACACAACCATCGCTCCGTCAGTCTGGCTTCCAGATACACAATAACAAAATTACAACACCGTCTGCAAATGGTGCCCAACTAAATTTAGTGCAAAATATATGGGAGCCAACATAGGCCACATAAAACTTACACTCGATCGTAGCCCCATCTAAAAACATGTTAAAATTGTGCAACAGCAGGATTCCAGTAAAACCAGTGAGTTTGGCGGTTTTGAGACATCATCTTACATTGAAAAAAAAAACTTTTTCATTTTGCCGACGCACATGGCTACAGCGACACGCGCGCATACCAGAAACCGCAGACTTTTTCTTTTGGCCTTCGCCAAGTATTTCTCATGCTGCCCAAGTCAGTCATGAATTAGTGCAAAACTTTGGGCCTCTCAACGGGCTCCGTGCACAAGTTCCCCTTCAACAGCCGAAAAGAGAGTTGGGGGAGACCTAGACTGGTTCCCGGTCCATCCACTGCGTATTTCGAATGATCCAAAGCTATTGTTGGCGGGGATTAGTCTGGGAGACCATTGCAAGTTCAATTTGAACGCATTCGCGTGCTGACAACGCTATGGCTTAGCATTGTGCACATTCAGGATAAATAAGTCCAGTATGCACACGTGGTGTCCCGTCCAAGGGGCTCGCAAAAGTGGTAAAAACGCGCCCTCTTTTGTTGGTGCACAGAGCCCCTACTGCTTATGAGAGTCCCGAATGTTACGGTATTGAAAACATGCAATGCAAGAAAATGGACTGGCACGGCGCAGTGGTTACTTTTCTCGCCTTCCAACGCTGTGACTCGAGTAAACATCCCATCTTGGCCAACACTTGGATTGGTTTTCAGTCCCTGCCTGATTTTTTGTGGGTTTTCCTCCCACCTCTAAAACTGTAACTTCTTCTCATTGTCTCCTCTATACATGTTTCTTCAGGCTTGTGAGCTACAAAGCCTAGGACACTTAAAGTTCTATCTACGGATCACAAAAAGGTAAGTGTTCTTTCAGCAAAACGAAAACAAATCACACTCGCCCTGTACAATGTATGCAGTTAAAGGACATCAGGAAAAAAAATGGCCAATCACAGTGAAAATTACGAGTCACATGACCTGCGCCAACCAATCAAATCACGCCAACTCACCCCTCTTCTCTGGCTGCAGCTTCCGCCTGTGGAAGAGGATGATGTCCTTGGTGTTGGCCACCCTGTTGACAAACTTCTGGCCGAAACGGTTCACGTTGAACGTCTCAAACCCACCGCTGTAGTCAACCTAGCAGGGAGAAGTTGACAGAGAAATACGCAAATCTAAAAAACTTGCACATTTTAGCCAGTTTGGTGTTCCTACTTGATGAACACACAGTCGTGAAGTTCTATCCGCTCCGTTCACAAGTACCCCCTCACCGGCAAAGCAAGTAAAGTTGGGGGTGACCGACCGACGCCATCTTGCCCGACTGCCATTCATTGCCGCGAAACGCGGCCACTGCGTGTGCATAGTTCAAATCCCCTGGTGTACGTGTGTCACACACAAGGAACGGTGCGCGTCAACCAGCGAAATGTCCCGCCCATGGGACGCCGTGGCTAGATAAAAGGGCGCCCTCTTTCGTTGGCGCACGGAGCCCATAAGCCCAAGGACAATGCTTTGTGTTACACTATGTCCCTGTAATATAACACTCTCCCATAGACTAACCACATAACCGAACGACTGAGGACCATTTGCAACAAAAGACCCAATGCTCGAAGACTGAAAGAATCTTTTGTTCTCCCTTTGTGTGTCGGTCCTTGTTATATCGTTAAGCCGCACATGGACACTAATGAAACCAATCTGTAATGGATCATTCTTTACACTTTGGAGCCACTTTGGAGCCAACCGGAGACTTTATTTTGGGAGGGGGCCTAACTTACCCTTAACCTAATGAGTGGCAATAGGGGTTGTTTTGGATTCCCTGTGTGTTCATCCTCGGCAAGAGATATCAGTCCTTCTACCTGAAAAAAAGGAAAGAAAATCGCTAAGACAAGGCCAAATTGACTGATGGACTTGTGGACTTGTGATTGGACGTGTGAATTGACCGTTGATGGTGTTGTGAAATGACTTGTGACATGACTTGTGATATGACTTGTGTTTGGACTTGGGCTTGGACTTGTGATATGACTTGTGATATGACTTGTGACATGACTTGTGATATGACTTGTGTTTGGACTTGGGCTTGGACTTGTGATATGACTTGTGATATGACTTGTGATATGGCTTGTGATATGACTTGTGCTTGGACTTGGGCTTGGACTTGTGATATGACTTGTGATATGGCTTGTGATATGACTTGTGCTTGGACTTGGGCTTGGACTTGTGATATGACTTGTGATATGGCTTGTGATATGACTTGTGCTTGGACTTGGGCTTGGACGTGTGATATGACTTGTGATATGACTTCTGATATGACTTGGGCTTGGACTTGTGATATAACTTGTGATATGACTCGTGATACGACTTGTGATATGACTTGTGCTTGGACTTGTGCTTGGACTTGTGATATGACTTGTGATATGGCTTGTGATATGACTTGTGATATGGCTTGTGATATGACTTGTGCTTGGACTTGGGCTTGGACTTGTGATATGACTTGTGATATGACTTGTGATATGACTTGTGATATGACTTGTGATATGGCTTGTGATATGACTTGTGATATGGCTTGTGATATGACTTGTGATATGACTTGTGATATGACTTGTGCTTGGACTTGGGCTTGGACTTGTGATATGACTTGTGATATGACTTGTGATATGACTTGTGATATGACTTGTGATATGACTTGTGATCGACTTGTGATCGACTTGTGATTGACTTGCAATATGACTTGTGATATGACTTGTGATTGACTTGTGATATGACTTGTGATATGACTTGTGACTGACTTGTGATATGACTTTTGATATGACTTTTGATATGACTTGTGATGTAACTTGTGATTGACTTGTGATGGGCTAAACTACAACTCTGGTTAAAGGGAATGTACAACATTTGCTTTTGCTGCAATTTTCAGAAAAAAATGGATTTGGAGCATAAGTATGTTATAGCAAATATTGTTAAAATGACTTGTTTCACGTTTTGGGCTTGAAGATGCTGGAAAAATCAAGAAAACCAATCATGTTCTTGTAGTCTGGTTCCCTGAACCCACTTAAGATGAAACGGAGCAATTTATAGACTTTGGGGAATTGTAAGGTCAGAGAATCAGTCTAGCAGGCTTGTACCCCTTCACAGGTGTGTAATCAATTGCAAAGAAAACGTGGAATGACAAATTATAAAAAATTAGGAGCAGTTTTTGAAAAAAAGCCAGTTTTCTCCAACACTGGTCGGCCGACCAGCGTTGGAAAAATACCATTTTTCTTGAAAATGTCAGCACACCAGGAGCCACGATTTTACAGGGTGCTTTAGAATGTCATTCCCTAACAATCCAGTGAGGTATTTCGTGATAATTTGATCATTTCGTTTTGTGACGTTTGCAAATGTTGTATCTTTCCTTTAAAGTAAATGTTCATGTATCGGGGTAAATTGGGAGACCTTAGATGTTATTCTGAGCATCGGTTGTTGAAATTTGTATCCGGCAAACGACACGGTTCACTGAAAATACACACAAACTACATCATCCTATGGTACACAGTGCATTACTGTGGCACGATTCTATTTGCACATGTATGTACATCAAAATATGACAAAATATATATTTCATAAAACACTTTTAACTTTTGGACACATTGTCTTTTTGGATGAATTTTTTTGGTTGGGATGTAAATTTTTATTTCAGGCTTTGGTCATCAAGTTTTATAACAATGAAGGTTTGCGGAAACACCATGTGCGAATAATTTCTCAACTAAGAGAATGGTTCTGAAAAGAACCAGAGGTATAAACTCGACGTTCCGGTCAGTATGCTCCGACCGTCTTCAGGAAACCATACTGACCGGAACGTCGAGTTTATACCTCTGGTTCTTTTCAGAACCATTCTCTTAGTTGAGAAATTACTCACACATGGTGTTTTCGCAAACCTTCATTATTTAGTATCTCCACCATGCAAAGCCTCAAATCTTACTTAAGTTTTATAACACTGTATACTCAGTTCTGTACCTAAATGCCTTTTAAAGTCACTAAGTGCAGTATGCTATTTCAGATTTGCACCACATTTCAGACTTTTTTTTGGGGGGGGGGGTTTTGACAATTTTTGTTTACCCTCTCCGAGCAGTAGGCTTCCACCTTGTCCTTGATGCCAGCGTGGCCTGGGTTGAGATCGGTGTCCTGTAAGCAAATGTCCCTCATGTAGAAGGGCCGGACCGTCTCCAGCCGGATCTTGGTGCACTTGAGAGCCTTGCCCCTCACTTTCAGCAGGCAGATGTGTCTGCAGGAAGGGACACAAAAAATAGGTCACCAACTTGTTTGGTTATGTTAACTATTGAAAAAAATTCAGCCGGGTATTAACAAGCACATGAAAATAGCAACTGTTCAACATACATGTACATGTATATTAAAAAAGCATTACAACTATGAATGAAGCATTGTGCAAACAATTCGGGTGATTCACAATGTGGTGCACCACCAAGAGTTTGCCATGGAGAGTCCATTTTTCAAGTGTACGGTCGACAAAACGCGGACCATTTGATCAAGTGTCAGTAGACAACTTGAGCTAATTTGTTATAGATTGGGGCATAGCGTTCTGCTGCCTTTAATACAAAAAAAACACTATATTGATAAGAAGAAAAGAAAAGGGCAAACATTTACTTGAATCACACGCTTACGAAACTACTGACCGGAAAAACTAACAATTTCAAATGTCCCGCGCTGCGAATTTGTTGACCATCTCCCACAATGCACTGGGAAAATTAACTCTCCGTGGCTAACTCTCCGTGGCAAACCCTCGGTGGCGCACTGCATTGTGAATCGCCCGAATTAAGACACGTCCTTTGTGTTTAAGACTTTCAATGTGTGTGAGATTCCATGTGGAGTATTAGAAGCCAAGTCTGAGGATTAGCGGAGTCGATGCCTGTGTGCATCAGGGACAGCATCGTTATGTAAGTGTATTAAATCAGCAAGGTAAGAGGGAGCTTGAGCATTAAAGCCAGAGTCCATCATTTGCAGCTATCCAAAAAGTGACTGACGTAATTATTGTTGAAAAGCATACTTGGTTGAAAGATTGGTTCTTGATTGGTTCTTCTCCTAAATACTCCACGTGAGAGTTTATACAGGAGGCCAGAAACACCGGGGCAAACCCCTTCTCTTAGCGATAAGTGTTTACTGGGTTCTTTTACGTGCATTTATACAACACACGGGACCTACGGCTTAACGTCCCATCGGAAGGACGAAGCAATAATGGTTAAGTGCCTTGCTTAAGAGCACAAGTGTCCGCCGGTGGGCTCGAACCCACGTCGCTGTTGCCTCTGAAACACCAGAATGTGAGTCCGGTGTTCTTAACCGCTAGGCCATGACACCCCACATAGTAAGATAGTAAGAAGACTAAACTCCCTATGAAATTATTCTTTCTGGCAAGCTGTCATTTTGAAGAAATCAACGAAAGAAGGCCTTTCCAACGGTGCGTCTTAAGAAGCACCGTTGGGAATTTCCGTTAGTAGTTTTTTTATTCGACGAAGCGCGCGCAAGCATTGACACCACGCACATGTGCGCGCGGTTGCTAGTAATTTGTCAGATCAGTGCGCGACATGGCGTGGCAATCGGCTCAGTGAGAACGTGTCTCCGACGCTGAATTCAGGCCCAATTCAAAATATGATTCAGCAACTTTTGATTTGAAATCGAGATCCTAGAATGTTGTTTTTCTCGAAATGAACAGCTGAAGCTGAGCTGAAACTTCATCAGGTTAGTTGTTCAGGACCCTTCTTTAGATTTTGAGCACTTTTGTTGCCTCAGACGAACAAAATGCACAAATAACAAATGATGGACTATACCTTTAAGAATTTTGTAAATGAGTGTGAACATTTTGAAATGAATTTTTTCTTTAACAGGAAGCCAATGCAGCTCTGCCAGCACGCCACCAGAAGGCTGGTCAGGTCCACAGGACAAGACTAGCCGCGCTGCCCTATTCTGCAGTCGTTGTCGGCGCTTCAGGTCAAGTTTACGCGCTCCAAACAAAATGAATTGACGGAGTCAAGGCGGGAGAGGACCAGACTTCTGACAGCATGATGGCAGGCTTCTTGTGTGAGAAGCCTGCGTTGCGAATGTTATTATTGGACATATTCATTAGTACTTGGAATGGTCTACTTTTTTCGCATCCTCCCTTACTTTTGGACGGATTCCCCCTGGCACAGCGACGTGGCGATGCTGCTGCCGGGCTGGCTGACAAAGAAGTGTTGCCTGTCGTTCCAGGCGGGGTCAATCTTGCACTCGTGCTCGTGACCCCAGAGGACCAGGTCTAAGAAATCCGGCAGGAATTGCTCGGGGATGTAGTTGGTCTCTCCGTGCTTGGTCCTGAAGCGACATATGTGCACAAGCAAATCATTACAAAGATTGTCCCTCGTTTGGAACTCACAATCAACTTTCTGTCATACTTTGTCCTGCAATTAATCACCGATCCCTCTGACAGAATTATGCTCAAGACGATCAAGAGTCAATTGCAAGACAAACCACAAGTCAAATCACAAGTCAAATCACAAGTCAAATCACAAGTCAATCACAAGTCAAATCACAAGTCAATCACAAGTCAAATCACAAGTCAAATCACAAGTCAAATCACAAGTCAATCACAAGTCAAATCACAAGTCAAATCACAAGTCAATCACAAGTCAAATCACAAGTCAAATCACAAATCAAATCACAAGTCAAATAAAAAGTATATCATGACTCGAATCACAAGCTAAACCCTAACCTTCCCAAATCCATCAAAATCTATTCCCTCCCATTTTGGTAGGCCACGAGTACCAAGTCCATCAAAATGCATCTATAGCAGTGGTAGATTTGTGATGGATTTCGGCGGATCTGGTCCTGAAGCATTAAATAATGGATTTTGGCGGACTTGGTACTGTTCTTAGTAAAACTCAGTAGGGAGTTAGGGTTACTGCACCAAGTCCATACTCTGTCCTCCCGGTCTTATGGTCCAAGAGAAGTGGAAGGCGGAGGGGGGGGGGGGGGGGCGGCTGTTCATCACCTGTTTTGATGCAAGACTAGCAGGTGGAACCACGGATTGTCCTCATCCTTGGGCTGGTAGAACCGGATCTTCCTGCTGACAAAGATGCGATGCATGCGCTCGTCTCGGATGGAGCCTGCAACACGAACAAGAAAGTCAATTTATCATGATGGCGAATGATATTAACCCTTTCAGTCACTCTGGCACTGGAAACTGCCTTGCCTGATACTCACGGTAGCGTCAAAAATCTGCATCTTACTTGTACCTACTGGTACATGTATACAGATTCATGCAATGGTACTCTTTTGGGGATGGGGGATGGCCTTCAGCTAGGTCCATTAACAGCGGCCATCCCCCAACCCAGTCATCATCACGAAGTGAAGATACCACTCAATCCCATTGACACCCACCTATTCCATACACTGAAAGCCTTGTTGTACCCATAACCCACCATATCCCAATGACACGTCTTTTCCATACAGTGATAGCCTTGTTGTACCCATAACCCACCATATCCCAATTACACGTCTATTCCATACAGTGATAGCCTTGTTGTACCCATAACCCACCATATCCCAATTACACGTCTATTCCATACAGTGATAGCCTTGTTGTACCCATAGCCCACTACATCCCAATGACATCCACCTATTCCATACAGTGATAGCCTTGTTGAGTACACTTCTTGTACCCATAACCCACCATATCCCACTGACACCCACCTATTCCATACAGTGATAGCCTTGTTGAGCCCTTCTGAATCAAGAGTGGCGTCACATCGATGCTTTCCAGTGAGTTGCACTTTCCGAAATAGTTGACCAGTCCCGACACGCTCAAGATGTCCAAGGCACAGAGATTGCCAAGCTAGCAGTAAGCAAAAAACACACAAACAGCAATTCTAACATTTAACTGCATCACCGCGAATCAAACTTCTGTCATATAAGAGTGGTAAAAACTACTGCAATGTTTGAATAGCTAATGACTTGATTTGAGACTAAAGAACTTAATGATACCGGAGTCTTATATAGCGCACGTATCTACAAACAACTAGGTACTCAAGGCGCTTGTTATTATGTCTATTTTTAAATACAGGTAGATGAAGTTTACGAGAAATATGAGACCCATAATGAAGCACCTTTATAAGGGTATACAAGGTGCTGCGGTGCATATTGCAGCCACTGCCAGAAACACCAAGGCGAACCCCTTCTCTTAGGGATAAGTGTGACTGGGTTCTTTAATGTGCATTACACAACACACAGGACCTATGCTTTACATCCCATCCGAAGGACGAAGCAATAATAGTAAAGTGCCTTGCTCGAGAACACAATCACCATGTTCCCCGTCAGGATTCAAACCCACGTACCACGACACACGAGTCGAACACCGTAGCCATTGGACCACAGCACCCCACTTGTGATTGACATGTAGGGACTTGTGGGGACTTGTGATTGGCATGACAACACTGCCTGGCACACTCTGTGGTGCCAGAGGTACAACTCTAAGCAGGACGTTGTGGGTTCAAGTCCTGCATGAGCAGTTTGTGATTTTGTTTTCTCGCTAGCTCTCAGAAAGCACTGAGTATATAGTGCTTTTACAGGGTGAGTAAAAAAAGCAAAACCCAAAAGTCAGACTATTGTTTAAGTGAAGGTCTGCATGTAACACTTTCAAAACGTAGGATATGAAAGCTCAATTCATAAGCTTTCTTTTAGTACAAGAATCATTCAAATCACTCATGTACTTTTCAAGTTATGGAATTTTGAACACAACCACCGTTTTAAAGTTCTGTCTACGGATCACAAAAAAGGTGTGAGTTCCTTCAGCAAAACTAAACCAATTCACACACATCCCTATGTGATTCGTTTTCGTTTTGCTGAAAGAACACTTACCTTCTTTTGATTCGCGGATAGAACTTTAAAATGGTGGTTGTGTTTAAAATTCCGTAACTTGAAAAGTACATGAGTGATTTGAATGATTCTTGTACTAAACGAAAACTTATGAATTGGGCTTTCATATCCTAGATTTTGAAAGTGCTACATGCAGAACTTCACTAAAACAAATAGTCCCGACATTTGGGTTTCGCCTTTTTTTGACTCACCCTGTATTTACTACAACATGAAGATGCTTCAAAAAAATATCAGTTGAATTCTCAATGTTCAGACCCAATTATAGCATTTTTCCTACATGTATAGAGTACCGAAGTGAATACATCACACGCACAAAATGTGTGTAAAAGTCATTAGCGCGTGATTCAGCCCATGAACCAACAGGCGCGCATACTCCATTCGTTTGCACTACACTTTCTGGTTCAAAATGACGCCACACTTCGGTACTCTATTGAGGTGTAGAATTTTTTTCTGAATTGACAGTCACAACATGAGGGGTTATTTTCACAATTGACACATTTAATACATTTTTCGAAAACTGTATACATTGAATGTCCCTATGTGTTTGGGCAAGGGAGACTTTTATAAAACACTATATTATTTACCCCTGCTGGATCGTCATGGTTACCATGGATGGAGAAAACCGGTATTTCAACGTTGATGTTTGGGTCCTCGTAGTTGACAACGGGAAACCTGCCAACGGAGAAATGAAATTATCAGGCCACTGGTATTTCCTGCGTTTCAATTGTTTGTCAAATGCCACACTTTTGTTGAAAGCCATTATCGCGCATGACTTGGGAGCTTCCATGAGGAAAATTTGTCACATATCAGCCACTGCAACATGTTCTATATATTGATTTAACCCTAAGTGCCCTGAATCATTCAAAATCCGCTTTGCCAAAGTGGATGAATTGGGAGGATTGAGGTTACATGGCAAAAGTGCGTTACTGATTTCATAGGATGCACTTTGTCAAGGTCATGGGCTGGACCTTATGTTGTTTATGCTCAGCCATGCATAAATATAGGCCTGGATTATGCTTAAAATCCTCCGTACTGCTCCAGGATGTCACTGGCTAAGCCTCAACCTATTGACAGTCATAGCCGGAGGATTTTACAGGATTCAGGCTGTGGTCATACCTCTCCACGGACCATATTCCAGAAATAATGGAGGAATTTGCAGGATTGAGGCTATATATGCTACTTTTCCATGAGGCCAATTGGAGGATTTTGCAGGATTGAGGCTACATCCCAGCTAAAGGTCTAGGGAGTAGGGTTAATAAGCTCTTTGTCTATTTTCCACAGGCGCAGGTGCATGTGGCAAGGCTTGCACTTGTTTAACTTGATCAGTGCAGTTTGCAATTAAATATTCGATCAAGTCCAAGTTTGAATAATTTAATATTAATTTAATAACAAGATGCACGGTCCCATTTACGGAATGGAAAAAGTCTTACGGGTTGGCAGCAAAATTCAAGCTCTGGTCACTCAGGAACTGAATCTGCACCGGTCGGTCCCCCATGCAGTATTTGCGGATCAGCGCCATCACACCATGAAGGGCCTTCCTGGAGGGTTTGTTCTCATGGAAGAGGTCGCCTCCCAGCAGGATCATGTCAACCTGTGTCAAAGGTCAAAGGTTAACAATTTAAACATGCTTAACCCTCCTGCTATGTAGAAGTCACAGACCGCCAAAATTTCCATCTACTTCCCCTGCTATACTTTTAACAAAGGATAGTCACCAACAGTCAGATCATATGTCAAGCAAGCACTGTGCCAAGTCAAGCTCAGCCAACAGACGAAACAGGCAAAGTGTGGTCATCACTCACCCGGAGTCAAAGCATAACCTTTTACGCCTTTCCGTCCAATACGTTTTGTACGCGTTCAAGGGGCACATACATGTATGTTCGTGTCTCTTCATTAAAACGCAAAATGCACTAATTGAGATGCCTGCCCCTTGCATCATTAATGTAATTGAGAAATTAATGACGTTTTGCTTACGGAAGCATGTCAAAATGGTTAAGTACGATGTTTTAAAGTGAAATAGTGAAAAAACTTGAAATCGAAAAAATTTACACATGTGTGGCTCTTTGTGAAAACGGTGACGATGTAAAACATCCAATGTTAACCCTAATGTCCTAGACCTTTTTTTTTTTTGGTAATAGTGCACCCCCAATCCTTTGAAAAACTCCAGCTGCCTCTATGTAACATTGGATACATCCTCAATCCTCCAAAATCTTAAATGTCCTCTTGTAAAATGCCCCAGCAATCACTGTTAAGATGCTGAGGCAGTGCTGATGATATCCAGAAGCAGTGCGGTTGATTTGAAATATTATATCGGCCTAAATTTAAGCACGGCTAAGCATAAACAACACAGGGTACAGCCTAAACCTTGTCACAATGCATCTCCTAAACCAAGTGCATTTTTGCTTAGCTTCAATCCTTCAAAATCCTCTCCCTGTGTAAAGAGGATTTTTGAAGGTTTTCAAAAAGTTTAAACAGTTTAGACAATTGTTCTGTTATTAATAAAGGAATTAGCTTTTTACTTATACTTTTCAAAATATACACGAACCAGTCCTTCTGATTTGAAAATCACAGGTGGGTGGAAAACGCACACATGGATTTTTCTAGGTGTGTGATTTTTCTAGGTGTGTGATTTTTCTAGGCATGTGATTTTCAAGGTGTGTGATTCTGTGGTCCAAGCGGGGACTGAACAATCTGGTATTGTTTTTCAAAATATTCATCTTGGTTTACAATAAAGCCATATTCTCTTCACCGACGTACTTTATTTTTCACAAATTATGAAGTATTTATTATGCCATAAATGTATGCCGAGGTGTGCGGTACTGGTGGATTCAGGCGTGCGATTATTCGCACTTCTCAGGAAGCATTTAAGCGTGTGATGGCGTGGGAGTGTGATCGCACGCCTCAAAACAGAAGGACTGACAAACCACCTACGTTAAAAAATTAAGATGTTGGTTGGGGTACCTTGTTCTTCTTGGCTTGCTGTAAGATCTCCTCAAACGTGTTCAGCGAGTCGCTGTGCCTGATCCCGTCTTTCTCTGCGTAACCCACATGACAATCCGTCGCTGTTTCCAAGATTGAAGGAAGAAAAACGTGGGGAAAGTATTAACAGCCAAAAAAACCTGAAGGAAGCACAAATTACAGAGCTGACATTGTCTCCATGTACTGGGTCCAATTTCACGGTGCTGACCAGTTAACAGAAAAGTTGTGCTGAGGCCAAAAAAAACAAATAGTTCTGCTTTCGGTTTCCCTACGTACCCTATTCTGACAACCCTAACTTTTTTATGGAAAAAATTAGAAAAAAAAACACCCAAAACCATCAATTTCTAAGTTTTACCATTGACTACACGCAGACGCCTCCATATGATTGTTCACACACACAAAAATTGGCCAAAAAAAAATTAAAATTCCCTACTACCTACCCTATTTTAGAATGCCATGTAATCGGAAGCAGAACTTTTTTTGGCCTAACCTTAAGCACTATTTCACGGCGAAGACGTGGTAACAGTCGCGCGTGCATGGAGATTTCTATTGTTACCTCACTAGGTTAAAAGCAAATTTTTCCTCCGAAGTAAGCATGCCTTTTGCTGTGCTTATGCTTACGGTCTCCATGACATAGACAGAGGCTCTGTAAGCAGAAAATCACGTGCTCAGCAACTCCATGAAATTGGGCTCAGATCCAGCAAATATGGCTGTGCATCGGGACCGGGGACCAGAATACCCAACTGTTAACGTCAGGAACCGTTTAATCCTTTTAACATTCATGAATCAAAGGTATTCTGAATATAAAAGGCAGAGTTAGAGCCTATTAAGCAACTTAAAAATAACGTACAAACTCACCGACCATAATCTTGAGTGTATTGTCATCATCTTCATCATCATCCCTAAAATGAGGGGGAAAAAATTTATCCATTAGTTTAAAAATCCAAATTTGTTATAGAGATCTCTTTGCATCAGACAGTGAATGCATGCGGCTCATTTCGCAGCGAGACCTTCCACTGACATACTTTACCTGTGCCGTATTGAAGAGGTGGTGGACTGATTGCTAGTCTATTTTCTTATTTTTGCCTGTACAGGGTTGTCCAAAAAACGTTGACACTTTTTTAGATGCACATTTTGCGAAATTGGGGAGACTTGTTGAAGCTGTTTTAAAATTTTCATGAATTGCAGTTTCTTGGCTGTATATGGTAAAAATGGCACTGAAAATAAGGCCTAAATTAAGAAATGGCGGCCATTTACAGAAAAATAGTCAAAAACCAGTTTGTCCACACACAAGTCTATGAAACATGGTCGAAACAATAGCACTGCGTGTGCAAAAAATTACAATTTAACGATGAACATATCTCATACAAGCGTGTGAACAAACTAGCGGGTGACCATTTTCCTGCAAATGGCCACCATTTCTTGACTCCCTAGGCCTTTTTGCTAGGATGTAGCCTCAATCCTGCAAAATCCTCCAATTCGCCTCATGGAAAAATGACATGCCTCTATCCTGCAAATTCCTCCATTATTTCTTGAATATGGTCCGTGGAGGGGTGACCACTGCCTGAATCCTGCAAAATCACGCTGCGATGAATCAGCCAGTTGAGTTCTTCTCTGGAATCCTGATGCCCCTCGTCATAAAGGTCGTCTCAACAACATGACCATGAATAAATCCATCGCGCTGGAAACTGGTCTGAGCGGTCCACCTCTTTCCAACACTATGCTTGACAGGGACAGTTGGGCCCAACTCATCAAGTCATCGTGAATGTGAATGAATGAAGGAGAAGTAGTGACTGTCAATATCTTGAGGCTTGGCCAGTGACATCCTGGAGCGGTACGGAGGATTTCAAGTATAATCCAGACCTATATTTATGGGCAATTCTTTGGTAACGGAATTACGGAATTTTGTCACTTTGTCAAGGATTATTCTTTCCCAAGAAAATATGTTCTATGCTAGGCAACTAATCTAAACATGGAAAGGGAGCCAAGACCCAATAGAATTGATTGACCACTAAAAAAAAAAAATCCCACAAGATTACCCTTTAAGGGGCGGAGCTTAATATCGGTAACGGAATTACGGACGGAGGACAAGCATATTTGAGTTCTTGCATAAATTAATAAAACTCTCTGAAGTTTTGAAATTTTAAAATTGGACACTACCTGTTATTTGTAGAGTTCAGGGGTGTTGTTAACTACAATGCAGAACAAAGTTGAAAAAATAATCACTCTTTTCATAATTTGCATTTTAATCACGGTAACGGAATTACGCCTGGGCGGTAACGGAATTACGCCATAGGTTTACATGTAATAGGTAAATGCAATACTTTTACATTGAATTCAACATAAACTCATCACAATACAAATTTTAGAAGTTTATAAAATGCCACAAGGGGAAAGCTAAGTGAAAATTAGCAGATCAAAATGTAAATGTAGGCCTAAACATGTCTGGGCTTCATTTTTTAGGTCAAAGGTCAAGGTCAAATGAAAGCAATATGTATATGTTTTTTTTTTTTACCGAAAATCTAATTTTACTATGAACAATTGTATTATCGTATTTCACTAGTTTATCGTGGAAAATACAATAAAACTGCACTGGTTGGCATCTCTGAGCAAGGGAGCCAAGTAGAAGTACAAGTACAGTCTGGTACTCAACTTATACTTGTTGTGGAATACATTTTCTGTGGGTACCAGACAACGGCTTTGGCAACACATATTTAAAGGGAATGTACATCATTGGCTTTTGCTGTGATTTTAAGTAATGAACTATTTGAGGGGTTAGTATAATAGATCAAATATTGTTACACTGACATGTTTGAAGTTTTGCTTTCAAAAATGCTGGAAAAACCAAGAAAAACAAAACTGTTCAAGTAGTCTGGTTCCCTGACTCCACTAAAGGTAAAATGGATCAATTTATAGATGCCAGAAAATTCGGAGGATAAGGGAACCAGACTAGCTGGCCTGCACCCGTTCATGAACATGTAACAAATAGCAAACAAAATTTGGACTGGAAAGAGTGTAAAGTTGGAGCAGTAGTTGAAAAATAGTTAGGTTTTTCCAACGGTGGTCGGCTGACCACCGTTGGAAATGAATACAAAAATATCATTTTCTTGAAAATTACTTCACACCAGGTGCCATAATTTTACAGGATGCTTTAGACTGTCATTTACCAACATCCTAGTAAGGTATTTTGTAAAAACTTGGTAGTTTTATTTTCTGATGTTTGAAAATGTTGTATATATTCCCTTTAAGCATCCAAACAACTATTAGCATTTTTTAAATAGTTAAAAAGAAAACGTAAAAGTAAAAAATATCAATCGAACACCTGATTATTTTTAATTATATAATAGCAAATTAAAGAGGGAAATGATTTAACAAGTAATTTAGTATTTAAAGTTATTGTCCAAGGTTACAAGCAAATCTCCTATTTAATAATATGTCATGTACATAATCTGGAGGAAATGTGCATACTTTGTGCATGCGTAATTCCGTTACCGTAATTCCGTTACCGTTTCGTAATTCCGTTACCACTTGGAAAAATGCCAAGAAATTACTATTTTAAAGATTTTATTTTTCATTTATGTTTATAGTAGGGTCTTTTCTCAACATACATGATTTGAAGAAAAAAAACAAGAAAATTTGTGAAATAAGTAACTTTTGCCATTTTTTCGGTAACGGAATTACGTGCTAATTTTGACATTTTTAAATGAAGGCCTACACTATATATACATATATATTTATATTTTTAGAATTTTTTTTAATGACCCTGAGTAATGTTAGTAACTTGTAACATCATAAAATAAATCAAATCTTTTCCCTATAATTCAGAAAGTAATACATACACTAAATTTTATTTTTTTACCAAATCTGAACGTTTTTAATCATAAATTGCAAAAATCACTGTTTTTACCAGAAATATGTATTGTTTTCAATTTCGTTTTTTGAACCGAATTCCACATTTAATTGAGGTCTGGAAAAAGTACAAAAAAGGTTTAATATGTAAATATTTATTTTTGACATTTTTTGCTCTCCCATGGAGAATTGCCCTTATGCATGGTTGAGCACAAACAACACAAGGTCTGGCCCAAGACCTTGACAAAGTGCATCCTATGGAATCAGTAACGCACTATTGCCATGTAACCTCAATCCTTCAAATTCCTCCACTTTGGCAAAGAGGATTTTGAAGGATTCAGGGCAGTTTTCAATGCCATTTTCACCATACACCACCAAGATCTTGTCAGTTAAAGGGAAAATACAACATTCGCAAACATCAAAAAATAAAACTACCAAATCATTTGGAAATACCTTGCTGGACTGTTAGTGAATGACAGTGTAAAGCATCCTGTAAAATCATGGCACCTGGTATACTGTCATTTTCAAGAAAAGTGGTATTTTTGTATCAATTTCCAACGCTGATCGGCCGATCAGCGTTGGAAACAACTGGCTTTTTTTTCAAATACTGGCCCCAATTGACCATCGCACTTGTTTGCAATCGATTACAAACCTATGAACGGGTACGAGCCAGCTAGACTGGTTCCCTGACCTTACAATTCCCCAATGTATGTAAACTGATCTGTTTCTTCTTATATGGAGTCAGGGAACCAGACTACAGGAAAATGATCGTTTTTCTTGGTTTTTATAGCATTTTCGAACCCAAAACCTCAAAAAAGTCAGTGTCACTATATTTGCTATATATTTCCAACCCCCCAATTCCATCCATTTCTGAAAATTACAGCAAAAGCAAATGATGTATATTCCCTTTAAGGAATATCTTAAGACAAGTTCAAGATATCTCCCCAATTTTGAGAAATGTGCGTCTGAAAACAATATTTTTGGACAACCCTGTATTTAGGATACAGACAGACATTATGCTGTACTAGATATCCCAAAATGTTTACACTGTTTCTGAACACTTGGTTTGTTTAGAAATTCTAGACTTGTGCTGTACTGTAGGAGAAAAAAATTGAGTCTTTGTTTTATGTGACAATTTATTTTCTTCTATTGATTGCATTTTCACATTTTGGGACTCTCAACAGACTTGTTACGTCCCAACTACAGCGTTGTCCCAATTAACGATAGGAGAAATCCCAACTACAGTTCAGACTTCTAAAACTGTAATTTTGGGCAATTCACAATGCATTACGCCACCAAGAGTTTGCCTCGGAGAGTTCATTTTTCCCAGTGCATTGTGGGAGGTGATTAACAAATTTGCAGCGCGGGACATTTGAAATTGTTCGTTTTTCCCGTCAGTACTGCCGTAAGCATATGATTCGAGTACATGTTTGCCCTTTTCTTTTCTTTGTATCAATATGGTGTTTTTTGTAAGGCAGCAGAACACTGTGCCCCAATCTATAACAAATTAGCTCAAGTTGTCTACTGACACTCATTCAAATGGGCAGTGTTTTTTCGACCGGAAACTTGAAAAATGGACTCTCCATGGCAAACTCTTGGTGGTGCACAGCATTGTGAATCAAGGGGAGATGGAAACTTTCCAGATAATTTCAGTGACTTGTATTTACCTCGGCAGTGAACTGCCCGCCTTGTCTGAGAAGGAATATGACATCACGGAAATGGGCGTCGACTCAAAACAACTGAGCTAAACCAGTTGGCAGAACCTGGAAATGAAACACATTTTGCAACAGTTAGCATCTAGTAAAATCCTCTTTGAAAGTTTTACAATCCTTTTTGAAAATGTATAGCACTCCGCACTAATGCTAAAAATGGAAGTTGAACGTCACGCAAGTACCCGGATCTCAGATAAGCATGACGTGCAGGGAGTACCATGGCATACCAAATATAGCAGCTGAAATTTTGTTTGCAAAACTCCTTGTTTCTTCACTCTCCATAGACCTTGTACACAACTGCTGAAGAACATTGTAGCGTCAGATTCATCGAGTGATATAGAGCACTAACTCCTCATTCTTGCGCGCGGAGACGCTTTGAAGCCGTCCTGGGCGTAGTCATTTTGAATTCATGTGCGTGTTTGTAGAACATAATGAAATTAGATGGATTGAATTTTGAAAGTTTATTCTACATGCAATGCGCGAGTAGCACATACGCAAACAACTTAAGCGTGTCATGACAGTTAAAAAAACCTCACAACAAAAAGCATCTGCAGCGAATACGCGCACACGTTGCGCTGTTTGCATAGAGCAAAATGACACGCTCATTTGCTGATCATGCATTTCGGTTTTGGGTGTATTGGCTTCAATAACGCACCGGTATGGAATACAAACGCAGATATGCAAATAGACATACAAAATACATACAAAATTGCCAGTTCTCCATAGGCTTGTGTTTAAACATGGATGCACCCATCAGGCATTACTTTGTACATCGAGTTAGCGCTCTAGTAATTTAATATAGCTCTATGGTCAGGTAGCAACATTTTTTCCAACGACTGTTTCATGTCCCGATAGGCCCTATGTGTCCCGCTCTGTAAGACACTGGCTTTTGGTGCGGGGCACGTATCACATCTTTTCATGACACGGTGCGGTATAAGATTACGCCTGCAACATGCATAGCGTGCAAGCACGTTCGACGACTGTACCGCGCGAGCGGCCCAATGTTGCCAGGATCATGACCAATTAAAAAAGAATAACAGGAAGTTGCAAACGATGTATTATTTTTTATACAGTGCTGTGATTGGCATGCCATGCAAAAGTCATTGGTGCATCCCCAGATCTGCATGCCGAGTTTGTTTATCAACAGCAGCCAAGCAGGTCACGGTCGTGTCCCTGCACTTTGTGTACATTTTTGTACATGTATGTATGGCGATCGTGTAGGGCCCGGTTCAAAAATCCACTGCTGGACCTACCAAACTAGATGGCGACATTCTCATTAAACAGGTATGTCATAGATAGAGGGCAGGGTTTTGATTTTTTTGAGGGAAATTTGGGCGGCGAAAACACGCGACCCGAAAATAAAGATGGCGATCACCACGCGATGTACCGTGAGCACGCACAGCGCGCTGAATCGCAAGGTACAAACCGCGCAGGAAAATCGTGATTTCTACCCCAAGAATCTATTCAAAAATGCAAAACGGGTGTCATTAGAATTGAGAAAAGTCTGCTTTTGATTTTCAGGCGCGGATCCAGAGGGGGGGGGGGTTTGGGGGGTCAAACCCCACCCCCCCCCAACCCCAACCCCTCCCCCGGCTCTGTCCCAAAAAATAAAAATGGAAAAATTCTGCCAACCGGACACCACTTACCTGCCGCCAAACATCCAAATTTTCACCTTACCTTGTGATTTCAACCAAGAGGAATCCAGGAATGAGTGGACATGCGAAAAAAAATTGGTAAAAATGTGTTTTTGGAGCACATTTTGCATGCACATGTAGTGCAGATCCGAGTTGAAGCAGCCGGTCAAAACTGATTGAAGTGTCTGGAACAGCGGTACGTTATACGCATGACATCGATAACCATGACGTCGCATGAGACGTCGCATGAGCCGGCCAATGATAGTGCAATACGTCATTATGAATATTTATTTTCTCATGAATATTTAGTTTATTTCAATGGATACTTCAAATACGTCCAAAGATTGATCATTGCAACAGCGATCGTGCGCGGCCTAGCGGTTAAGAGACTCGTGTATCAAGCAAGCGTCCGAGGTTCGAATCTCGATGAAGTGAGTGACTGATTGATAAATAGAAATTAAGGAAAGGAGGGGGTGAGAGTAGAGGAGGGAAAGTGGAGGGAATAACCATAAAAGAGGTAACTTTTGGCGCTAGAAAATTAATTGAAAAAAGTGGTGTCCGGTTGGCAGAATTTTTCCAAATTATACTGGTCTAATGTCCGCCTGTTCAAAATACCGGTACGGTACACCATTCTGTAATGAGTGTTAATAATCGTCGAATTTGAACAGTGCCCCCTATTGAAATTGGTGCACCCCCCCCCCCCCCCCCCCCCCCCCCCCCCCCCGCCCCAGTTTTTGATTTTACGGAGGCCAAGTGTCCAGAGAAAACTAGGCTGTGTATAGCTTGAGTAAATCCAGCTGACATGTTCCATATTCATTTACATGTGAATGAATATGGAACATGTCAGCTGGAGTTACTCAAGCTACATTTTGTAGGCTGTGTACATTTTCAGATTTTTGGGCTGATGAAAAAAAAAAACCTGCGAAAATTCCTGGATCCGCCTCTGATTGTAAGGGTGATTTTTGAGCAATACAAAACATTTTTGACTCGAATTTGATCAAAACAAAACTACACTTCACGATCGCCCAAGTGAGGGCCAGATATAGGAATCGGTCCCAAGTCAACCCGGTCCCAGATCTACTGGGTCCCAAGCGCAGCATGCCAAGTCAACTGGGTCTCAACTTACAGTATCCGCCACTCGGTCCCAACTCGGTGTCAACTCGGTCCCAAGTTAACCTATCTTAGCTAGTTGGTTAAAATTGTCTCCCTTGTGATAACATCGTACGTCAATTCACGATCTTAGAAATAAAAAGACTGAAAATCGCAAACTTTTTTTCGCTGGCGGGATCTGACGATCGCACATTGCCGCGGACAGTAACTCGTGTCGAATGAGACGAGTTCCAACGTTGGTGGCGCCGTACCAGGATAGGCAAGGGGGATCCCCGAAAATCAGGAAAACATTATGGACGCAACCCTGTATTATCATGCCCATAGACACCAATGATAAATGCCCGCTCTTCATAATTCTTTTAAAAATACTCAGAACTCTGACAGGTGATCAGGATCTACTTAAAATTAATGATCAACATGTCATATTTCATTTTCTTTTCAGTTTTTGGTGGGTTGATCATTGACTTTTTGAGATATTCTCTCCCAAAGAAGAACACCCATATTAGACGATACAATTGATGTTTCCCAAACTCAGTGGAAAAGTAACAAGATAAACACATTGCATTGAATAAAATTTCCTCCAATATTTAGCCATGATATTTGACACAGGAATCTTGAAAATGGACGGTAACCGCCAAGAATGAATGCAATATAGTTCAAGGAAACCGCGCGCCGGCGCGATGTAAACACAGTTATTGTAAGCGCGGGAAACTCAAGATAAACACATTGCATTGAAAGAAAATTTCCTCTAATATTTTGCTATGATATTTGACACAAGAATCTTGAAAATTGACAGGAACCATCAGAAGAGACCATTTCAGGAAATTGCAGTGCAACGGGGCACTCCGTATTTCATGGTCTCAAATATTACGTACTGTGGACAACATGAGCATTATCTGTCAATAAGAGGACAGTGCTATAAAGTGACATGTAGCTTTCACCTGTGCACTTTTCCTACAATTATTTTGTTTTTCTGCGCCATGAATGTCACGAACTGCCAAAATAATGTTCCCTAATTTATGCGCCATCAGAATCAAATCCAATTTGACAGCAAAATTGTTTGATAGCCACACTATAAATTAAAGAGCTTAATAACGAAGATCATTAAAAAAATACTCGCTCTTAACTTCCCATGTCTTGGATATTTTAAGGATCCTAAAGATGCAGTATTTTCAAGTGGCAGTAAAATAAAAGTAAAAACCAAAAAAAATGTACTTGACATGTCGTCAAGTATTAAACCAATTGCAATCCAAATTGTGAAACATGCCTTGCTCTGTTACAGATATTGAAAATCTTGAGCTCAAAGAAATTATTCACTGTGTCACGCTTAATTTGTTGGTTACATAACCCCAATGTTTCCAAGTAGATGTCACTGCTGATGGGAAGCGCTGAAAGAAAAAGAATCAAAACAAAAATGTAGTAATAAGTATCGTCCCTTTGAAGCAATTGCACATAGATTATTAATTACGAATTCACTCGGCGCAAAACTACGAATCCACACTTTCTCGTGTATTCTCTTTAACGTAGTATACAAAGATGCACCACTTGCTCATGTCTCGCTGTAAGCATCAAGATTTCGCTTGATTTGTGTTTGTGACTTATGATCTTCCAAGCAATACTTTCATTATTGGCTTGATATGTGGGCCATATTTTGTCTCCTGTATTATTATCATCTTGCTTAGTTTGCACTGGAAGGCTATAACAAAAATCAAAGGATGAAACTTTTTCAATGCCTGCTTAAAAAAACTAACAGCCGAGAAGTATTTTCTGCGAAAACGTATACATGGTCTTAAAAGTAAATATTAGGGGCTTATTCTGTGCTATTAAAGCAAATAATTATGTCATTAAAGCAATACATGTATTCCCCAGGTTATTTCGAGTTTAACAAATTATTATTTTTTTTCAATCGCCATTTTCCTAGCAATATCAAAGTTATTCAATTTTGAATGACATATCAAACCAAAACATTTTCCCCGCATTTAGGGCCCGTCTCAATCAACCTCGACCCCAGGGTGTCGAGCAGTACGCGCCCATCACTACCTGCTCTCTCACCCTGGTATTGAATCATTTGCATGTGCAAGATTTTTTAACACGTATGCAAATGAGGAATAGTCTGGTGCCTGCGTGTGCGTTACATTTGCGTTTGTTTTTGTATGCGGTGTCTGGGGTAAAAGCAGAGTCAATTCGTCGCAGCGCGAGCATGGCGTGAGTTACGAAAAACACGATTTTTTAAATTAAATTGTTACGATCTTACCGAGACAACATGTAGTATCACATTTCATTTTAATATGAACAAATTGGGAAGGAAATGAGTATTTTCGAGAAGGCGTGGACGAATAATCGCGAAAACACGTACTGCACGTTGTGAATAACAACACCAAGTACACGACAAAAATCCATTACTAGCCAATTGCCGTATCGAGTCGAATCAGGATGCAGGAAGAAAGTTTTCTATCCAGGGTTTACTATTGGAAACTAGGTTGGAAATAAAGTAAGCACTGGGGACGAGGTTGCGTCTCAATAGACCTGAGACGTAATGACGTAATGGCTTTGTTTACATAATGCACTTTCCTATGGGAGCGAAGTCGGGACGCCAGATAAGGGGGGGGGGACCGTCTACTACATAGGAAAGCGCACGTGTAAACAAAAGCGTGACGTCATTACGTCTCAGTCCTATTCATGTCAGGAAGGAGTTCCAGACAAGTGTAAGGTAGAATCGTTCACTTTGTACCGAAAAAACTCTGCATCTGTCCCGGATGTATTCCGGGGAATTTGTCAATACTGGTAGCTTCACTGCGGGAAGATTGCGGAGAAGTTGTTTAGTGAATCCTGCAATTTAATACCCGATACAATGTCCGCATTTTGTCTGGAACTCGTCCCAGATATGAATTGAGACCGGCCCTTTTTTTGAATTATTTCTTTACATTTTCAAATGAAAGCTTTCAGAGGGTTAAATATGCCCAGAATCAGAAGAAAATATTTTATTTTGTTAAACAAAACATAAATATTTGAAATTTCTTAGTAGGAAAAAATTACCCTTTTTTAGCGCATAGGGCATGATCTTCAATATATTGCTATGGAAAATCTGGGAGGTGTAATTGTATAGATAATGAGCACATTTCAATTTGTTTTCCTGTCCAGAAACCTTTTGTTAGTCTGTGTGTTTTCCCGTCTTGCTCATTTTATGAATATTTCTGTCACCGGTGGTTTGCCACATTATGTTACATTTTGTAATTCGGGCACTTTTTCTTGTTATAAATTGAACTATATTGTACAATGGTATAAGATCTCACTCTGTAAAGCTCACTTTTAATTGGTTGAAAATAAAACAGCTGATATATAACAAATAAATCATTTGTGTGAGAGTCCTGTTTTCCAGAGATGTCGTTATTGTTTTCAAGTTCAAACAGGCTCGCTAATTTCCACGGTTTATACAACCAAAATGCACGAGATTTGTCACAATTGGATCAAACAACTCATATACGCCACCCTTTTACACCTTAAGGCCACGCCCACAAAATGGACAGATAACAATGAGTGTTGAAATGGTAGAATGCTTTATCTCCTGTCTAAAAATTTATTTCAAAGCATAAAAAAGCAGGACAATGAATGTTTGATATGGTTCTCAGTATTTTATCCCTTGCATCCCCTTTTTAAAAATCAAGCTCCGCTCCCTTTTTGGAAATCGGCAACATGATTCAAGGGTGGATGGGCAGGCGTAGTTCTAGAGCCCATAGTTTGGGGGAGGCTGGGGGTGGGGGCTAGTCAACTTGGTTTGGGGGTGCTAAAGTGTATGGTACAAATTTTGTGCCGGTGTCTTATGAAAATCCGATTCCTATGAAAATAGCACTCCTTTTCCTTTTATTGGTTAATCCCTCGCAATGTGACAGGTCACTCTCCCATTATGATCCTTGAAATAGCATATAAGGCAAAAAAAAAAAAAAAAAAAAAAAAAGTCTCCGGTTTCTGGTATGCGCGCGCATCGCCGTAGCCATGCGCGTCGGCAAAATGAAACAGTTTTTTTTTCAATAAAAGATGATGTCTCAAACCACCAAACTCACTGGTTTGACTGGAATCCTGCTGCTGCACAATTTTAACGTGTTTTTAGATGGGGTTATGATCGAGAATAATCTTTATGTGGCCTCTCTGGACTCCCATATATTTGCACTAAGTTTAGTCGGGCACTATTTGCAGTCATCAGCCGACATTTGAAGCAAAAAAAAAAAAACAGGTAAAAAAAAGAAAAAAAGCCGCGTCGCCGCACCACTTTTTTGGGCAAGCTCCATGCCAGAAACCGGATACTTTTATTTTTTGGCCTAAAGCTTATTCTCGATCATACCCCCCATCTAAAAACACGTTAAAATTGTGCTGCAGCAGGATTCCAGTCAAACCAGTGAGTTTGGCGGTTTTGAGACATCATCTTTTATTGAAAAAAAACCTTTTCATTTTGCCGACGCGCATGGCTACGGCGACGCGCGCGCATACCAGAAACCGGATACTTTTTTTTTGGCCTAATACTAATGTGTCCATGTTTCATTGATTCGAAAATTCACGCTACACCGGTCACTTTAACAGCGCCCTCTAAAAAGTGGCGTTTCTGAAATTTTGGGCTAGCTTCGGACTCTGAGTCATGACTGTGATCATTTCGACAGCTAATTACACGTCCAATCCAAGCATAGCAACTGTAACGTTCGGACTGTCAACAAATATTCCATGTTTTCAAAGCAGAACAAAGATTCAAACCAGTATATCGTGAAAGTGACAAAATAACATCTCTGGAAGTGGAAGCCCAATTTCAAACGAATCCGATGTTTGCGAAAAATCCGAAGGTATGCGCATCCACTGCCCGCGTGTATGCGCACAGGTGTTGCTGTTTTGTGAGAGGCAGCGAAATGAATGGGACCTGTTTTACTCTTCACGTCATTGCACGTGCGCTACAAAGATTACGATTACAATGGAATAGCTGTCATGCTGAAGCCCGCCATTTTTTTAAACCGTTGTCTCGCCGTACGTGCACTGTCGCCATGTTGTCATGAAACTGGAGCCGTTGTTATGGTTGTATTTCTGCTGATCTGTGTTGGTTTTGTCCGCCGTCAACCCAATGTTATAAAAACCTGAAAACTGCTAGACGTCCATGGTCCGGTCGTGAGTATTTAGCCGAGGGAAAGTATCACATACCAAGGTTGCGATCATGGCGATGTGCATT